AATGGGGCGATGGGTCCCCTCTTGTAGCCAGGGTGCGGTGCATTTTTGCTTTGCTTTCGGGTGAAAATGCACCGCTTTTATGATGATGATGATGATGATGATGATGATGATGATGATGATGATGATGATGATGATGAACTGACATGATAATCATCATGACGCATCCTTAGCATCACCAGCAGTCATCGTGAATGCGCTTTGATTGGCACGCTTCCATAGAACCTGCGCCCATTCTGGAGCGATCGTTTTCTTTCCTTGGCTTGGTGCATTTTTGTAATAATCTGGTAAGAAAATGCGCCGCTGTAAGTGCCTACACTTCTGCTGCTGCTGGGAGCATGTGCCGTGACGTTGCGTTTGCAGTAGAGGCTCATCGCCGGTCACCCCGCAAGCCAACCAGTTTTCTCGCCGCAAGTCGGGGCCGCGATGGGTCCCCTGTTGTAGCCAGGGTGCGGTGCATTTTTGCTTTGCTTTCGCGTGAAAATGCACCGCTTTGATGATGATGATGATGCTGAGCTGACATGATAATCATCATGACGCATCCTCAGCATCGCCAGCAGGTATCATGATAATCATGTCCACGCATCTTCTGCATCTCAAATCGGCTCATCATGACGCATCCTCAGCATCACCAGCAGTCATCATGATAATCGTGTCCACGCATCTTCTGTAACGGGACTGATGATGATGATCATGATGAGCACAGTGATGATGATGATGATGATGATGATGATGATGATGAACTGAGAGTGGTCATTATCGTCAACATCATTATCATCTGAGCTTCGATTACCACCTTATTATCATCTTTGTAATCATCATCATCGTCATGATCGTCATCATCATCGTGATCATCGTCGTCATCATCATGGATGATAACCATCATCGTGCATCCTCTGCATCACCAGCAGTCATGATGATAATCATGTCTACGCATCCTCTGCATCTCCAACCAGGTCACAACGATGATGCTGTGACAACGATGAGCGTGTCATCATCACGTCATCATCACCATGATGGTGGTCAGTATCGTCATTATCATCATCATCATCGTCATCATCATCATCGTCATCATCATCGTCATCATCATCGTCATCATCATCGTCATCATCATGGATGATAACCATTGGCCATCATCGTGCATCCTCTGCATCTCCAGCAGTAATCATGTTTACGCATCCTCTCCAAGCAGGTCACAACGATGATGATGCGATGACGATGAGATCATCATCGATGATAACCATCATCGTGCATCCTCTGCATCACCAACAGTCATGATGATAATCATGTCTACGCATCCTCTGCATCTTGAATCAGGTCACAACGATGATGATGTGGTGATGATGAGCATGTCATCATCACCATGATGGTGGTCAGTATCGTTATCATCATCGTCATCATCATCATCGTCATCATCGTCATCATCATCGTCATCATAATCCTCATCATCATGGATGATAACCATCATCGTCATCATCATCATCATCGTCATCGTCATCATCACCGTTGTCAGCATGGACGATAACCATCATCGTGCACAGTCATGATGATAATCATGACTACGCACCCTCTGCATCTCCAATCGGCTCTAACGTCACCCTTGAAACGTATATAAAAAAGATAAGGACGACAACATCATGTTTACGCATCCTCTGCATCTCCAATCAGGTCACAACGATGATGATGTGATGATGATGAGCATGTCATCACCATGATGGTGGTCATCATCGGCATCATCATCATCGTCATCATCATCAGCATCATCATCATCATCGTCATCGTCATCATGACCGTTGTCAGCATGGACGATAACCATCATCGTGCATCTTCTGCACCAACAGTCATGACTACGCACCCTCTGCATCTCCAATCGGCTCTAACGTCACCCTTGAAACGTATATAAAAAAGATAAGGACGACAACATCATGTCTACGCATCCTCTGCATCTCCAATCAGGTCACAACGATGATGATGTGATGATGATGATCGTCCTCGTCATCATCACCGTTATCATCATCGATGATAACCATCATCGTGCATCCTCTGCATCACCAGCAGTCATGATGATAATCATGTCTACGCATCCTCTGCATCTCCAATCAGGTCACAACGATGATGCTGTGTTGATGATGAGCATACCATGATGGTGGTAACCATCATCGTGCATCCTCTGCATCCCAACAGTCATGATGAGAATCATGTCTACGCACCCTCTGCATCTCCAATGTGATAACCATCATCGTGCATCCTCTGCATCCCCAGCAGTCATGATGACGCATCCTATACATCTCAATCAGGTCACAACGGTGATGATGTGATGACGATGAGTATGTCATCATCACCATGATGGTGGTCATCATCGTCATCATCATCATCGTCATCATCAGCAGCATCATCATCGTCATCGTCATCGTCATCATCACCGTTGTCAGCATGGACGATAACCATCATCGTGCATCTTCTGCAGCACCAACAGTCATGATGATAATCATGACTACGCACCCTCTGCATCTCCAATCGGCTCTAACGTCACCCTTGAAACGTATCTAAATCGCATCCTCTGCATCTCCAATCAGGTCACAACGATGATGATGTGATGATGATGAGCAAGTCATCATCTCCATGATGGTGGTCATTATCGTCATCATCATCATCATCGTCATCACCATCAGCATCATCCTCGTCATCGTCCTCGTCATCATCACCGTTATCATCATCGATGATAACCATCATCGTGCATCCTCTGCATCACCAACAGTCATGATGATAATCATGTCTACGCATCCTCTGCATCTCGACTCAGGTCACAACGATGATGATGTGATGATGACGAGCGTGTCATCATCTCCATGATGGTGGTCATTATCGTCATCATCATCATCAGCATCATCCTCGTCATCGTCGTCATCATCACCGTTGTCATCATGGACGATGACCATCATCGTGCGTCCTCTGCATCACCAACAGTCATGATGAGAATCATGACTACGCACCCTTTGCATCTCCAATCGGCTCTAACGCTACCCTTGAAGCGTATATCAAAAAGATAAGGCGACAACATCATGTCTACGCATCCTCTGCATCTCCAATCAGGTCACAACGATGATGATGTGATGATGATGAGCATGTCATCATCACCATGATGGTGGTCATTATCGTCATCATCATCAACGTCATCATCGTCATCATCGTTATCATCACCGTTGTCATCATGGACGATAACCATCATCGTGCATCCTCTGCATCACCAACAGTGATGATGACAATCATGACTACGCACCCTCTGCATCTCCAATCGGGTCTAACGCTACCCTTGAAACGTACATAAAAAAGATAAGGGCGACAACGATTATGATGTGATACAATGACAAGCGTGTCATCATCATCATCGTCATCGTCATCGTCATCATCAGCATCATCATCATCGATGATACCCATCATCGTGCATCTTCTGCATCACCAACAGTCATGATGATAATCATGTCTACGCATCCTCTGCATCTCCAATCAGGTCACAACGATGATGATGTGGTGATGATGAGCATGTCATCATCACCATAATGGTGGTCATCATCGTCATCATCATCATCGTCATCATCAGCAGCATCATCATCATCGTCATCGTCATCATCACCGTTGTCATCATGGACGATAGCCATCATCGTGCATCTTCTGCATCACCAACAGTCATGATGATAATCATGTCTACGCACCCTCTGCATCTCCAATCGGCTCTAACGTCACCCTTGAAACGTATAAAAAAGATAAGGACGACAACATCATGTCTATGCATCCTCTGCATCTCCAATCAGGTCACAACGATGATGATGTGATGATGATGAGCAAGTCATCATCTCCATGATGGTGGTCATTATCGTCATCATCATCATCGTCATCACCACCATGGATGATAACTATCATCGTGCATCCTCTGCATCACCACCCTTGAAACCTATGTAAGCAAGATAAGGACGACAACGATTATGATGTGATATACTGACAAGCGTGTCATCATCATCATCATCGTCATCATCATCAGCATCATCCTCGTCATCGTCCTCGTCATCATCACCGTTACCATCATCGATGATAACCATCATCGTGCATCCTCTGCATCACCAACAGTCATGATGATAATCATGTCTACGCATCCTCTGCATCTCCAATCAGGTCACAACGATGATGATGTGATGATGAGCATGTCATCATCACCCTGATGGTGGTCATTATCGTCATCATCATCGTCATCATCATGGATGATAACCATCATCGTGCATCCTCTGCATCACCAGCAGTCATGATGATAATCATGTCTACGCATCCTCTACATCTCCAATCAGGTCACAACGATGATGATGTGATGACGATGAGCGTGTCATCATCACCATGATTGTGGTCATCATCGTCATCATCACCATCGTCATCATCATCAGCATCATCATCATCATCGTCATCGTCATCATGGGCGATAACCATCATCGTGCATCTTCTGCATCACCAACAGTCATGATGATAATCATGGCTACGCACCCTCTGCTACGATGACGGTATTGCTTACGCTGATAATGTTGAATCTTCGGCTATGCTCATTTACCAACCAACCTTGGACTTGTGCTGTAACCACCCTTCCCGTGCGCCTCCCTCTTTGAGGAGAAGGGGTCGGCGGATATATATATGGTAATAGATATATATATATATAAATACGTATACACCTGCATTGACAAGGTAGGTTGGCATCCCTTGGATCGCCGGCAGATTGCGGTGAAGCGGCGCGCGTGCGGGGTCCCTGGACGCTTCTCACATCATGGCAACACGTTCGTTCCTGCACACGTATGGTGCACACTGCGGCAGCCCTTGGTTATATGATTATATATGATTATATTTGCATACATCTATGTATGTATTGTATGTATGTAATGTAATGCAATGCAATGTAATGTAATGTAATGTAGTGTAGTGTACTGTATGTATGTGTATGTATATGTATAGATACGCAAGCGCAGGTGGCTGGCAGCTTGGGCCTGAACCTGCCCCAGTCCTTGGCTTAGCGCAATGTGGATTGTCCGGCTCACATGAGATTCATGTCCGGCTCAGGCCCAATCCCTTCATTCCGGAGGACGGTTGATTCGTTGGATCGTTGGATCGTGCGCTCCAGGGGTGCGCAGGACTTATCGCTGAAGCCTCCGCCGGCTGAGCCACAGGCGGGGATCTTCATCTCGCGCAGCTCGAAAGGCTTCGGCCGAGTCCGCTGAGGCCATACCGGTGGTCCTGAAGGATCAGCCGCCGGTGGCCGGCATCGTCCACCGACAGGATGACACCTTCCAACAGCCCAAGGTGCCGGTGCAGCGCATGCGAGTGCGATGCGGCAACTTCTTCCGTCTTCACTGTCTTTCTGGAAACCGCAGGCCCACATCACCTTCTTCATCTATGCCCCGTACTTCACCCAGGCCAAGAGCTTCGCGAAGTCGTCGGCCAAATATCCATGGCCAGGATGCCTTGAACTACACCAAGACGGAGCTGTGGTGCCGCTGTGTTGAAGAGGCAGCTCCATTCGGTTGCATTGCATTTGTATTCGTGTCTCTTTCTCGTGAGCCCCCCCCCCCCCCGACATTTTCGTGTAGGGAAGCAAAAGCAACCCGCCCAGTCTTTGTTTCCGCCGTCCATGCTGTGCTCGCTTGAGTCCAGGCGCTGCAAGACTACGCTTACGATGCGGGAATTGCTGGGGTCGGATATGGGTGGCTGGGATGGCAGATGGCCCGATCTCGTCGCGCAAGAGAGGCATGGGTAAATCTGAAAGCTCTTTGCCTGGCAAAGCCGGGCCTGGCGAACATTGGCAACGTAAGGCTGTGCCAAAATGTTTGGAGTCTTGCGACAAGCATCCCCAAGGCTCCAACCGAAGTGACTTAGGCTGGGCCTGCAGGGTGGCTCCTTGCGACTGGCCTTGGCCCCAGATGTCTGGTTTCCCAGGCGAAAGGTGCAGGGGATCGAGCCTGTTCGAGGCCATTTCAGGCTTCAACGACAAGCTCCATGTCCTTTTGGATGCATCTCGGCCCAATGTGTTGCTGGACTGAAATTCAAGCGTGACCACTCTCAGGCGATTACGGAGAAGATGACTTCCCTGAAGACAATTCCGGAGCACATCTTTGGCATTGTTTCAGATACGATGGGAGATGATCTCAACAATCAGGCCAGAACATCTTTCGTGCTTGTGTCTCAATCATTCTGCCCGGAAGCCGGCGGTGACGGCGGCGCGTTTCCCCTTGTTGTGGTTTCCTGAGATCGCAGGAGTCCACATTTGTTTTTGACCTGCATTGGTTTGCGTCCAATTTACGCCTTCATTTTCCCGACGCCAACAGCACAAGCGGCAGCGAAAAGTGAGCTGAGGCCTACCACTCGCCTCCTTACCGGCAAGCGAGCAAGCGCCTCGAGGAGCTCCTCACCCGCGGCTGCAGCTTTCCAGCCGCTCGCTCCGGATACCTCAGACAGTTGCGGAGCCATGGCCATGGGTCACAACCTATGCCGAGCCATTTTGGGGCGGAGGAACACCCATGTACCACCTGGTTTGATGTTCTCCAGGGGTACAGGGTGTTAACCCACAGCCACATTTGTTACTTCGCAAGAAATGCGTTCGGTCCAGAACGGTGAGATGTTCTTGATGCGTCAATTTGCGCATCGTCAGACTCTTTCTGGAAGGCCATTTCGTTCCCAAGACATCGGCAATCTCAAAATCCATCCACAATGTACAATAGAGCGTACGTAGCAGGCTTTCTCTTTGCGAGCGAGGAACTACGGGAATGTATTGAGCCAAGAATACCACAAGTTGGTTGTGTCCCTGATTGTTTTTCCTTGAAACAAACACATAGTCGACACCCCGAACTCCAGGGGTCTCCGTGTGCCAGGTGTCGGAGCGTTTGGAGGCCTTCAAGTCGGTGACGATCCAGGACCTCAGCGATCTTTGCCCGCGCTTCTTTGCGGAAGGCGCCCATGTGGAGGCGGGAGAAGGACGTTTCACGTTTCTCGTGGCCCGGGCTGTTCAGCGCACTTTGAATTTGGCCCACGGCGCGTGCCAGGTGCTGGCCTTGGGGAATCTCACCAGCGAGGACGCCAAGCAGTTGTCCAAGCAGCTGGTGAAGGCAGGCCAATCTACGGGTGCTTCCCTTTGGCCGAAGGAAGATTCCAAGGCCGAAAGCCGAAAGCCGAAGGAAGCTAGGTGAAAGCCGAAGGAAGCTAGGTGAAAGCCGAAGGTAGTTAGTTAATTAATTTTTGCCTGGCTCGCATTTTTCTTCGGGGTCTTGTTGGTGAAGCCGAGGGGCTTCACGTGCAGAAGGGCCTGGCGGTGCTGCCGGGCCGCTCGGAGGCCGCGCTGCCGGAGGGCCGCACCTTGTGGGAGCTGCCCAGCGCCGACGTGGACGACCCCAACCACTGCGTCGCCATGAAGCTGCAGCAGCCCGAGAGCCCCTTGGACGGACAAGAAGATGCAGCCCCTGGAACAAACTCCAAAAAGAAGAAGTAAAAACAAACAAACATGATGATAATAAACACAAATACTAATAATAACAGTAATAGTAATAGTAATAATAGTAGTAATAACAGTGGTAATAATAGTAGTAGTAACAATAATAATAACCAAAACAAACAACAACTCCGAGAACAACTCCGAGAATTCGATGTACGAACAAGACAAGTCGTCTCTTGATGCCTTGTCTGTCAGGTCTTGAGCAAGAGATGCTTCTGGGGCTCTTGGACAAGGCTCTGAGCGCCAAGTTCTTCGACATCCTACGCACGCAGCAGCAGCTGGGCTATATTGTGCACATGAGCCCCTCGGTGTCGCTGAAGATGCCGGCTCTCGCGGTGCTGGTGCAGACGGAGTTCAACCCAGACTACGTGAGAGGACCTTTCGACCAGCGGTCGATTCTTTCGCTTGCGTGTGACTGCAGGTGGGTGTTTTTTTTTGCTACGTTGCCGCAGGATGCATCGTCAAATTCCTGGAGGAGCACTTGCAGCAGCTTGAGGATTCCTTTAGCGAGGAGGAGCTTTCTGTTTGCAAAGCCGGATATCTTTCTCAGCTGCGTATGAAGCCCAAGAATCTCGGCGACGAGGTGGGCATGGGCAAAACTCCCCCGTGTTCCAATGCAACTGAAGAGCAGGCCTAAAGACATATCTTCTACATCAAGACCCTTCTTTGCCTCTTTCTCAAACAGAAGTCGTTTGCTTCAACTCCTCCTTGCTTCAGCTTTCCTCTCTGCTTCGATGGTTTCCGTTTTGTCTTTTTGAACCCGAGGCGATGCGCTACACGCGGCAGATCTTCGACCGCAGCTTCGACTTCGGGCGCCGCGCTCGGGGCGCGGACTTCGTGGAGGCGGTGACGCTGCGGGACCTCAAGGCCTTCGCGCGGAGCTGCCGCACGGCCCCGGCCATCTTCGTGCAGATCAAGACGCCCGCTGTGTGTGGAACCCAAAAAATACGAGAACCAACGGTGTTGGGGTTGTTTGGTGTTTGGGGGATGTTTGGTTTTTTGGGTTGTTGGAGGGATATAAAGATCCATGTTAACATGGTTGTTTGGTTTTGTTTTGGAGGGAAACTGCCCGTTTTGTGGCCAACGAAACTAACGCAAACAAGTCATAAGAGTCATCATAAGTATGTTTTTTGTGGGTTGGTTGTGTTTTGGGTGTTTGGGAGGAACACTTTGAAGGAGAGAACCGACCACCAGCTTGGAGGCGTCCCTAAAACAAGAAATGGCAAACGGTATTGAATGCATGCCCAGGGGTGTGAACCAAGATTGTGGATATTTACAAGAAGCAAAGGGCACGAATTGCTCCATTTCTCCCAAGTCATCCCGAAGCCTGCTTAGTCCGACAACTCCTCACTAAGTCCCAAACCGGCAGACACACACCCTAAACCAAGGACAAGCAGGCCTAAGATCGACTCTGAACCTGCCCCAAAACCGACACACCAATTCAAGAACCCAGTTCTCCTCAATACACCCCCCATCCTAGAAGCCAGCCAAAGGACCGCTAAGCCACAGGCCTTGACCCAACCCCCAACAAGCAATCCTGGAAGCAAGAGAAATGCCACCCTTGCCAACCCCTCACCAGCAAGCCACAGGCCTTGACCCAACCTTTGACACAACCGCGACGCCAACCACACCGCAAATCCTCGAGCGAACCGACTCGAAACCGACCGCTCCGAGGGCTCCCTTGGTCCGAACTTGAAAAAAAAAGAGCGGGAAAGCGAGCGAGCGAGCGAGACCGAGTCCCAAGGAAGCAGCTGGCCAAAGAGGACAAGGCCTTGCCCGCCGGCGCCACCATCGACCCTCCGGACATGAGGCGGGGCAAAAGGGGTCAAAACGGGGGGCAGAGGAAACTCGAGCCGTGAGGCGCTGGACCACGCACATGGAAACGGCCCGGGCCTCGGGCGCTCAGCGTCGGGGTATGTCGTTATTCGGCCATTCGCCGAATTTGCCAAGCAGCAAGCAAGTCAAGAGGACAGTACTGCGCGGGAACCGACATGGGTCAGCGTTTCCTTTCCATATATTTATCTCTCCTAAGCCAACGTGGCTTTGGGGGTGCATGTAGTGTATACACGCTGCACCGAAAAGCAAAGGCCATGGCTCGGAGCGTGCGGGTCTCAGGTGAAATCCTTCGCAACGTCTGCGACGTGGTTTCCGGTGAACTCCTCTGTCGATGTGTCAGCGAAACTCTGAAAAGTCGCGACATTTTGTAGCATGCCTGATGCAGCATGATGTCATGTTTAGAAGATTGATTTGGCTTGTTCAACTGTATTCGCCTCCTTTGGGGCATCCTGTGTTCCTCTTCCTGCTTACCAGGGGTCCATCAATGGACTCCCCTTGCGTGTAGCACTCATTGGCAATCTTGATGGCTTGTTCAGCATCAGCGCGCTTCAGAGGCTTCAGGAAGGGCAGATACAGATTTACAGCCAGCGCCAAAAGGGGCATGTAGATCAGAGCTCGGAGGCATGACACAGTCTACTCTGTTACTCGGGAAGGGGATTCTGCAAGTTGGCTTACATGCGCTAAAGGTGTCAGTGTCAGTATGGCAGCCAGGGTTTCGCTTGTTCGAACGTGAGCACTCCATGCGCATACCATGGCTTCTACTTTGTGCAGTTCCAGCCCACAGCGTGTGGTGCGACTCCGACAAGAAGGGTCGGTGTGTGATTAATGCGGCTCGATCTGCAACTGCGATGTTGGCTTCGCCCATTCAGTGAGAGAGAGAGAAGATAGCTTGTGAGGCTTCAAAGCATGCTGGACCAGATGGGTTTGTGCTCACCTACAAGGGTGACGTGTTCATCACGGGCTGTCAAATTACCTCTGACGCTGGGATAAGCATTGATGCCTCCGGCGGAGTCACTGTGGAGTACCAATCAGCTCTTCAGGGACAAGGCGGGGAATGCTTCGGGCTTTAGCGGGGAGAGTCACTTGAGTCACTTTTTCCTTGAGGAGACGTGGTGCTTCGTGGCAGTTCGGTGAGCCTCATCCAAAGCACAGTCTCCGTCCCTGGCGCGCTGGAGTTGCTCAGCAATGCCTCAGGCGCACTGCGTGGCGCAATGCGTGGCGCAATGCGTGGCACACGATGCCTTAGTGCCACGTTGCCAGGAAGCTGCAAAGGTCGGAGTTTACGACAGGACGGTCGGCTTTTGATCCAAGAGATGTAACAGACAGCGTGGCAGGACGGGAAATCTGCAGACGATGCGGCCACTGTCGGCATCCAGATCTCCGACTCCTCCTTGCAAGGCGTGAGTCATTCACCTCTTTCTAGGCGTCACACTGTGTGGCAGGTGGGAATATCAAAGTGAGCGCGAACCAGAGCGACGTGGAAGTGAAGGGCAGCAGCAACCTCACGATCAAGGATCCCACAGCCAAACTGGAGATTACTGGCAACACCGTCTTGGCATCTTGGCTTCGAATCCGATTCGCTCCGAATCGAGTGACAGCTCGCTGATTTGCTGCAGGCCAGCGGCGGCACCGCAACGCTCAGCGCAGCCTGGATCGTGGTGTCAGCAGCGCAAGATATGGTTTTCGAGGTTGCGATTCCCGGCATCGTCACCAAGACGGCTGAGAAGCCGGCCCATGTGGATGTGGCTGCGCAGGGTGCCTTGGACGAAATGCCCGCCCTCACTCTTCTTTTTGCCGCTTCAAAGCGCACACTGGATCACCTCTAGCAATGACAGCTCAGCGCAGGACATAGCGCAGCGGCGCACCGCATGGGTATCTTTTAGAAGGGCCACAGATCTGGTTGCATGGGTTGTGCGCGTTCACCCCAGTCACGTGGAAATAATGCTTTATTTATTGAGATATGATATTGATTAATAGATTTGTATGGCCGCGAATGAGCCAAGGCCACTTGACGCTTGGGAATTGCAGCTCAACATGGAGCCTTTCCCGCCGCTCAACTGAATGGGTCTGGCCACACGCCGCGTTTGGGTTGCTTGCGCCGCGAAGGCCTGCACGCATCGGCGGACTCGCTGGAGTTGGGGGAAGGCAGCAAGTTGAATGTCCAGAGCTACTCCACCTGCGGGCACAGAGGAGGTGCGAAACGCACAGCCCGGAGAACGCAGGCAGTTCGACTCGACTCACTCGGACTTGACGCTAGGCAGCTCTGTGGTGGATCGCTGCCGGGTGGCCTTGGCTGCGACACAATGGCCACCCATCGTCAATGACTCGAATGTCTCCTTCGATCTGGCGACTTGGGCTGCACGGATGCATCCGTTTCTCAGAAAAGTCAAGGGATCAAAGAAACGAGCCGCAGACAGCGAGCCACTGCGAATTGAAGCCCAGGGTGACTCAGTGTAGGTCTTCCACTCCTTTGTAACTCTGCGTCTCTGACAGGTTTTGCTGGCGAGAACCAGTCTGACGATCCACGAGAAGGCCCAGCTGCAGGCTGCCTCGGTGCTGGTCTGCTCGGCGTCTGTGGCCCTGGAAGACTTCTCCTCCATCGACGTCTCCGGGCGCGGCTGCAGCGCCAACATCGTTTCGCAGCCCGCGGCGGGGAGGACCATCAAGGGCCCCGACAAGCTCCTGCTGGCAGGCGAGAACTCTTCAAAGGGGCTAACTGCAGCTTAAACCGGTCCGTTGAGGGACGAAATGGGATCAGATCAGAAGAAGTTAGTGTTGAAATGCAACATGTGCAGCAGCACTGTTGAAGTTCTTGGGCGCCCGCTGCGCACAAATCAGTGCAAGGTGTCCTAGAAGCCAGCAAGGCACCAGGGGTTCGAAGCATTGGAATCACATGAGCTGACGAGAAAGTCTGGCCGCCTGAATTCACGAACAGAGAAACTTTGTCCTCTACCTCAATTGTTTGCTTATGGAATTGACTGGAAGTGTGCCAGAAACTGTCAGCTTGAGGTGGTGGCACGCATGTTGGAAGAGGTGGCGACGGCGGCTGGTTCAATTCACGGGATGTTTTAACCGACACTGATACAGTGCCAGAGACGCCGGAATATGATCGCTACAAGGAAACGCCATGGCTACTGCCGACGCAGGGTGCTTCTGCGGGTGCAATCGGTGAGATGTCAATATGGCATAAGGACAAGCTCAAGGTTTTCTCTGCCGGGGGAGGCCTCATTTGGCTTTCGGGCCTCAGCGGGGTCAGCTTCGGCAAGACAGTGCGCCTGAATGCGGACGGCAAGGACGGGCTCGCCCGAGTTGGGGACGCGTCGCAGATCTATGCCTCGGCAGGCGGAGCTGGGGGGCAGGTCCTGCTCTTCGCAGGGGGTTTGAAGGGGGTGCCACCAGACATCAGTGCTGCAGGAGGCAAGGGCGCTTGCATCAAGCAGGCAGCTGTGGGTTTGGTGAGTGGTGGCGGGGGAGGCGGCTTTGTGGGTTTGAACTGGACCCGACCCACGTGGATGTCACATCTGCCCCTGAGCGTGTCTGTAGCAGGTGGAGGCTTGGGGGTGGATCAGTCGACCATGCAGCCCTGCTCCTTTGTGCTGCCACAGACCGGCAAAGTGGAGGCCACGCGCGGCAGCTGCGGCCAGGCCTTGTCCGTCCTCCCCTGCCCGCCCGGCTCGGCAGGGCTCTTCTGCGCGCCCTGCGGGGCCGGCCTCTATAGCCTCGGCGGCCTGGGCGTCTGCCAGACCTGCAAGCCCATACCCGAGAGGGGCCACTACGTAAACATCACCGGGGGGTGCGTGACCAGTTCCTGCCCCTATAGCTGCGGCGTCGGAGTGCCCAATGTGGCCAGCAATCCCAGCTGTCTGGATCCCGTGGAATATGCCCTCAGCTTCTTTGGGGGTCTCAAAGGGATGCTGGGCATCTTGGCCGGCATCGTCTTTACTGCCTCGCTTCTGCTATGGCGACGAAGAAAGACCTCCAATCTCTCGCGCCCGCTGATCGAAGTACGGGAGGTGGGGACTGGGAACGTTGCGGCGCGCCTTGTGAATCGATGCCTGGCCTCGCAGTGCGAAATGTTCCAAGTCTCCCGCGAGCACTTGCCGTTTCACATCTGCCGGGTCTACCTGCAGGGTGAGAACACGGCAGAGGTGCCGTGGCACCTGCGCTCGGAGGTGCCCGTGCCGGTGCAGGACCTGGTGATCCCGGACCGGTGGCAGGCCTTGGCCAAGGTGGTGAACGAGGCCGCCCACGTGCCCCGGTTCCGCGCGCGCTGCGAGGCGCTGCTGTGGAGGCTCTACCCGCCGCTGGCACCGCCGCTGGCGCGGAGGTTCCGCCTGAGCCGGGCCGGGGAGCTGCTGCGCGCGGTGGCGGAGCAAGGCGAGGCCACGGAGCGGCTCTGGAAGCCGATCCGCCTGCCGGGGGGCGAGCTCTTCGTGCGCTTCGGCTGCGACGCCCACGCCACGTTGGCGCACCTGGACTTCCTGGACTTCGAGCTGTCCCGCCTGGACTGGGCCCCCGTGAACCTGCAGAAGGAGGCCTGGCTGATCCCCGTCCAGGGCCATGGCACCTTCGCGGAGCCCTTCGCGGTCGACATCGGCGACCCCGTGCTGCAGCGACTGGAGCATACCAACTTCGGCCCCACGGCCGTGCTGTCAGTGATCTCCACCTTCAACCGAGCCGCACGCCGGATCTGCAAGGACGCGGCAAATGGAGACCAAAGAACCAGCAACACAAGGCTTAAAATATATAGGATCTTAAGGGGGGGCAGTCCCACACTCTGTTTGAGTGGTCTTGGTTCCTTGCTTCCTTGCCTGCCTTGCCTGCATTGCCTGCATTGCTTGCTTGCTTTGCTTGCTTTGCTTTGCTTTGCTTTGCTTTGCTTTGCTTTGCTTTGCTTTGCCTGCCTTTTCTTTGCCTTGCCTTGCTTTGCTTTGCTTTGCTTGCTGTTCGCTTGCTTTGCTTGCCTTGCCTGCCTGCCTGTCTGCTTGGTTGCTTGCTTGCTTGCCTGCCTGCCTGCCTGCCTGCCTGCTTGCCTGCCTGCCTGCTTGCCTGCCTGCCTGCTTGCTTGCTTGCTTGCTTGCTTGCTTGCTGTTTGCTTGCTTTGCTTGCCTTGCCTGCCTGCCTGTCTGCTTGGTTGCTTGCTTGCTTGCCTGCCTGCCTGCCTGCTTGCCTGCCTGCTTGCTTGCTTGCTTGCTTGCGTGTTTGCTTTGCTTGCTTCTTTGCTTGCCTGCTTACTTGCCTGCCTGACTTGCTTGCTTTTGTGAGTGTGAGTGCGACCGTGATTGCGCGCGGCGGGTTGGCCGGTCCTGTCGGCCCCGCATAAGAAATTGCGCTAGTTAGCCTACTTCCTCAAGAGTCAAGCCACTTGCCCCGCAATCCGCCCAACACAAAGTGTGAGGTCCCGATTTTGCAAACTGATGGCTCCTTAGGCGCGCATCGCTTTTCCGGCTGACGTGTTGTAGGTGTTTTCACCTGATCTGCTTATTTCATCATGGAACTCCTTAAAGTCAGACTGTGCAAAGCCATGTGGCATGCATGTGTTGCCACTGCACAACAACGTCTCGTTGCAAAGAGCACCATCAAGACCATCCAGAAATTGTTTTTTCACTACACGCCAGCAGCATTGGCACAGAGGATGACTTGCACTCCTCCGATGATGACTCCCTCCAAGAGCTGCATGAGAAGGTTGAGCAATGCGCAGCTCAGTGTGGGTCGCTTCGACGACAGTTGGCTTGCCAAAGTTGCAAGAATAATTCGGCCCATTTCTTGCCGAATTCGCTAAGCACGCCCTCAAGTTGAACTTTGTCCAAGGCTGGCGGGCTGCGTCCAAGTCTTGGCCATCGCCAGCAAAGGCTCGCGGCAGACCCCGGCGCCAACGGGAAGTCGCAACTCGCATGCCAGGGGCCCGTGAACGGAGCACGACGAGAAGCAGCACGCAGAGAAGCAGCCTGACGCAGGACGGGCACCCGACCGCCGCACCCGCCGGGCAAGCGTGCAAACATTTCACGGCCGCAACGCGAGGAGTCTCCCGCAGGCTCCTTCATAGACCTGGTCGGGGAGGCCAGGTCTAAGCCGCAAGCTTTTGGCGCGCCGCTCAGCTGAGGAGCAAGAGCCAGGCTCACCCAGCCGTGCGTCCGGACCAAAGCAGGAGCTCAGAGACTCGGACCGGGCATCCAAATCAGACTGACATGGGACCGCAGATGTCAGTCTTCGTTTCCACTTGCCAGGGTTCCATTTTGGGTACCTATTTTTGCCCCACAGCCACATCAGTTGAGGCATTTCTTGCAAAGTTGGAGCCAAGGACTCTGCCTGGTCTTTACTCAATTCTCCTCCCTTGCCAGTGGCGGCCCCAGCATGCGACAGATCAATGCGTAGCGCCTCCTCCGCCAAGGCATCAGCCAGTCCTCAGATTGCGGCGGCGGCGTGGTTGCCCCGGTGATAAAAGGGGGACAGAGCGTCACTGTCTCGTCTTCGGCCAGCTTTCTGGGCAGATAAAAATGCTGAGGCTTTGGCGACTCCAAGCAGCCACAAGGACCGCACAGATTCTGTTGGCCGGGCAAGCGAGGGAAGACAAGAGTGCCTCAAGCACGTGGTTTGGGGCTCTCTCCAGGAAATGAACGATATCTTGCGCAGCTCCGCAGGGAGCATAGGCGCTACAAACGTGGCTTTCTTGTGCTTGCACTGCGCGATCCGCTAAGACATGTTAAAGCTTACAACCATCCTAGGGCGGTTTTATTGGGATTGTCCCTGCTCAAGGCTCTCGGGGCGGCCTTTCCTTGTCTTTGCGAGGTATCTTCCACGGTGGTTTTGTTGTTTGTGTTAGCCTCGCATGTCGATTCGGGCATGAGCAATGAGCACATCCTGTGGTACAGGCGAGGCCAGCCCCGTGCGGACAGATCAAGCCTGCGGCATAAAAGGCTTGCAAAGGACTGCCTGGCGCTGCAACATGAGCATGGCTGTGGGTCAAAGCCAACGGTACCATTTTGGGGTAGGTGCACCACCCATTTTAGTCTAATTTAGTGGGGAGTGGGACGTTCACTGGGGGTAGGGGATTTTGACCCATGGCCACATGTGTGTCCGTGAGGACAGTGCAAGTTTCACACGCTTCGTGCTTTGCAGGATGCTTTTAAAGTGGGGCTCTGTAGGCCTCGCCGTGCCTCGGACTCTGCATGCAGGGTGTGCAGTGTCAGGCTCGCATGATGCGACCATCGGGACACTTGTGCTACTTGGCCCGATCTGGCATGAAATTTTGCGGCGAACGCCCAGATTAGATTGAGGTCACTCACCTGCCTTTTGGCCCTGGACCTCATGGCCTTCGTCCTGGTCTTCTGGAGCTTGTGCTGTGCTTGTGCTGACGGGATCCACGGGATCCGGAAGGGTCTCCGGACATCCGGCAGGATCTTGTACAAGACCAGCAGCGTGGCCGGCTTCGTGGGGCCGCCAAATGGATCCGATGCCGACGGACTCGGCGCTCGGCGCTCGCTCGGCGTGCGCTCGCATAGGTCTGGATTTGCTTCCCACCGCTGGTGCAGCCTTTGGCGCTTCTTGGCGAGACTCGCCCTGGACTGGCCATGCCAGACTTCAGCTCAGGCTAGTGCTGGGCCCGCTCTTCCTGCTCTCGGAGGCGAGGGAGAAAGAAACCCGCTCTCGACACATTCCCTCAGATCAGACCATCTTATTTCTTCTCCGTGAGAGAAGATGGCCCTGTATCAAAGCCAGGTTGCGTTTGGGGTTCCCCGGGTTTTAGGGATTCCTTGAATTGGTTTCCTCACCAATTCCTCCAGAGAATCATCCCAAATGTCATTTTGAGGCAGATCTTACGTTCCGAAGACTCGACAGATCGCTTTTGTTTTGCCGGCCGCGCTGCATTTAGGTCATTTTTGGGGCGCGCAGGATCCCGATCTGGGCCGGCTCTTCGCCTTGCTCGAACTCTTCGGGGCCTGCAACGCGGCCTTCTCGCTGCTGGCGGGGGGTTGGGTGGCGTGGGCTTGGGCTTTGCTGCGTTTGCCACGGTTTTTGTTGGTCTCTTTTTCTCTTTTCTCAAGAGTCTTCTTTGTCGGCACATGTCCAATGCGTGACAGGTGATGGTTGTGCTGCTCCTGCTGGATTCCTTGTTGCCGAGTTCTTGGGCCGGCCTATCTGATGGCCGAATTTGAGATGCGTTGAGGGTCCTTCGAGGTTTGACATTGTGGCCATGGCCGTTGTGATTTGCATCAAGGCCGGTTGGCTGGCCCGGCAATTTTCGTATCTTGGACGAGAGGCCATGCTCTTCTCAGCCGCTGGCGCCCATGTCGCGCAGCTGGAAGCTGCAAACGCCGCGAGCCCAGAGCCGAGTCCTCACGGCAAGGGCTTCGATGGCTTCGATGGCTTCGGATGCCCAGGACTTGAGTTTCATGGGGACTCCGCAGAGCGACTTCGTGGCAGGCGCGAAGGTGTGAAGGTGTGAAGGTGTGAAGGTGTGAGGGGCCAACCTGGCAGCTGGCTCCGGGGAGGTTGGCTTCGAGTGACGTGAAGGGCCGCTATTTTTTAAATCCACTCGGGCACTGGCAGGCATCTTCGCGCGCAGCTCCGGCACCGAGGCAGATGCGCAGAGCTGCTTGTGTTTTGAAGCCCGATGCGGTGGATGCTGTGCACTTGCGCCCGCCAGGATCCGGGCTTGCATGATAGTGCTTCCTTCTCAGCTTGGGCAACGTGCCCCATTGAGCAGGCTGCATTGAGGCCAAGAGGTAATCACCGTAGTCCAGTTCGCACCGAAAAGCTATGAGTGGCAAAAGCAAAGGGACGCTTGCAAAGGTTCATGACAACTCGCCGACTGCAGCAATACCGTCGTGTTCTCAGATGGGATGCGCAACTCCGTTGCGCACGTGCAGCAGCGCGGCTTTGCCACCTCAGCGCCCGAGGTCTTTCCAGGTCTTTGAGCAGTTCACAAGGCAGTCTTCAGACGGTGTGCAGCGCCCGGACTGCAGCTTTCCAACGACGGGCTCCACCAGGCGGGTGTTGAAACGGTTTTTTTCTCTCCAAAGCTTTGAGGGCTTCGTCACATGGAAGCAACTCGTTTCAAGGGTCGAGCATTTGCTGGGGGGCAGTGCCAGGTCTGCGCGCAGCACAAGCACCAGCACCTGCAGAATCCAGGCGTTGGGGATTTGTCGGGGGACTTGCCGTTTACGAGCGCGCGGGCTTTTTTTGCAAAGTCTTTTTTGCTCGCAGGCTTTCAGCGATTGCGTTGTTCCTGGCATTTTCTGGCGCCCTTTTTGCTCAGGCGCAGGCTCCATCGCCATTCTGACAGCGCCAGAGTGCGCTTTGGATCCGGCCAAAGGGCCTGACTTGATTGCCACGCCAAAGATTGGCTCCTCGGTGCTTGGCCGGGGATGGGGCAACTTGTGCGAACTTTAAATGTGTTGCATTCTGGGACAGGCTGATGCTTTTTCGAGCGCGCAAAAAGCCATGGCAAGCTTGCAACGTCTTCCAATGCCCATGGGGTCCATGAGTGTCAGGCCAAGCTCGCTCGCTGTCCCGGGCCAAAGGAAGCATCGCAGATCGCTAAGAACAATCCATGGCAAGGAGCTCCAGAAACGAAGCATTGAGCGAGGCAAGCGTGGGATGAAGCCATGGGCGCCGCATCGTCTGCCCCCGTGTTGGGCGTCGACATAAGCCCGAGCCACACCAGCAGTTGCTGGTGGGCTGGCATTGCGCTGGGGGGCAAGCTGTACGGGGTACCCTGCAATGCTGATCAGCTGCTGATCTACGATGTCGCTGCTACTGAGCCAATAAGATACGTGGATACCAGGACACGGTTGGCAACCATTGAATGTCCTATAGGAAGTGTTGGAACAGCTTGGAATCTGAGTTGATCCCCCTGCAGGAAGGTGGCTACTGGAGAGGGGAAGTGGCGGTCGAGTGTGGCACTGGGGGGCAAGCTGTATGGTATTCCAGACCGTGCGGAAGCGCTTCTGATCTACGATTTCAGCTCCGGCACCGTCTCGGGGGTGGACACGCGCAAGGTGTCCCGAGGGCCTTTCAAGTGGCAAGCGGCCGTGGCCCTGGCGGGGAAGGTCTATGGGATTCCGCACCATGCCAGCAAGCTCTTGGTGCACGATCCCAAGACCCGGGCTGTGGTGGGCGTGGATACCACGCACATCGCCACCGGCAACTCCAAGTGGCTGGCGGGGATGAGCTTGGGAGCGAAGGTGGTAGGGGTGCCCTGCAATGCAGATGCCTTGCTGATCTATGACCCGCTGACGGGCCATTGCGTTGGCGTCCCCACTGCTTACCATGCAACTGGCCCCTTCAAGTGGCTCTCTGCTGTTACATTTCAAGGTCTGCTCTATGCGATCCCCTGCCACGCCGAGTGCATTTTGGTCTTCGACCCCTCCAAGAACCAGGTTTCGCACGTGGACACCTCCAGCATTGCGACCGGGCCCGGGAAGTGGGTGGCTGCCGTCGCCTGCGCGGGCAAGATCTACGGCATCCCGGATCACGCCACCTCTGTGCTGGTCTTTGACCCAAAGTCCCAGGATTGCGTAGCGTGTTTGAATGTCGTAGCTTGTTTTCCAGCCGAGACAAGGCGGCCCCGAGCATTTCTTCACACAAGCCCACTAGGGTAGCCATGTCTTGAACTCAAGTGTGGACCCCTGCATCTCGCAATCGCGCTCCACCCCCTTAATGTGGCACCTGGTTTAATATCGGTGCCCTGAAGTATGTCACGACCCCCCACTGTTTTGGTACCATCATTTATGTCAAGCGTGTTTCATCCGAAGAATTGTCCGGGCAAAACAACGGGGCAAACGAATCGGACAAAATAAGACAGGGGAACGCGCATCCGGGCAAACAGTTCCCAAACCCTTAAATTCAAGACAGCTTCTTTACAAAGAAGTAAGGGCACACAGTCACACAAAGGGGGTGGTTGCCCACAAGAGGTCCTGATTCTGTTTAATGAGACAGTTTTGGGGGTCGCTCCAATGTCCAGCTTTTTGAGGGGGATACTGAAACTCCCAAATGAAAGCCTTAGCCTTTTACTTTTCCTCTTTTTTGAGGGTGGTTCACCTAGCTCCTCCCGCCTCAAAGTGTAAAGGCCTTAGAGCTAGGAAATGCATTTTGCAAGTGGACTTTTTTTATAATAAACCAAGCCCAATCAGTCACACAAGGGGGTGCCAACGGGAGGCAGTGATCCTGTTTAGCATGACTATTTGGGGGGTCTTCTTTAATGTCAAAGTTATTTGGGGTGGGTCAAATCTGGCAATACTTAATTTATGCGCTGGAATGCTGAGAGCAGGTCCTGACAATACCAAAATTAGACTAGGCAAGACTAAGCCAGGCGGTGGGAGCCTAAAAGTAAGCCCTGGCAATTTGCAATACTGAATTTGGACCTAAGCACTGGGAATCTGAGAATAAGTTCTGGCAATACATGTTAACTAGGCAATACTAAACCAAGTGGCAATCCTAAAGCAATAAGTCATCCAAGCTCCCTGCCACACCCATGATTCAAGACAGTCGGAGCCCTTTGACTGTTCTGGGTCCATGAATTTGGCACCCCCGCACTCCCAGCTTTACCCATCTTGCACTCGCCGTCAGTGCAGCCCGTCCACAACTCCCACATTCTAGAAACGCAGAGTCGAATGGCCGAGTGTGAGCGAGCGTGGTGCTGGCAGGAGGTTTCTGGCATTGACATCAGCCACTTGACAGCCACTGACACGAAGGGCAAGTGGCAGTCTGCAACAGTTCTTGGTGGCAAGATATACGCTGTGCCTTACAATGCGCAACTCCGCCAGCATGGGAGAGTGCAAAGGGATGGGCTCTACCAAACGCAGAGAGTGACGTGATCGGGCATGTCAGGCATGAGATCCTCGTGGTAGACCCGTCAGCTTCTCGAGCCTCCGTGGTGGATGTGCGCAGCCTGGAGAAGGGCTCAGGGAAGTGGGGCTTTGCAGCAGCCATAGGCCGCTCGTCACGTGTACTCACGAGTTACTTTGCATGCCTCACTCGTGCCTCACTGCAAGCCCTCAAGCCTGGAGCGTAGGGCATGAGACGAAAATTGCCCTGAGGCGGCAAGCTGTGTGGCCTGCCTTGGGATGCCACGCACCTTCTTGTGCACGAGCCACAAGAGGCGGGCGAGGACCCGGGCACTTGGCATGGAGCGGATGTCTAGAGAGTCTGATGGATGGAACGGCCACCGAGACCGCGAAGCTTTCCGCATGCGCCGCGCCAGGAGACCCCTGCGCCGCAGAACTCCGAGGTGCCCATCAGCGCAGCGGAAGCTGAGGCGGCAGATCCCACAGAGATCGGCTTCGATGGCGCTGCAGACATCTCTCCGAATCTTGGAGAGCTGCTGGTGCAGGACGGAAAACGCGGGATGCAATTACGGAATTCAGCCCATCCATGCGCCATCCATGGAGTCCACTCAAGTCGCGAGGACTTTGTGGGTGCTTGGCTGAGCGAGTGGATCTACTTCACAGACGAGACGAAGAAATCTACGGTGCCAGTGATGAAGCTGCTTGGCCGCCATCTGTGAGCTCGGTGCTTGTCAGCTTATCTGATTCGTTGGCCAAGGGTGGGTGGCGTGCCTGTGAAGTTCCAGGCCGTGCCATGGTGTTCCATGTGTGCCATGCCCGTGCCATGCCCGTTTGGCCTTGGGAGGTGCACAGCGTCATGGACGACCCTTTGCAAGGCAGCCCGGCTCGGTCGGCGGTGGTCACCGCTGTCCTCCCTGACTCCGCCGTGGCCCGCCTCAAATCTCGTGTGCCCAAGCCGTCGGCATTGCATTGCCACCTCTGGCAGGTGGTCTACCTCGTCTTCAAAGGCTCTTCCTTCATGAACGACTTCGTGGTGAATGCCTCCGTCGGCCCGGACTACACGCCTTTTGATGCCACGTTCGATGACCGTACCACCTTCATACATCATGGCGCCCACCATGCGCCTTGCTGTTTTGCAAACGGGCTAGCGCGGCTTCACGGGTGAGCGCGGACATCTCGCCGAGGCCATCGCTCAGCTCCGCGTGCAGCAGTGGCCAGCTCTGAAGGAGCAGCTGGAGCGCTGTGCCCAGGACGGCGCGGCTCGGAACTGAAGCCATTTCCGCCACCGGTTTTCCGGATCCCTTGCCCTAAACCCGGTTACCAGAGAAAAGCGCTCGGTTTGGAAGCTGAGGTAAAGCAGCTGGTCATCACCGGGCACTCCCTTGGAGGCCAATATGTGCGCCATGGGAAATCTGGAGAAGTCTGTGGGTAGCGGGGGGTGATGGCGCAACCCAGGCCTTGGCCTTCATGCTGCAGGCGCGGAATCACATCAATTGGAACTCCAAGTGCAAGAGGTTGTGGTTGTGCGAACGGAATTTCCAGGTCTTCCTGGATGGAGTGCGGGAAGCGCCCATGCACACACTCCTGCGACAGGCGGAGAAATGGATAACTTCGGTTCTTCATGGCTTCGGCTTCCGATGGATTCAGGCCCGGTCCGTGGCTTTCGGCGCCCCGATGTGCTACGGCGCCGCTGAGGCGGGGGATTTCCATATTTGCCCCCCGGTTTTCCAACACCCCGCCGGGGTTGAGCCGTGCAGTTGAAACGGATGCATCGCCGAACTTCGAAAAGGGAACCATGGCTTCCCGTCAAGCTGGGTCTCCCATGAAAGGGGCCGTTCGGCAAGCTCAGGGCTTCGAAGTGCGGCAGGACAGGGAAAGTGCCCACGGCTATAGCGAAACATCACGAGGCGTAAGGATTCGCCAGGACTTGGCCGAGTTCATCCAGGAGCGAACCGCCAGGACCTCAGCCGGACCGTGACTGCGGCCGGCACTGAGCGCCCGTGCCCAGGTGGTCTATGTGAATTCCGGTGATCCCGCACCGCGCTTGTGGCCGAAGTCTCACGAAGTTCTCTGGGCTCAGCGCCTCGCCTCGCGATGAGGTCGGAGCTTGACCTGGAGGACTTCATGAGGCGCCTGCGCGTTCCAGACTCTCGACTCCAACCATCTGCGTGCAGATATGCGGTCTCCTGGCTACAGCAGCAGGCCGCCCTCAGTCAGTCTCGTCTTGTTATCTTTCTTTTTTTCTCGGATGTCCATCTTCCGGGATGTTGGTCAGGTGTCTAGCTTCTCCATGCGCATCCTGGACTATGCCTCGGGGGGCCTTGCGCAAAAGGCACAGGACCCCGTGAGCCCACCCGCTTTTCGAATTCGAAGAGGGACACGGCGGACGTCCAATCCGTGAGGAGATCTTGAAGCGCCCAGACATTGAAAAACATTTGCGCCCGGCTCAAGATGCAGTTTCTGTCACGTTCAGGGGATGCTGAGGGGAAGGGAGTACCGGAGTGGTGCCGAGAGGTTGCGGCCAGCAGCGCGCTACGTCCATCTCTCTCAGATTCGAGTCCTGGCCAAGGAGACGCTTGGAACGCAGATTGCATTCCAGCATCTTACACCGACTTTCTGATATACAGGGGAAGAGCAGTTGAGCCAGCCATGGTTTGGAGCTCGAAGCTTCTTGACGCAGGACTTTCTTTTATGGCGGCCGCTGAGTTACGGGCGTGCCTCTTCTGCATACATTGAGCTTCTTCAGTGCATGCGATGTGTGGGAATTCGGCGAAGGCATGAACATCGACGACCACAGCTTGTCACTGGGCTACATGCCGGCGCTGTGTGCGCCCAGCCTGTTGACAGTGCCAAAAAAACGAGCTCCTGCCACAAGCCGAGAGGCGCCGCCTTCGATCCAGTGGCCGCTGGTGGACTCTGGGATGAGAACGGGCAGCCGCTCGTCGACGAGGCCGGCGGCCAAAGGCGAAAAGGCGCAAAGTGCTTGCGCGAGATATTCGTTTGTTCCTTTGGCAGGCAGGGCACGGCCTGATTTGAGGGCATCTTCCAACCCGCTTCGGACCGAGCCAAAGATGCCGAAAAGTGCGTCTGTGAAGGGTCTCGCACCTCTTGCCTGCGCAGTGCACTCCGACGTGCGCTTGTGGTCTTCAGCTTTTTCAGCTTGCATAGCATACAGCACGCAGCGACACAACATGTTACCCATCCCAACTCGCGCACGCCTTTCCTAGAGACCCTTGAAATGGCGTGGTCACGGCTCTCTGCAAGGCGGGACGACACACGAGGCACCGGATCTCAAGTTGAAGCCATGGGAGTCCAGCGACTTGCTTGAGTTGCCATCGCTGTCCGGCTTCAGTTCGGCATTCCAGACGGTGCCCCCCCCCCAAAGCACACTCGCCCATTTGGCAAGAGTCCCCGGCTCAAATCTCAATCTCTGATCCTTGCAGTCATGTAGCCTCCCTTGGAGGATTTCCCAGACATGGCGGGGATCAGCACAAAAAGCACGCCAGTCAGTGCTTCTTTATGCGTGCGAATGGCCGCGGTGAAATGGTGGATGCGTCAGATGCAGGCCGATGCTTCACATCGGACCTGTGAGTTAGTGAGTTTATATGGCTGTGGATCAAAACCAATGGGATACCACTTTGGGGTAGGTGCACCACCCATTTTGGTCCATTTTTGTGGGGATTGGGATGTTCACTGGGGGTAGGGGGTTTTGACCCATGGCCATATGAGGCCAAAGAGCTCGCCGGGCATTTTCCCTGATGACCGCGGCCTTCAGTCTGAGCCACGCTGCTTTGACCACTGCCGTGATGTTCGCGACCTCGGCGGGGCAGCAAGGGAGCTCGCGGTCCATTCGGAAGCTCGGGGTCCATTCGGGAGCCCGGGGTTCCTGACAGCTTGCTGGCTCATGGGCTTGTGAGTAACCCAAGTGACCCGGCTTGGCTTGGCTGACTCGGGCAGGCGCTTGGGGACGCGCTGGGCAACTTCAGCAACGCCACACTTTACACCGCAGCTTGGCTCAAGGCCTCGTGCAACGCTGCAAGCCGAAGCGGGGTTAAGCTCAGGTTAGCTTGCTCTCGTCCTTGGTCTTTGCCCCGTGGTTCATCAACCTGTTGGGCCCAAAGAGAGGCACCGTACGCGTTGTGACATGCTCCCTTTGGCCATTGGCATCACAGGCTTGCTCGGCGGGTTGGCATCCTGCACCGTCTACTTGCTCTGCTTCTCTATTGCTGCACTGGAGCTTCCAGGACGGACGTGCTTCGCATGTCTCAAGGGCAGAATTCCAGATGCCGCCCTTGCAGGATGCGCTTGTAAAGATACGCGTGAAGCAGTTGCATTGGCTACTTGGCGGCCCCTCACGCCTGAAGAAGTGCTGATTTGAAGCTTCTGTACGTGTTGCCTGACTTGTATGGCATGCTTGAGCCTTGCTTGCTTGACTCTTAAGGTTGGAGCTGCTGTGGGTGGACTGGGCGCAAGTCTTTTGTGGACGGGTCAGGGCATTTTCTTCTTGACCGTCGCTCCTGGGATGCAGATGCCCATTGTTCTTGTGAAGCCAACGCCGGCACGAACTACGAAAACGCCAGGAAAGGCGAACGCCTCCTCAGGCAAGCGTCGTAATTCCATCACCGGCTTTCCCCGCTGCTAAACTTTTGTGATGGCTGTTCCTTGGAGGCTGCCTTGATGGGTTGAAACAGGTTTTGCGATGAATGGACGACAGCAGTTAGTTTGCCTTCTTGCTGCTCATGCTCGTGGTTCTCAAATTGCAAACACTGAATTCTCGGCTGCGGCTGGACCAAGTGCCAAGGCTCAGCAACTGGCACGACCTGCAAAGCTGCTCGCAAGCATTCAAAGTCCCGAGCTATGTCGAAGCATCTTGAAGTTGGTTGCAATCGGACACTCTGATGCCAAGGATTCCTATCTGCGATAGAGATGCTCAGGCCACTGGCCTTTTCGTCTCACGTGGCTCACTGTGTGATGACAGGTAGAGCTAAGCAAGGCGACGTCCCAGCTCAGCTCGAGCTTCGCCTTTTGGTTGCTGATGGTCGAATCCTGGCCGAATCGAATTGGACACCTGACGCTAAGTTCTCAGCGTGATTCCTGACCAAAGGCGCCTTACCGATTCTGGACAGACGCGTGTGTATTTAGTTACCTCAAAGCCTCAGGGGCCGAGCCCAACAACATACCACAAGCTGTTGCTTTGCACTGGAGGAAACCCGTGCATTCCTTGGGAGGAAACCGTAGTTGAATCCTTGCAAGTTGAGAGGTGCAAAAAAACTCGTGACGCTGGCCAAAGCACACACGGAATAGATGCTGAACGCTTCAAGACAAAGCAGCCATTGTGGCCTTGTCAACTTGCACCATGACTTGCACACACTGAGGAGTGCGTTGTAAAGCTGCAGCTGGCAGACGCTTGACTTTGACAAGGGGCATTTTGGTCCATTGGGCGATGGAGCATGCTTAGCATGCACTACGCAGGCCGTGCAGACTTTTGCGACGCCTGCCTGCATTGGGATTTCGGTGCATGCTTTTGCAAGAGCTTCCACGGTGCGTGAGCTTCTTTCTGTAGGTATGCAAAACCTTGGCTCTTCGTGCTGCTCGGGTTAGCTGCCGTGGCCGCGGGCCTAAGCTGGCCCGACGAGGAGGAGAGACTCGAGATGTCAGGCACTGGTATCCTTTGCTTTCACGGACAACTTGGAAATGCCTCGGGGCACCAAGCGACTTGGCAGAGTAATCGCAATAGTCAAGCTCTCTTGGCCAATTTTCGGTGCACGCCAAATCTGCCCCAGTCAGGATGTCAATGTGCAGCAGAGCTGCTTCTGCCCTGGAGCTTTGGCATGATCCAACACTCTGGCAGCTTGAGCTCAACGCGAGAACAGGGTACATTCAAACAGCTTATCATAGACACGACCCATGATTGTCTGGGGGGCAACCTGGCGCTTGACAGTTTTTGCACCGGCAACGCCAAGGCTGCTTTCTTTGACCGCAGTATCCTTTGGCTCCTTGGCAAGAGGTTGGTGGCACCGAGCCTTGTCATGCATCTGAGGCTTTTCAGTGGCTTGGCCTGCATGTTCGCCCAACGCATGAGTGGTCACCGACCAGCAAACTCTTCCAGCCGACTTCAGCTTTTCAACGTTTTGCCTCAAGGTGGCTTGGCTCAACAGCCGCGTCAACGCGCAGCTGGTGGAGGCGTGCCGCGCTCGCGTCACATCGGCCGCGTTGGTCTGGTGAAGCTGCAAGCTCGTTCGAGGCCTTGGGACAGCCCAACTTGGGCTTCGCGGGCGCTTTGACCACAGCCGTAGCTGGAGCCACCCGGCATGAACTCAAGAGATCAAGTTGGACAGCTGGATGCTCATTTGGGCTCATTGGGCTCATTGGGCTCATTGGGCTCATTGGGCTCATTGGGCTCATTGGGGCTTGGGCCAGGTGACATCCAAATTGTCCGGCCTGGCTGAGAAGAAAGGCACGGGATGCGAAGATCTGATCCGCTTGCCTTGCTCTGGGCCAGGCGCCTTCATCGCCTTGGGTGCCGCGTCCTTCTTCCTCGTGGGCGTGCTGAGCGCCTCGTTTGCGCGTCGAGTCTGGCCATGAAGCGGTAACCCCCATTTTTACCCAGCTGGAAGCTGTTGAAGCCATGGGGGTCGATGGCCCACAGGGTTCCGAAGTTCCGGGGTTCCGGAAGCGTTCCGGTTGCCCGTGGGAGTATCACTTGTTTGTTTGACTCAGGCACAGTGCGGCCTGCGTCGGGCTGGGGTGCTTTGGCTTGCTCTCATTTCGAGTCACAACCTTTGTGTGGACCCAAGGCTGTGACTGTTGCCAAGGTTTGTGGGTTCTCCTGTTCTATGTGCTTCATGGGATTGGGAGAGGCCGCAACTTTCTCAAGCTTGAAGCCCTTCATGATTCCGTGTGCGAGGAGTGTACGAAAGCACTTACAAGGCAGGGCGGTGTTAGACCCCGACCTTTGCTGCAATTGAAAGAGATCACCCGTCTGTGCTTCGCATGTTGTTGCAGTTCAGGGTGTGTTGGGCGACTTCTTTCCCAGCAAGGCTGTTGGCGCCTTCGCAAACGTGCTGGCAGAGATCTCAGTTGCCAGGTCACCTCTTCGGCTGAAACGAAACACCGAAGCTTTTTTCGACTTCCGAGCTTCCGAGCTTCCGACTTGAGGTGCAAAGCATGTTGCCCTCGATCACCGTGCATGTCTTGGCAGCTCTGGGGCATGAGGCACGAAGGAGAGGAGGGCCCGGGGATGGGGACGGGTTTCGGCTCAGGCAATGGCGTAGCTCGGCAGAGTCTTCGTGACAGGCCAACCCCGCATTGTTTTTAGACCCGCCCACGCAACAGAATCTGCAGAGGGACTTGAGCTCAGGAACAACCTGCTGATCGCGAGCGCTGCCCTCACATTGCCCTGCTTCCTGCTGGCGGGTCTACGCGCAAGGCGAGGCCCACCTCCTGGTTTGGGCCAAGATCCACTGAGAGAGCCCTTCGAAGGACCGACCTCAAGCATTCCGATGGATGATCCGAGGACTCAGTTGTAAATGTGTCCTCTGACTTTATGTGGGACTTCAATTTTTTGTTGGCTGGAATGAAGCAATAAGCTTCACATGGCTGCGATGTTGTTTGTTTGGCTGAAAGTTTTAGTGTTCTCTCAACTCGAAGATTTCTTCACTTGGCCAAATGATCGACTCGGAGTTCGACTGTGTATCCCATGATGCTCTTGCTGTCACACTAGCCCTTGCCAATTCAGTATGTGAATTCCGTATGTACAGAAACTGCAGGTGTACAGGGTATCGATCCTACGGGACAGATGCAGCATAGGCCATGAGGATAAGACATCCTCCGGCGGGAGCCCCGCGCACTTGCGAAGCTTTGAAGCCTCCCACACTTAAGGAGTTTGCGAGAGAGACACTTTGTAGACGTCACTTGGCTCTGCGGCAGGTTCTGCCGCCGCCTGGGACAAGAGCTGAGGCGCGAATCCCCGGTGTCGGTTGCGAGACACTGAGAGACCGCGCTGAGGCAACCTGAGCGTTCAGGCAGGGCCGTACACATGTGATATGGCATCCTTTCGGCTCCGAATGATTCGACATGTGCCAGAAGCCCTCAGCGCAGGGCTGATGTCTCCGCTCACGGTGCGCTGCAGCAGCTCGGATCAATCTAAGAGGCTACCTCCAGGGGGAAATGGTTGCATAAGCCTTACGGACTAGGTAGAGTCAAGCAACGACACATTTCCTTTGGGGTCAGGCTTGAGTGGAATCAACTCTTCGGTGCCAACAGGTTCAGTCAGCCTCCGAGCGCGAGCGTGAGGCTACAGATACGCGTGTCCCCCCAGCCCGAATTTGGTGAAGCTGCCGCGGCCTCAAAGCGCAAAGCGGGGGGGGGGGGGTTCTTCGAAGCGCGTCGGCGTGTGTCTGCGTGCCAGGCGGCAGCTTATCACCGAGAAGCTGGTCCCTGTGCATTTCTTCATAAGGCGAATCCGAATGGAAAAAATGAGCGGCAAAATATGAGAGTCCGAGTGGCAAAGAGCCCAGGAACAAGAAGCTCACTCCCTGGCCCTGGGTGGCTGACTAAAAGCAGCCAGCTTGGATGGGTGTCGCTTTCAGCCATTTTCCCCCCAGGTGTGGGACACAGACTTCATGGGGATTTGCTGCTCGCCGAAGTTTGAGGGCAAGACCCACAAGGAGCCAAGCGGGTGCATCAGATGCGTTCGCTGCACGCAGAGATTGAGGAGATCAATGAGATGGTTGATGAACTGGCCGCTCAGGCAGGGCCCAAAGAGAAATGTGCTTTGAGACTTCTCCCAAAAGCACGAAGTCGAAACTCCTTGATTGCGGCCAAGGTGGGCATGAGGGGCCGTGTCCGACTGCTCTGCAGCGCGCCTATCTTTGCCACTGCGTGCAGCTTTTGCCATCCGTCAAGATGTTTTGTATCGTCGCTTTTTAGCGCATGGCATCAACCACGCTTCACACTCATGTTTCTTTGTGTGTGCTCTTATGCGCCTTACCACACAGAATCGTATCTCTCCCTGAGAGGCAGATGCTCATTTGGTCCAGTGGCGGGTTTAAGTGTGGGATGTGTTCACTTGTTCGTCAGAAGTTGTGTGGGCATTGAGCATTCCTTCTTGTCACCGAAATCTGCAGCACAAATCCGCTTGAAATTGAATGCTGGGATTTTGAAAGGTTGTATATGATAACATAAAATTGAGAGCATATGGGTGCGCACATTGAGAACACACATACATACAACACACACACACACATACGAGCACACACGCGTGAAAGCACAAACACATGAGAGCACGCATGTGAGGGTACATACACACACGCATGAGAGAGTCAGACACAAAAATGAGAGCACCTTTCATTTGGGTGTTGTGGACAGACATGCATTTACAAAATGAAGAAGTGTCACATTTGGGCGCCGGTTTCTGGGGCTGACAGTTTTGAGATGTGGCAGAATTCCATGGACTTCTTCAGCATGGCGTGTCCGTGTGGAAAATGCGGTATGTCATTCTCCGATTCTCCGATACGCTGTTTGTTTTGCTTGGCTGTCCAGCCCCGGGTGGCCACAGAAAGACTCAGTTCTTCAAAACAACTTCAGTTTCGATGAAACGGTTGGTCAATTGCCACGATATTTGACACGTACGAGACATCGGAAGCAACACCAATTCTGTCTTTGTGTTTTTGCTTGTGTTGGGGCTTGAGGCCGTTTGTGTTGTGTGGACCAGGTATCCCTTTACTTGCATCGACTTTTAGTGTCCAACTCCTGGTGTGAGCGCAGATAAACTGAACACGCATGTTCCGCATGTTATTCTGCTTTCCGCAGCTCAGTCAGTGGCATAAAAATTGATTTGCAACGTCCGAGCCTTTGCAGTTCAAGGGGCGAAAGGGGGTGGAAGGACTTGCATCTTGTGTCCATGCTAGTCCTCAACTGCAACGATGCTCTCGGATCGCTCTTCGTCCGGCTTTGGTGTCTGGCCCAGCTGGTGGCCGTCTCCTGGCATTGGCCGCAGCAACGGAGGTTTTACGCCTGGTTCCGGACATCCCAGCTGTCAGAGTCGGCGCGCAGGGGCTTGGCGACCTATGGCTATCCCGTCTTCGGATGCATCGGCGTGCCCAAATGGTCCTTGAACCAACTGGAGGTCATCACCCACCTCTACCGGGTGGTCTTGCTCACGGGGGTCCTTGCGAAGAACAAGCCCGTTTGGATGCCACCGGTCTTGCTTGCCATGAAGAGTCCAGTCTGGACCCTTCCGTGTCTTCCGGTGTTGGGGTTGATGTTGAGCATCTTCTACCACAGCAGCTTGTGGGCTGAACGGGCTTCATCGCATCACCGAGGCATTCTTTCAGTGACTTTGTGACTGGGCAAGTCTGGAGGTGACAAAACAGAAGAAAAGATCGGCCTGAAGATGTGTCTTTTTTGCCGAAGCAGTATGAAAACACGGGGTTCAAATGTTCAGAGGAAGGCAAGTTTAGTCTGGATCCAGAGCTGCGGGGTGCGCTCATTTGGACTGCGCTGGCTCGCGAGGCAGTTTCCTCTTCCCCTAAGATCCTCAGTGAAGCGCAGTGTCGCACGAAACGCAAAGCGGAACTATGTTCATTTTGCATGGGTTGTGCCGCCATGCGAATTGTCTTACTTTCTTTGCTTGCAAGCTTGTTGTCTCGTGGTTTGCGCGCCTCCCCATGCTGTTGCGCCTTGTCTTGAAACTGATTGTTTGGCCTGGTTCGCCCGCGCAAGCAGTAAAAGAAGAGGGTTGCAACGGATGTTTCTGTATGTTTCCGGGCAGCCCGTCGTCTAGTTGCTTTCGCGCGCTTTGAAGAGTTCGCGTGGCAGGCGCAGGGCTTCTCTCGTTTTGTAGTGCCAGGAGCAATGCTTTTGAAGCCTCTTGACAAACTTGCTCCTCGTCTAAGTGCAATTTTAGTTCTTGCGGGGAGCACGTAGCGTTTGGCGCGCGTCGGATCGCCCTCGTTGTGGCGCAGCGCTCGAACTGCTATCGCCCGCGAAACCTTTACGGCGTTTGGGGCGTGTCGGATCGCTCGTTGTGGCACGGCGCTCATTCTGATACCGTCCTTCGTAGTGGCGCAGTGCTGATGCTGATATTGTTTGCGACCCTTACGGCGTTTGGCACGTGTCGGGTCCAACCAGCGGTGCAGATTCTGATATCGTTTGCGCAACTGTTTGCGTACTGTGCGCGTGTCCTGTCGCTCTCCCTGTAGCCTGGTGCCGCTACTGCTGAACTTCTGGTGCCAACAGAGTGCTCCCAGAGATCTTGTTGAGATCATCTTCTAATGTCTTGCGTTGGTCCTTCATTGAGATCCGCTTGAGAGGTCTCGCGCCGGATCTTCGAAGATTTGTTTGAGATATTTCTTGCAAAGAACCCCTTTGCAAATACTAACTTGTGTATAGAGGAACCTCTCATGGATCCTGCGTACAGCTCTGGCCCGGTCTGACCAAGAGATCCGATTCAGACATCTTGTGCAAAGATTTTGCCAATCTTGCGTGGTCCTTCGCAGAGATCCTGTCAAGAGGTCTCGGACCTGCAAAAACTTTTGCCAACGATCTTGCAGACGATGTTCCCGACAGATCTTGCATCTATTCAGAGATCTTACGCAGGAAGGAACAGTTTGACTTCCTGATCCCCTAGCATGCATGTTCCGCGCGGGTTACTGCTTACCACTGTTTGGGGTCGCTTGCCGGGAGAATAAGCCTTCCCTGCTTTTTCTACCGCACAAAGTCAACCCAGAAAGAAGAAGTAAACATTGTGGATCCTTGATCCTTCCCAAAGGGTTGTCCCAAGCTGCCCTTGGCCTGGCCGAGGTGGATGTATTTGACGCTGGCACCGGACCTTCCGGAGGCCTTGGCCAGCTTTCAGGTGCACATTTGCAGCATCTATGCGATGTCGGTGGTCCAGAAGTGCTTCTGCTCTGCTTGGCGTGGAAGATCCTGGGCAAGGCCAAGAGAACACTTCAGAGGGCCTGGATTGCCATTTCACTGGTGTGTGCGCATTGACAACTAGCACAACGTAACTGGTTTCAATGATCAACCCTTTATAGCCGGAAGCTTGGCACCCCCAAGTGGCACACGTGACAGGACAAACCCGAGATGTCAAAATCTATGCTATCTATGCTATCTAGCCCTATTTCGGCACACTGCTGCAAGATCACCTGAAACCCTAGCACCCTGCGTCTTGCGCGCAGGTGGTCTCCTCACGGTTTCTTATGGAAGTCCATGTGGGCGAAGCCCTACTTCCCATCCTTGCAGCGGTTCCTCTTTCTGCGCCCCGCCGTGGCACATTACTTGGGCTGGGCTTCGTTGCTGCTGGAGCTGGGGCCTCTGCTGGCGCTCGTGGCTAGCCGCTGGCTGCAGCGCTGCGCCTATGGCGGCTTGATGGCCATGCACCTTGGAGTGCTGCTTGTGCAGGGCATCGACTACGTGAGCTATTGGACTCCAAGCCTTCTGGTGCCTCGTCAGGATCACTTGTTTTTCATTGAGTCATATTGAATCTGTGTTCTCCGAACAAGTTGCAGGAAAATCCTATGGAATCTGACCCCTGGTCCCATCGCAGGTGGGGCTCCTTTGTTTTGAGCCGCTCTCGGTGCTGAGCTCCGCCTGGGCTGTTTCAGGTGTTTGGCCGATGCTGACATTGCTGGGTGCGCAGCTGCTGTTCGCGCTAGGCGCCGTCTGCACGTGTTCCATGTTTTTAATTATTCTGTGTGTTTTTGGGGGTGTGGCACGACCTTTCCCAACACTTTTGCCACTTGGCACAAATCGATCTTGGTCTTCGCTTTAGTGGACTTTGGACGCATGGCATCTGTAGGCACGGCGGAGAACTTCAACATCAACCTGCCACCCCTCATGTCCTGCCCCATGTTTGTCACTGTTGCCCGTTTGGACGACGGATGTCACCAGCACTACGTGATGACGGCAGATGGAGAAGTTCCTTACGAGCGCATCGAATGGATGTATCCCTTCGTCCGGGCCGAGTACGGCATGGCCTTGACCAAATCCGACGTGGCGCATTTCCCGATGCCCTTCGTGGCCTTTGGCTGGGGCGGGTCCTTAGAAGGTGCTCCACGGCTCCTTCATCGCTTCTTCCGGAGATTCCGGGGATTTTATCTCATCAGCAACGTGCACTTGCCAAGAAGCCTGCAGTCTCAGTTGAGATCCATCGTTGTGGACTTGCATGCGGGTGGCCTCGATGCGCCCTACCAACACCTGGCCTCCCTGGCGGACCGATGCGAGGCAGCGCGCCGCGCCTTTCAGGAGAACGTGGAAGGTCCGACCGACCCATCGGCGCATCCGCGCGCCATTGCGACGTGTGCGGCGTGCGTGTGGGAGGAAGGGACTAATGTTTGCAGAGTCAAGGAAAAGGATTTGAGTCGAGCTGCACGTGGTCCGGTGAAGCGCCGCGAACGCGGCCACGTACGCAGAAGGGCGTGGGTGCGGCCTCATCAGATTCCAATGGCTCGCAAGAAGCCATGCCAGCCGTGTATAGCACACTTTAAGCGATCTCATCGAGCTCGGTAAACTCGAAAGACAGAGTTTTGGTGTCCCCATTTTGATGTGCAGTATCAGCCTGGGGCACTTCGCACTTGAGCTCCGAGCAACACTCCGAGTGTACAGCGGCACGGCCTCTCGGAGAGTTGCGTTGCAGACTGACGGGGAGCTGGGAGTTCAACAAGCGCGACGCGTGAGCGTTTCAGCCTGAAGTGGCCCGAAACGCTTTGGTTTGCAAATGAGTTTGTGGAGTTAAGGACTAGTTTGAGTGCTAAACGGGAGCTGGAAATGCCCTTGAGCGTGACAAGATACTGAAACCTGCAGGAACAGGTTCCTTCTCCAGAATGGAACCAAAGTAGCCAAAGTAAAAGTCATGACGAAAACCAAGAGTCATTTGCTCATCTCCCAACAACCCCCTACTTCAATCATGACCTTCTCCGCCTCTATTTGGAGAACCGACCAAAAGGAGATTCTTGAGCAGCTTGAAAACAGCAAACGTGGTGAGATCACAGAGGTTTCAGAGGAGCCCCTCATGTCTGCAAGGATTCATGTTGTTTCCCAAAGTACTGCTAAGTCACTGTTGGCGACAGCTCGCCAGCCAGCCGCCTTTGACATGCTGTTGCCATGGAAGCCATCGGAGACTCCTAAGGTGTTGCAGGCCTCAGAGCGCAGTGCACTGCGCGACCCCATGGGAGCAAGCTGCATCTCCGCCCAACACTCGCCAGGCAAGTTTCCTTTGAGCAAAAAGTCATCAAACAACACCTCCGCTGGAGCAGAAAGCGCCCCTGAGAACCAGCCGCCGTCGCGGCAGCAAGCTGTTGTTTGCAAGGCAAGCAGAGCGGGGCCAGCGTTTTGCTCTTATTCGACAATCATGGCAGGTGGGCCCCGGCCCGCGCAAAAAAAAGGTCCAACCTGCAAAGGCAAGAATCTAAGAAGGCCCTTGGTGACCAAGCTTGGTGTTGGAGCAGCGGCCAGCCGTCACTCGTAGCGTTTGCTTGGGTCTTCTCCGACGCGCGCTGTCACGACGCAAGCTTGAGCCAGCAGGCTACCCGAAGTGGCAAACGAAGTGGCAACATCCGATGCCCGGAGTTTGTTCTAGGCGTTTGCCAGTTGGCTATGAATTCAACGCCTCAAATGCGGTTGGACATAGGTGTAATGAAGTCTACAAGGGTTCCGAGTGAAGCAACAAACCCCCACCCAAATCTTCTGGCCAACGAGGCCAGCCGCCGTCGCGCTGGCACATGCTGAAGCGGCGCGCGCGCAGTCGCTGGGACTTTGACCGATGAAGTTGCTAAAGCCTCGAAAGCGGCGCTGGTCAGTCGGCCCTTTTCCGAATGCGCTTCGTTTGGTGGGCTTGAGGGGAACCTAGAAGTTAGGGATTCCTGGTCTTTTAGACAGCGTCCTTGGGCTTTGCATAGGCCAGGACTGCAGGACTCGAAGAGAAGAACCGGCGACAGCCTTTCGTTTCAGAGCGGCATGTTGCCGGTTGCGCTGGATGTGCAAAAAGGATTTGAGCGATTGTAGCGAAGGGTCGTATTCCCGACTTTGTGCTGTCAAGGGAACGACCCCACGGGAAATACATTTTGGGAATGGGATTTGCTCACCGAATTCCCAAACTGGGTGCACAGTACAGGTTCGCTGTCGCTCATTTGCATCGTTTCTGCTCCAAGCCGCAGCTGTTCCTGATATAACTCCCCTTCTGACCTGACTAATTACACGGTGCGGCGCTCAATTTTCATTTCGCATGCTATTGAGCATTCCTCCAGAAGCATGTTTACCGTTTTCAGGTGCCAGACGCAAGATGCAGCAACCTGGACTACACAAGGGCGTCTTACGTTTGTGCTGTACATGTGAGAGCCACACAGATCTTCCCCCACCTTGGGCGTGTGCCCAGGCCGTGCGATCCATCTTCGGCTTTCTTTGGGTGCCTCGCTCAGGCCGGCAAGCAGCTAAGCTGCAGAGCTCCCGGCCGCCAGGTTCATGGGAGTCACCTCTGCGCTCGTCTTCGCCAACCTGGGTGCAGCCTACGGCACCGCGAAGTCAGGCGATGCCATGGATGCTCTTTCAGCATGTTTTTTGTTTGCCTGGAGTGACAATGGGTCAGGCGTCGGGATCGCATCCATGGGCGTGTCTTGGCAAACTGGGTCTTGATCATTCACCATGGTCCAACAAAGCCAAATCTTGCTGTTGGCACTTTGCAAGAACGCTCAGGTCATGCGACCTGACATGATCATGAAGCCGCTTGCTTGCAAACTCACCGCGCTCTCGCACTGCACCGCAAGTGCCTTGAACAACTTCTCAACGTTCGTTGCGCAGGTCAATCATCCCGGTCGTCATGGTGCCACACGCTGCATTAGTTCTTGCTGCATGTTTCAGTCACGCAAGTGCGGCAAGTCATTCCAAAGGTCCAGACCCGCATCAAATGTCTCCGTGCGTTCGTTTTTTTTTTCCTTGGGAGCGTCTCGATCGAGAGCGGTCTCAGTTAGGCTGGTGTGCTGGGCATCTATGGCCTCATCACCGCCGCAGCGGCCTCAGCTTGGCGGGGGGGGGGGTTGGGGGGGTTGGGGGGGTTGGGGGGGTTGGGGGGGTTGGGGTTTGGGCCCGGAACGACACTCGGAGCCTGGCTGAGGTGAGCCACAAAACAAAACCGGGTAGAGGGTTAGCAAGGGATAATCCCAGCCGTAAATAGTTGTGGCCGCCTTCGTATTTCCTTACATGGTTCTGGGTCACCCATTTTAATACCGGGGTTTGATTGTGACTCAGGTGATCATCAACGGCAAGATGGATGCTGCGAACTATTCGGCCTACTCTGGCTACGCACACCTCGGCGCAGGCCTTGCCCTTACAGCTCTCCCGCTTTCTTTTTTTGTTGGCAGAGGCAATGCTTGCCACGGCAACTTCAGGCCTCACTGTGGGCATGAGCTCCCTTGCAGCAGGACATGTTGTGCAGATTCTCGGTGTTTGGCCTCAGGATATCTTTTTGACCATCCAATTTTCCTGAAGGTAATTGGAGCAACTGACAAGAATTCATTTTGCAGTGTATTACGAGCTCGGGCACAGGGTGTGATTTGGAATTGTCTACACAAGGGACCACCCAACTTCGGCACAGAACCTTCGCAAAGAGCCATTGGTTTTTCAGCTTGCATATCGATAGCTGTGCCAAAAAAATGCAAATGGCGTTGACGCTTTGACTTGAAGCCAATAGGAAAAACATGTTCAGTTCACAGGCATGTATCATCGCCACATACACAATCCATATTAATCGCTGGACATTCACATTGCAGGCCCCAACAGCAAACGCGTGAGACAAAATCAAAGATGCGGCGCAAGCGATTTGGGATGAGATCTCTCAATTCCAAGCGGCAGGCAAATGATGACATGTCTTGACGCAATGACGGACATGTGAAAGCTCCACGAGGAACCGGCACAGGCGGATAAGTTTGTGCGGAATGCAGATAGCTTCTGGCAGACGTACCGGAGAAGAGGAACGGCTGTGTCTCTGAAACTCAAGACCCTTCCGAGAAGGAAACGGTCAGCCCTTTGTTGGCTTCGACACAGAAGTTGGTAAGGCATGTAGAGAAGGGACACCATTTGTTGGACCCATTAGGAACCACCAACTTGCCACTGGACATCTTGCAATGGCAGTCAGGCTGGCATCCAGCATGGACGGGGCTGAGTCAGGACTTGCTATTGGCATTGTTGGCGATGCCGGGGTGCGAGCAAATGCCCAGCAGCCACGGCTTTTCGTGGGTATGATCTTGATCTTGATCTTTGCAGAGGCGGGGCATGGCAACCTTGCTTTCCGATTTGTGGCACGACGGAACAGCGAATCATGCAAGTGGCACCTTTGCCATTTAACTACATGAGTGAAGTCGACGACTGGAAATTGCTTACGAGTCACAGGGAGGGCATGTGCGGAGTGGCACTGTCTAAATTGGAAGCGGAACTTCTGCAAATCAAGGCGCTGGGTCTGTACGGCCTGATTGTGGGCCTGGTGGTCGCTTCTACTGCCGAGGGAAAAGGTGAAGCGCCCAGCGTGTTAGGTGCTTCGAGTGTGCATCTCCGCATGAAATGCTCTCTGAACAAGGCAAGGGCCTTTGCACTCCTTATGCCTGGTGCTTAAGACGGGCATGTGTCCAACACTTTGTAAGCCCGTTTCTACATGCCACGGGGTGAATGAACCTACACCGGTTGCTGATGTTCGTACCCCCCCTCTCCTAAAAGGGGTTGGTGGTGAGGGGTACGAGGAAGGGGTACGCGTCGCTCGTAGATATTCGATGCACCAGCGTGTTCCATGGCTGCAGGCATGAGCATTCTGAGCTGAGCTAAGTGCGACACCTTCATTGCGTAACAGGGCACGGGGTGGGATTTTGTCAGCCCGCCGAGTGATCTGGCCTTCCATGGAGTCTTAGTTCCAGTAGATTGCTGATTGCAGGATCACCGCAGCACTCGCTTGGACAAATGGTGCACTGCATCTCTGCATTTGTGCGGGGGCCAGCTCATGTGCTCAGATTCCAGAGCTTGCAACCTGTGAACCTCTCTATGGATTAAGACTTAAGAAGGATGAGTGAGGAAAGAGGGTGAACATGGGCTTGACGCGACAGTTGAATCGGGATTGCTCTGCCATCTCAGCTGTCGGGAGCGCATTTCACTGCTCATGGCCCTGTGCTGTTCGCTCAGGCAGGCACTTTGCATTTCAATGGGAAACGCCCCAACAAATCGTTGGAGGACGCGCCTGCGGGATGACATGCGCCTGTCAGGTCCTCGAGCACCAGAATCCGGATGCGATAGGTCCGGCGGCTCAGAATCCTTGGTCTTGTTAGGCCGCCACCCGAGCCACCCGAGCCACCGAGCCATCAGCATTCAGCCCACATGGCTGTGGCTCAAAAACATGTACCAAAATTGGCACCTTGGTAAATGGAACCAAAGACTAAAGCGCGCGTAACCCCAGCTCTCTATTTTTGAGCCACACCCACATGCCAACCGTTGCATCCCATGGCGGCCAAAGAAGATGCCGCGCTGGTGCTGCAAGCCCGGCACCGCCAATGTGTGGAAGAGCTGTTTGACGACTACGCGGAGGACTTCGACAAACACCTCGGCGCGTTGGGCTACAAGGTGCCGCAGATGCTGCTGTCGCTGCCCTGCCTGGAGCGCCGCTTTGGGCGCTGCATCGACCTGGGCTGCGGCACGGGCTTGGCGGGCGTGTCTCTGCGCCGGCACTGCGACGCGCTCGAAGGCGTGGACCTGTCGTCCCAGATGGTGGCGAAGGCCATGGACCGCCAGATCTACGATCAGCTGCACTGCCGGGACTTGGTCGCACACCTGCGGCGGGAGGCGGAGGCCTCCTGCGATTTGTTGGTGGCCACGGACGTGGTGATGTACTTGTTCTCCATCGCGCCGTTGCTGGAGCAGGCGCAACGGGTCCTCAGCCCGGGCGGCTTCCTGGTCTTCTCCACGGAGTCGGCCTCAGAGGCAGAAGCCCCTGGAGGTGTCGTGGAGAGGGCCTCCGAACGCTTTGCGCATAGTAGGAGCTACATCCTTCAGTTGGCCACAGGCTTTGAGTTGGTGGATGTCAAAGAAGTCTACATCCGCTCAGATGGTGAAGCCGGGCCTGTCATGGGCTCCTTGGCTTGGAAAGGAAGTATTAGAGGCTTAGAGGCTTAGAGGCTTAGAGGCTGTTGGCATCTTTTGGCACTTGTGTGGACCAGCTTGACCAATTTGCTTCCATTTCAATTTTCTGAGGAGACATTTTGATTCTTCGCTGCTTGTGAGTGGCCGGCAAGTTCCGCTCCGTAGAAACGAGGCACCGCCAGCAAAATGGAGCACCGAAAGGGCAAGAGAGCAGGGAAAATGCGGCCTGCCCCCCCCCCCCCGCCCCCCCAGACACTTTGAGCCTTCGAGGCGAATGACCGGAGGCGGGCCCCAGCGGCTTCGCTTCCTCGCGTCCGCTCGCGTGGCCCAGTGAGGTCCTGTCGCCTACGGAGGCAGTTTTTGGAAGCTCTCAGAGCCCAAGCCAAGGGATTGCTTTTGACACTCATGGATTCGGCTTTGAAGGCATTGACACTCATGGACTCTGAAGGCTTTGAAGGCTCATGGATTCGAAAGCCCGAGAGCTTGCATGCTTAGTGTCCGGGCCTACCAAATTGTCCAACGTAAGGCACAGACTGCAAGCCCTATCGCTAGAACATTTGCACTCACGTGCAGCGTTGCAAGCATTGCGAGCATGGCAAGCACTTTGGCATCTAACCTCTGCATCGCTCTCGATGGCGGTGCCAAGCCATGGCACCTTCGGTGCTGTCGGACCGGCTTACTGGCTTACCGGCTTTCGGGTCTGAGCTTGGCCCAGTGGCGCATTCCTTCGCTTGGATGGGGGTCGCGCGGCAAGGATAGAAAAGTGAAGAAATGATGCCACTCATCTGGAGTGGCTTGTTCGGCCTTGGCAGTGGTCCGTGACATGGTGCCAGGACATTGAGGCTGCGCTAAGCCTCAAGCTCGACATCTGCCCATGGAGGACAGCATGTTGGCTGAGAGTCAAGCCGATGTTGGCTCACGTGCAGGTCGACGCCGAGAGTGGGAGATGCAGCACTTGCCACTAGCTTTCACTCGCACAACCAAGGCTGGCAGCAGCAACATCCCAACCAGCAACAGGGCTGGCAGCAACAGCCTGTGAATCAGCAGCAGCAGGGATGGCAGCAGCATCCTAACCAGCAGCAGCAGCAGGGATGGCAGCAACATCCCAATCAGCAGCAGCAGCAGCAGCAGCAGCAGCAGGGATGGCAGCAGCATCCCAATCAGCAGCAGCAGCAGCAGCAGCAGCAGCAGCAGCAGCAGCAGCAGCAGGGATGGCAGCAGCATCCCAATCAGCAGCAGCAGCAAGGCTGGCAGCACCATCCCGATCAGCAGCAGCAGCAACAGCAAGGCTGGCAGCAACATCCCAACCGGCAACAGGGGGGTCAACAGCAACAAGGCGTTCAGACGCAGCCTGTGACTCAAGGGCAAGCAACCGCGGGAGCTGCACAGACCACCCCAAACCCAAAGAAAGGAAGTCCCGAGGAAGCCAAAGCCTCCGACGAGGCCTGGCAAAGTTGGGTTTCGTTGCCCGTGGCAAAATCGCTGTGCAAATTGAGAGAGACAGGACGCAGAAGAGGAGGAGGATGGCGCACCCTGGCAAAGATCGGTTCAGAGACTCGTGTTGAAACGCTGAACCCACACGGGAAGGTCCAGTCCCGTGAGACGCCCCGCAGTCCCAGCTGCTCAACAGCCTACCTTGCCGAGGACACAGATGCAGCTCCTGAGCCCAAGACCGGCCAGGAAGGGTTCGGGGATCAAAGCCGAGCCACCCCAACCCAAAAACATGAAACCCAGCCAACCCAGCCTCGAGCCCATGAGATATAAATGATATAAGGCAGAAGTGTGCGTGATAGATTTCGGATGAGGTCGTTCATCCTGAATGTCCATGGCAACTTCATTTGGCGGTCGACCAAGATCTGTTTATTCTTGCCGGGATAGGACTCTAAGATGGAGGACTCCAAGAAGAAGCTTGCCAAAGAAAAGGCGCCGCTCCTCTCGCGGGATCGTCACAATGCCTCCTTGCCTGCTAGGAAGCGGCAGGGGCGAAGAAGTTGAAGGAGGAGGAGGCAAGCCGATAGTATTGGGCTTCCATTTGATCCATAGGTTTCAAGATTCAAGATTGAAGTTCTCCTTACGTGTAGGCCAAAAAGGAGAAGGAGCAAGAAAAGGAGAAGGACGAGAAGGAGGAGCCAACTCGCGAGGACAAGGCTGAGGCCAGGGATGACTTTGAAAGGCCAGGTGTTTTCAATTCTCTCTCCCGCCGTTCGCAAGGCGATGCTGAAGAACCTGCCGGCTGTGCCGGAGGACTTCTGCGAGAATCGGCTCAGAGTGTCACCGATCCATCCGTGCCCCAGGATGGCCAGGCCAATCATCGCAGCCCATAACTTGGCGCCAGTCGTTTTTTGCGTGGCAGCGCAGGGTTTTCGCGCTCAGGCTGGGAATCCCAGCTGAACTCAGAGGATGTCAAGCGGCAGATGGAGACCAGGTGCGCGGGGTTTGTGCAAATCACCTCCTGTTCACAAGTGCACCCTGTCAATCATTGCAGGGGGCGTTTCTATTTTTTGGGGGCAAGCGATGTGGTTCCAGCCCTATCACCGGACTGCCAGTCGCGAGATGGAGTCCGTACGCAGCAAGCAGCATGCGCCGCAGCAGGGAGCTTTTGTCCAGGTGCACGCATGAAAATGGCTGTGGGTCAAAACCAATGGTACCATTTTGGGGTAGGTGCACCACCCATTTTAGGCTATTTGAGTGGGGATTGGGATGTTCACTGGGGGTACGATTTGGATTTTGACCCATGGCCAAATAGAGGGATGCGCGATCCGTCAGATGGATGATTTTCTGTCAGCTATCGACTTGCAGGTGCGTGCCAGCGCATTCCTGCACTTCGCCGATCCGAACTCTCCTCCGCTCCACGTCTCTTCCGAGAGCGCGCAAGCCGGCGCTGCAGAAGAGGCCCGGCGAATCAAGGGCTTCTGAATGCTTCTGACTTCGTTTGTAGCACATGGCCAGGAGGACCACTCCAACCACCGCAGAGCAGCTCTCAGTTTGGGTTGCGAAGCTGGTTTCTCATATTTGCATCCATAGGCTGGGAAGCTCAACTCACAGCTGAAGACCTCAAGAGGCAGATGACCGAGAGGCACTCCGATCTCCGATGCTTGCACTATTCAGCATAGGCTTGGGCAATAAGGAGATCGCCAGGACTCCATTTGCAGTTGTTTTCTTCGTGATTGTTGCCGCAGTCGACTGCGCGACTCCTTGCACTCTGGGAATGTGGTGATGGCCTCATGCGGAATGCCTGTTGCTTGTTGCCTGTAAGCCAGACAACAGGCTGACCGTTGGGAAGATGGAGCTGGATTGGACGGAGATGCAGATGGAGCTGCCAAAGACGGAGGCAACGGAGCAGATGGAGCCAACGGGGCGGACGGAGCGGACGGAGCCAACGGAGGCGGGAGGCCTGCCTTCGCGATGCCTCGAGCTCGTTCGCGCCAGGCAAGAGCAAGATGGATTTAGGCCTGGCTTCTATGCTGGGCTCACGCGCCCATTTTCATTTCGCAGGCGACGCATCTGTCACTTTGCTACCGCTGTGCCTCTCCCAGACCAAATCGCGTGTCACGTGAAACAGACAGAAACATGAGCTGGGTATGGGTCAAAATCAAGCCACCAGGGGACCGCAGGTTTTGGTCCATGTTTATATTTATTAGGATTACATTTTGGATACACATCTTTGACCCACAGCCAACTGAGGATTCGGCAAGTCGGCCAGTCTATCGGCTTGAACTATTTGCTCAAGGCACAGGGCCATAGGTGAAGCTTTGGCGTGCGCACGTGCCACCGTGACGCCTCAGAACCGTGTGACGAGCACCAACCTGGCCTTCAGACAAGCTCCGGTTCCAAAGCTCCCTGCATCGCAATGAGCCATGCACGTGTCCATCGTTTCAGCTCAAGCTGTGCAAGGTTCTTCTGCGGGAGGGAAGGTCAGGTCACAAAGGAGCTGAATGATGACGATCATCCTGCCGTCTACTTTGCTTTCCCAGTCAAGAAGCTCGGTTTGATGGCACGGTCTTGCGGCGAGACTGATGATCAGAAGACATGCCCCAGGAATGTGAATATTGAGCTTACTGACCTGGGACGCAATGGCAAGGGCAAGAAGGAGCGCCGGAGCGTGTGGCGTTCGTGAGAATCGATATGAATCGATTGGTTTCGTAGGAGGTGATTTGGAATGCGACATTCTCGCCCGACAAGCCCATCAAAGGAGTCACAGGCCGGTTACGTGTTTTTCTCTTTGGGGAGACATCTAGATGCGTGCCTAAAACATGCAAAACCTGTGGGAGTTTTGTAGGAGTCATGCGGCCGGACGGTGGCGAGCAAGTGAACTTCAAGCGGCCATGCTACAAGGCCAAGACCAAGAACCGTGTGGAGCTGCATGTGCGTCTTGGCCATCGCGTTTGTTGGGTACGGGTTGGGTGGGGGTTCTTGGATATGCTGCTATGCTTGGATTTGTTATTCAAGTCGTGAAGTGGCACTAAGGACGGCAGACGACCCCAAGACGGATTCCCCAGAGCAGGCCCGATCGCAGGTTCCTTGGCAGCATTTTCAAGGATACAGCCTCCCGAAAGCTTGTCGCATCAGAGTTGCATACGAAGCTCAGGCTGTGAAGATGAAATCGATTGACCGTAGCATTGACGAAGTGGTAGAGTTTGAGGCGCCACATGCCACGTCTCGATGGGTTGAGCCAAAGTAGACGCCTGCCAGGTTCAGCTCCTTGATAAGAACGACCCACTGATGAAAGAGAGGCCCAGACGTTGGGTAAAGTCCAGAGACGAAAGGCGGAGATTTTCACAATAGAGCTATAGTTTGGAGTACGCTTCTTCTTTCACCTTGTTCATCCCCTTCTTTATGTCCATCTTATCTTCCTCCTTCTTCTCTTTATCTTTCTCGTGCTTCTCGTGTTTCTCTTCTTTCTCTTCTTTCTCTTCTTTCTCTTCTTTCTCTTCTTTCTCTTCTTTCTCTTCTTTCTCTTCTTTCTCTTCTTTCTCTTCTTTCTCTTCTTCTATTTCTGCTTTTTTGTCCTTCTCTTCTTTCTTTCTTTCTCTTTTTCTTGTTTTTCTCTCTCTGTCTCCCTCTATCTATCTATATTTCTATCTAATGCAACAAACTGACCCCCCAAAGTCCAGAGGGACCTCCGCAAGCGAAGTGGGCAAGGACAAGTTGTTTCAGGCCGACCCGAAAGTTTGCGGAGAATTGGTACTTTGGGAGTCGGGGATGCTCCAAGGGCCCACGTTTAAAGGGACATGCGAAAGTCGGGCTGCGTGAGCGAAGTGAATGTTGTCAAAAAGCAAACAAACTGTGCAAGTTGAGGACCATCCCAAAGTATGCATGTCAAATGTGACATAGCGTCCTGGAGCAATGTGAGGCGTTATGGTTTGACTGAGTGTTGACTCTGACTCGGGTGTTTCAGTTTGCTCGTGACACGCCGTGTATATTGAGATGTGTTCAACCAAGGCAGGTGTGCTGAAAGTTTACAGGAACAGATCACAAGCACGGCCATCAGACTGTGAGCCAAATTTGTTCAAGCCAGACAGCCCCAAGCCCAAAGATCCTGAACAGGACATCGAATATTGAAGACGGCATCCGTGTTCGAGAGAGTTGCCCCCCAAGAACCCATCTAAAGGCACACCCAAAGCTTCTTTGCAACCAAGAGGCGAGAGATGGGCACAAGAGCGGCCAGCGCAATGGTTCTCAGTTCTGGAAGCGCGTTGACTTCTACCACCATTTCGCTACCACTACAACAACTAAGTTCCATGAGTTTTGCCATGACGACTGCTGTATCCATTACTTCAGCACTACTGCAACAAAGACAGCTTTGTGGCTTCGAATGCCCACTCGTGAAGCTGCGACATGCAAATTACACGATGAGGTCGACAAACAAGCTGTTGCTCCTACCGAATAGCCTTTGACATTAGGAGGTTTCGCAACGTTGCTCGCTCATGCATATGTATATATAGCCGGCCCACAAACCTATATATATATATATATACATAGATGTGTGCATATATTTTGAGGTACACAAATACAAGCATGGTTGTATCCGCTGTATCCGAGTTTGCGAATGTATGTTGTATTCCCCAAGTTCAACTATCATCAGTAAGAAGCTTCAACGATGGTTGCCATGGACCAATGCCAAGTTCCTGTCGCCTTAGACTGCAACCGGCCAGGGCAGGGGAAGCTGCAGGCTACTACTTCGGAGGTTCAGGCTGGGAAAAGTGAGTTGAAGTCCAACGACTCAACCTGCAAGATTCTTCCATCTTTGGATCGGGGCGACGGCATCATGTTGGCTCCGGCCAGACGCCGGAGGCGCCGGCGCCAGTGGCGCTGGCGGCGCTGCCGGCGGCGCCGGCGCTGGGAACTTCGGCACGGGCGCGGAGGCGGCGCAGTTCGGGCAGCCACTCAGATGGAAATTCGTCGCCCGGACGCCGTGGCCATGTGGCCAAACCTGGAGTCAGAGGGTTTCAGATTGCACTTGGCCAACAGAATGTGTGATCAGTGTAGTGTGGGCGTTGGCAACGAGCAACCGACCAGAAAGGCAGAAGCCCTGAACTGTTTGCACAGCCCAGGCCTTTTGGTGCTTGCGTGATGTTTGCATGTTGGTTTCTTCAATACCTTGGTCCGGACCCCAATGGTCACAGATTGTTCACTGAGAGTGGGTCAAGCCTTGGGGAACGCGGCCTTCTTTCAGTTTTGGGCATTAGCCAAAAAGTCGATTTGCACCATTCTTTGCAAAGGGTTGACATAGGGTCGAGACCCCAAGAGATCTTAGATGCCTCTGCAAGAGCCATCGCTTCACTTTCAGGGGGCTTAAATCCAAGGCTGATGCAGGATTTGGTGAAGTACAAGAAGCGCCTTGGCCGCCTTGGCCACCCATTGAGAAGCTTTGCTCAGTGGAACACTTTTCGTTCCCGAGACAAGGATCGGACCCTACATTGCTTCGGTGCCCAGCCTTCTGACAGTCACAGAGAGGCCAGGCAAAATCACAGCTTACAAATTTGCAAATTTACAAGTTTCCAGTGCAAGGCCTGACCTGAGAAGACGGTGCGCCGTTTTCCTTTAGGCCGAAAGGGCCCTAAGCCACCTCTTCCCCGAGCTCGAGGACGCGGCTCTCGGAGGACTCCAAGAGGACTCAGACGGCAGTCAGTCGACCAGTCGACCAGTCGAGTCGACGAGTCGACGAGTCGACCTGCGTGGAAAAGAAGCGGTGCGGCGGGGGGGTGCAGTATTTCTGCGGTGTGCTTCTAGCCAAAGATGCTTGCAGATGCGAGAAGCCTGGGTTCGACCGCTGCAGAAGAGCTGTGGAAGAAGTCTCCAGACGACGAGCCTGCCGCCTAGACTTGCCGAAGAGATGCTGACCAAAGAGGTTTCGTAGAACCTGGTCGAGGGTTTTCGAGCTTCCCTAGCCCTGGGCGATGGAAGCCGAGGCCACGGCCACTGCAGATCCAATATTCGGCCGAGGGTCAGGATGACCAGGAGAGCATGGAGCGCACGTGGGGCGTGTGTGGGGCCAAAGAGTCACTTTGGGTCCAGGAAATTGCGGATGGCAACGCGGACATCTCAGCCTCACTTCGTCAGTGCTCGAAATGCTGGTCTTGAGGTCATGGAGACCGTGTTCGAGGACCCCAACGAGGTGAGGGCAGTTGGAATCGCATAGGCGCCTGAGCCCTGTCAATGCAGGCCAAGATCCGTCCACGGCTCCTTGTACCCTTGCAATCAGTTCTGGGTTTGAAGGCCCTTTGTACCTTGGCAAACAGAAAGAAGTGAAAGAAGTGAAGGGCAAAGTATTGCAAAGTATTGCATGTGATTGCCGATCCCAGTGCCCGAACCTCAGGTGAGCGCGAGTACATCCGCACGGAAGCTGTGACAGAGACGTTGAACCAGTGCCGAACGGCCTACTACAAGGATGCCGAAGGATGCGATGTCAGAAGCAACGAGCTTCCCAAAAGCCGAAACAGGAGCTCTTGTACCTGAGAGAGCAGCTTATTCTGGCTGCGGAGCCGGAAAAGCAGCTCATGCTTCTCGGCATTGACCACCACTTCGTCAATGGTCTGAGTTCGCTGAGTCCTCTAAGGCTGGGCGCTGTTCAAAACTACGAGGCGCAAGCAGTGGAGTGCCGAAAAACAAAAGTTTGAGCTTCCAAGGTACGGGTTTGACACGAGCGCCCTGAGGTCTACTTCTTCAACCCGCCCGAGTATGTGGTCGCTCCCGGACTGAGTCGCGTGGATTGCTCCGAAGTCGTTCTTCTGAGGATGAGGACCTTAAAGAGTACATCCTGAACTGCAGCCGCCGCGCAACAAGCATTGGTTCAACTCTTGAACCACACACCCAAAGGCTTTGCGCATTTTGCAACAAGTTCTCCATAGATTGTGAGCAGTTTCATCGCGAATCATCGCGATGTCAGTGACTGCTCCGAGGGTGGACGCACAAGAAGCTCATCGAAGAGAACTATGAGCTGCAGGTGAAGCTGGCGGGTGTAGGACCTGTGAAGCCGCGCATTCGCCATTCGCATCGAATTTTCGTGAGGACAGAACGATGTCTTTGAAAATGCGGATTTCTGCCTCAAGGGCCTGCTGAGAAGGCATGGGACAGAAGCTTAGACTCCTTTCCGATAAAAGAAGCAGGGAACAGGGAAGCAGCTGAGGACCTACAAGCTCTTCAAGCTGATGCACTCGGTTGTGAGCAACGCAAAGGCCCAGATGGCAGTGGAAAGGGGCCATGTACGACGCAAAGTGGCAGGACTTGTTCAATCCCGAGGACATGATTAGAAAGCGAGAAACAGAGGACCGCAGATTCGAAGCCATCGCGGCTCGCACGCCGTTCGGCCTAGGGGCTGAAGCCGCTGGACGAACTGAAGGAGTGCAGTGAGTCAGTGATGTCGGAAGCAAGTAGCATGGGACCAGCCTCAAAACGAACGAACCGCAGGCTGCGGTTGCAGAAGCTTTCCCGAACCTGGGCGCGCGGGAGGACAACTCGGCCTCAGCCCCAGAAGCTGTTGGCTTGAATGGTACCCGCATCAGCCCAGGGTGCTCTGATCGCAGAAATCAATGCTCGGACCTCAGAACAGAAGTTTCAGTCGAATCTGCCATTGAGTTCCCATTCAGTCCTGTGCATTGCCATTGCTTTTCGAACGGGCGAGGAGTTGCAGCGGACAGTCGCCGATCTCAGGGCAGAGCTGGCCAAAGTCAAGGAGAATCGAAAGCCGCACCTTTTGCATGCGCACCTTTGCCTCTGTATTGCACCTGCAGGAGATGCTGAGCAAAGAGAGAAGCCGTGCCACCAGCTGTTTCTCCTCGATTTTCTGACACCCGGTGCCTCAGGTACCGAAGAGCTGACCCGAAAATGCGAGGAACAAGAAAAGCTCCTTGCGGCACCGGAGGTCATTCGATTCGATTGGTCGATTCGTCGGCCAGGCATTTGGCCACAAAACCTTTGCGCCAGGTGCCACAAGTCGTGGAGTCACACGGGGCGACGCCCCAAATGTTTGCCTTTCTTCTTGCCTCCTATGTTCGCGTTGCGCTGAGGAGGACTGCAAGCGCATGGAGCTCGAGGTGGAAGCGCAAGCCGGCGCCTGATGGGCATTGCCAGACACTGCGATGTTGTTTTTTGGGTTTTCGGGTTGAGATAGGACCGAACTTCATGCAGCCGGCTGATCCGTTTCATGTGTAAGGTGTAGTTATGTGCATGTGGGCGACCAGTTACCCGCACCACTCACACACGGGAGCATGTCTGCTGTGCTCCTCAACCTGTTGGGGTCGCATGGTTACCGTATCTTAGCTTTCTTCAAGAGTTGTGGTCGCAGTGAGCAGTCGACACGGCCAAAAGATGCTCGAAGAGCTAAACAAGGTTGTGTTTAAGGGCTGCCGCCCAGTGCGCTTCCCCCGTTGCTGCTAGGCATCACTTAATCTTCTCAAGCCGGCTTGATACCACTGTTGGATTCATCAACAAGTCATTATAGACAACCAGATTCTGGCTCCAGGTTGCTCCAAGTACCAGCCCAATGTCAATCTCCTCCCACCGTCACCAGGTGCGGAGGAGATTTAGCTTTCCGTGCGTGTGCTAAGTGTTCCATCCGTCCCAGGCGCCTCCCCTTCTGGGATGAAGGGGTCGGTGGGTCTTTCGTATCTCCAGACCTGCTTCACCAGCACAGCACACGTGCTCCGGAGTGTTGTCATTGTTTCTGCGCTCTTTTGCACGTCCTTGGGCACTTGGGATGCGCACCTGCCATTGGCGCCGGGTTTAGCACGGTCAAAGATTGAGGCATTCGAGCGAAGGCTTCTGCCGCGGTTGGCAGTTCTTTAGAGGCCATCTTCAAGCGAGGGGGACAGCATCCGGCGCTATTTTTGAAATCGCGTACGCAAAATTGTTTTTAACGCCGAGATGAAGCTGCTGACAAACAAAGCAGCACAGGCAGCTGAGTAAGTCATGCTACAAACCGTGTTTGAAATTCAATTGTCGCATATGAGCCCAGAGCAACCATGGATGGCAAGAAGCGAATCTCAGGCGAGTCATGCAGGCAAGAGCAAGAAGGAAACGAGGGAGGTGCAGGGACAACAGTTCGACATGGTGATGTTTAGGACAAACGTCTCAGTTGCCTCCATTAATGTCTAAACCAGTTCTTTCGGCCCAGATTCCAAAGAGCGTTCACTCATTTCAAGTTTTCGGAGGCAGCACGGGCCAGATCACTTCTCGACTCAAAGATTGTACCCAGGTCAACCGAATGCGCCAGATGATCACAGACTTGAGTAGCGGCAAGAAATACCAGATAGGACTTCATTTGCCCTGCGCCGAATTCATTCACCAAAGTGTTTGTTTCTGTTGCCCCGCATTGACCAGGAAAGTCCGCGCCCGACCAGAGCAAGGTCTTTCCTCATCTTGACGAGGCAGCGAGCATGCCCCAACAACTCTGGCCAGCATGGGGACTTGTTTTGACCGAGGTGAAAATGGCTTTGATTGAACTCAGGCGATTCTCGACTTGGACAAGCTGTTTGCAAAGATAGCTCGATGCTCAGATGAGGGTAAACAGGCATGCCACACTGATGTCATCCGAATGCCAGTATCCGGAAATCACCTTTGCCAGAGTCATTAAGGGCAGAACGAAGCGGTACGCGTCGTGTTGACAAACATGCCCACATCCATGACTGCCACTTTGCCATGTGCCTTGATCGCAGTTGGCGGAGTCTCCACAGATCTTGACGAAAATACAGGCCGCAACCTTGGTTTATTCGGGGGCTTCATTGCGTGGCAGAATGCGAGCAACTGGCGCAGGCGTGGCTCAAGTCAACTCAAGTCAAGCTTCAAACCGCAGAGAAGTCGAATGCCGATGCCAAGACTCTTTGCGGCCTATTTTGCCAGTGCTGCTCGGGTTCTTTGCAAGCCAAGTATACCTGCTCAGACCCAAGCACGGCCACGGGCTTGGAAGAGTGCCTCACGGTTCTGCTGGCGCCCAAGGGCTCCACGGACTCCCTCACGCTCGTCTACGAAGCCCCTTCATTGACAAGTGCCGAGGGTGCCAACATGCAGCTGCGCGTGGACAACTCTGTCAAAGTTCAGGTTGGAGAGGGGGTCCCAATGGTGCCTACCGTCGACGAGTCCATTGATGGCGTGCCAGGCGCCCAATGGGACGGCTTCCTGATTGCTACCGACTTTGCCATGCCCTACAGTGCAGGCATCAGTGCGATCCGATGCTGTCTCAGCTGATCATCAGCAATGGCTTCTCAGCCAGGACCATACCCATGTTCACATACACCAACGATGGTGTGATTGATGATGATGGTTGTCTTGGCCCGGTCAACAACACTCCTGGATTCGATGCCGAGACGGTTGAGGAGAAGTGCCCCGGGGTGAAGAATCTGGAGAGCGGGATGTACAAGTACACCTTTTTGCTTACCAGGATTCGAGAATTGACTGTGAGAATTGCACGCTCACCTTTAGGAACCGCTTTGACGTCGGAGTTTTCTCCACAGTCACCTTCAACTCCGCGAAGACGCTCGACACCATTGGGACAGATCAAATCTCGACTATTCGGTTTGAAGCACCCGATGCGTCATCTGCATCCAATGTGTCTATGTACATCGAGCTTGACCTGCCATCGCTTGTGACACTTGGGCGGAAGGATACTCAAAGGTCTGACCCTACGGGGGCGACCATCACCGCCACAAAGATCAGTGCCACGTCCTTCTACCTCGACTTCGCCATGGCAGCTCCAGGTCCCGACAAGTTTGCATTCGACCCAACCGTCACGGGTCAAGGCCCGGATGCAGATACCATGTCTACCGTGGTGGCCGGCTTCTCCAGCTTGTGCATCCTTGTGGCCCTTTCGTGGTCTCAGTGCGACGCTGCCAATGGGCAACCACTTTTTTTGCCTCTGCCTGAGACACGAGAATTCATCCTGACCGGAAAAAGAGAACACTCGTTGGTCTAGAATCTAGAAGTCGGCTTGGGTCGGACGTGGCGCAGCCAGGACCTGGGTTTGAGGTTTCCAGGTTTCGAAACGTCAGTTCTAGGATTTCATTTCCGTGGCCATGTGCACCGGGACCAGCTTAGACTGCCGGAGCCGTTAAATTTTTAAAAGTCAAAGAGTTTCGTGGGTAGATTTGGCATGCAGCAATGCAGGCCACCACGACCCAAGTTGTGGAGAGTGTCTCAGACGACAATAAGAAGGCCAGAGAGACTTGGTGACATCTGCATGTCGCTGATGTGCAGGAGATACAGGAGTTGAAGAAGGAGCTTGGGCCTGAGCTCCGTTGGAGTAATTGGGCGCTACTACTCATGGATTGTGGACTTAGGATTGCCGTCCTGAAAAGCAAACTGGCAGCCGCTGAGCAGCCCCCGCCTGAGCCGTGTGAGCCGTGGGGCCGGCAAGGCTTCGCGCGTACTGTTAGGAGAGAACAAGATGCGCTTTCCAAGTTGAAGGCCTGGGAGAGTGCGCAGCGAGATGTCCAAATCGACAGTGACACGTCCAGGAACCCAAACCGCAAGAGAAGAAGCCTCCAACAGAGAGAAAGGCAGGGCTGTCGGGCCGTATTTTCTCCTGCCGCAGCTTGTCGCAAGGTGCCGGAGAGCCCTAGCAACACAGGCAAGAAAGGGAAGCTGTCTATTGCCCCCTCTTTGTCCTTCGCGGCTTTGGGCAGGAGCTACGGACAACGTGGACGACCTGAAGAAGCAGCTGGAAAGAAAGATCGCCAGGCGCGGAATTCGGTAGCCAAGGGCTGCACGGCCGCCGCCACAGGATTGCCGACCTGGAAGCGGAGTTGGACCAGGCGAGTGGCAAACTGCAACAGACGGAATCCGACGGCATCCGATTTGTTGTCTTTTCGCTTGCACATGCCGTCCATTGCGCAGCGCAAGGCTCAGCGAGACCTGCGCGCAGCCCAACGAACCATTGACGAGAAGGACAGAAGCATTCAAAGGGGTGTTGTCAGAGAGAGCCAATTGAATGCAGTGAGCGTCTCAATGGTCTCTCCCAACACACATACGGATATGGAAGGATGGATGGATATCCGGAGATGGAGATGGATGGATGGAGATGAATGGAGATGGATGGAGATGGATGGAGATGGATGGAGATGGATGGAGATGGATGGAGATGGATGGAGATGGATTGATATGGATCTGCATGGATGGATGGATGGATGGATGGATGGATGGATGGATGGATGGATGGATGGATGGATGGATGGATGGATGGATGGATGGATGGATGGATGGATATGTATGGATTGATAGAGACGGATGGAGATGGAGAGGGATGGAGAGGGATGGAGAGGGATGGAGCGGGATGGAGAGGGATGGAGAGGGATGGAGAGGGGCGGAGAGGGGCGGAGAGGGATGGAGGGAGGGATGGAGAGGGGTGGAGAGGGATGGAGATGGAGGTGGAGAGGGGTGGAGAGGAATGGAGGGGTGGAGAGGATTGTGGAGGAGGGATGTGGATGGGTGGATGAGTTGGTTCATGGATGTGCAGCTAGATGAGTGCGTGGTGGTTTCTGGGTGGGGCGGAGTGGGGTTGTGTGTGGATTTGGTGGGTTGGTTGATGGGTTGATGGGTAGGTGCGTGGATGCGTCAGTGGGTGGGCAGGTGGGCTGGTGGGTGGGCGGACGGGAGGACGGAGGGGTGGATGAATGGATGCATGGGGGTAGATGGGTGATTGATGGGTGGATTGGATGCAGTTGATGAATTGATGGACTGATGCATTGATGGATTCACAGATTGATGCATCAATGAATAGCTGTCTAGTCTAGTCTAGCATGGATGAACGCTGGGCATAAGTTCAGTTGTCTGTTGGACCAAACTATGAGAGTTCTTCAGGAGGCATTTTACTTTGCAGCTTGGACTCATGAGGTCCTCATGTTTTGAGGATCTTCTTCTGCAAGAGAGGGCGAGGAAAGACGCCGAGAAAGCCAAGCAGAGCCGGGTGCATACCTCTCTACGGCTTTGCATGTGAGTCACCAAACTTGCCGCCCTGGCGCATGTGCCAGGATGAGTTACATCTTTATTGTAAGCGCTTCGCGCTCCTGCCCGCCTCGGCCAGTATTCTTTTGGTTGTGACGCACTGTAGTTTCGGTTCGCCTTGGGGTGTTGTGTCTTTTTGGAGCGAGTGGTTTCCAAGAATGGTGCGTGCAGGCTGTGGAATTACCACCCGGGCATCAGCTCCCTTTTGCGACTTCAGTGTCTTTGTGTCTGATGCCGAAGTGCTTGTAAGAACGCTCCGTACGGCGCGACCCACGTCTTGACATCGGTATCAAATCGCTTGGGCTGATCTTGGACGTTGCAGCGCATAGACTCTGGGCACACGGCTCCTAAGATCAGTGTTGAGCGTCAAAGATGTGGTATCCTGTCAACGCGATATCCTTTAATCTTTCACGAGCATCTGTCTCCTCCTTGGTTGGCACCCTGAGTGGGGATACTGTCATTTGTGCCGGAAAGCTCGGAACCGTTGTGGAACCAGATGTATAACGGAAGATCAGCCGATCTTACGTGTCATGCCTGAGCTCCGGATCGTGGCTGCCACTGCGGACATTTCTTGAGCTTAAACATGCACAACAAAAAACATCAATACAATGGACAATCAAGCAGAATCAGAAAGTTCTCAACTTGAACAAATCGTGCAAGTACTTGCGACATTTTTAAAATCATGCGTGGCGGCTTGCATCTTCATGAATCTCAGGAGCAATGCGTGATCATTCTGCACGCCGAAACGGTCGCTCTTGCCGCCAACTCACCATCAAATAGTCTCCAGGATGCTCACGTCATCTTGCCTCACCTGTAATTCCCATCCCAAGATATCGACAAGACGGTCATTTCTTCCCCGCAACTCTCCCAAATGCCGGTCTATCAAACCCGTGAACCATAGACCGCACCATGTGTTCCGCCGGAGCCGGGGATCGCTCGACCTGGCTCAGTGTCGGACCTCATGGAGAAGCTGCGGAAGTCCGAGGAAGAGGCGGGGGCTCAGGTTGGGGTTTGACTCGAGGATGGCATTTGCAACATGTTGCATTGAAAAAGCACGAGAGCTTCCATGGAGCATCCAAAAAGCTGGGTTTGCCGGATGAGTTTGAGGGTAAGCTCGATTTGATCTCACGTGTCTGACGGGCACCCCTCTACCTTCGAGAGGGGAAGGTTTAAGAAAAAACGACATCCGGAGCAAGACCTGGTCATTGCAACGCTCAGCCTCGAGCAAGGCTGAGAAGCTGGCCGTATCTTGGCAGAACCGGAGTTTGCTGTCAGGTCTCGCGGCAAGCTGCACACATGTCAGGGTAAGCTGTACAACGCGCAAGAGAAGATCAAGCAGCTGAAAGAACAGATCCGGGACCTGCTTGCTTTGCGCCTTGTGGTGTGTTTGCAGCCAGTCCGGGCCTGAGCACTTGTCCAAAGTGATCAACGAGCGCAGGAGCTCAAGAACAAGCTGGGAATGCCTGCTGATGAGAGTGATGAAGAGAAAGAGGAAGAGGAGGAGGAAACCCCGATGTTCATGAGTCGATACTATCTGCGCGCCGCAAGCTTGGTACGAGTGCTGCAGTGCTGCTCTCGGTCACACTCACTTTCCCAGGCCAAGAATAGCGGGAAGCCACGGTGGATGCTACTGGCCGAGGTAGGGCGACGGGTAAGCGTGGCCAGGCGGCCAGTGACCATCAGTGACCCGAAATGCCAACAGTAAAACGAGACCTTGTAAATGCGTCTTGCCCCTCGCTGTCCCGAGTCCGAGTTGTCCGAGTTGTCCGGGTAGGACGCGAAGCTGAAGGAGCAGAAGAAGGCCTTCGAAACGAAGCAGACGGTGGCCCCGGAAGCTCCCGGTTAGCGCCTCGTCTGCGGATCTTCTTCCAGCTCTCTGCCTGAGGGCCTGAGGTCAAGACGCGACCAGCGCATTGGCCTTCTTGAGGCGAGGGCAGTCGGGAGAAAGCTCGGGTCTCAGCTTCTCGGCTCTATTCCTTCGAAGCGATCCTTGTTCGAGGTCACGGCTCGAAGGTGCGGCTGCAGTACTCCTACACCAGTACGCAACAACCCCAGAGCGATGTCAACGAGTTCCAATGGAAAATGCCACGGGGTCTCCGAGTTCGGTCTGAGGTCCTTGGCCGATCCAGGCGATCTTACGCCAGGATCTTCCAAGCCAGGGTTCAGCAGGCACCGCAATGCTCCGCAATGCTTGCAACCGGGGCTTTTCGTGTGTTCCTCTCGACCAGGCAGACCACATTTCACGCCGGAGTCCCTCTTCTCGAAGGCATGCACGCGTGTTGCGAAGCGCTGCTGTTGGAAAAAAGCATTCCGACATGAGCAAATGTGCGCTTGAAAGAAATCAGTTTCAGAGTTGACCGCCCTGCTCAGATGGCGGTCCATTCAGGCTGGGAATGTGAATGCCCCTTGCACCGCCTTGGCAAGCAAGCGCAGGCCAGTGGCGCACGCCAACTCGATGCCCCCGGGGGCGGATGGATCTCCTCAGCGTCTGAGCAGGCAGGTCACTAGAAGGACCCATTGGGACCGCGTCACCGCCTAGGGCAGCAACCTCGAGCTCACTCCGAGCAGGCGGGGCAGGTCCAGGGGCTGGCCAGGGGCTGGCCAGCTGGTCTCTGTCTCTTGTGACCTGGCGAGGCACACCGCCGGGGCCGGGACTGCCAGGGTACGTCTCAGCTGGAGGCGCTCGAAGTCGCATGGCTTCCAAGTCGCATGGCATTCGGATTTGACGGATTTCACGGATCTGCGCTGTCCTTGCAGGCGCCATGGTGGGTCCTGGTGCTGGCTGGAGGCCCGCAGGCCAAGATGTGCCCAGGAAGTTGAGTACAGATCGCGAGGTCAGGCGGTCCATCAAGCGGAACTGCTTGGAACTCGTCGATGCTAGGCGCCACTTCCACCCTGGCATCTCACTTTCAGTGTGACAGCCATCCGAGCAGGCCATCCAAGCCTCACTCCAAGCCTCTCCGGGATCAGGCCGTGCCTCGAGCGCAAAAGCCGCGCGAATGGCAAAAGCGCGTGAGAGAAAAACCGCGCAGGCAAGAGGACATAGCAGCTGCAGGCCAGGCACCCGGCATGCGCCCGAATCGCGGTTTCGCTCATCACGGTTCAATGTTCCACTCGTTTCATTGGGAGACCTTCAAACATCTTCTAAAACTCGTGTCCACCAATGCCGAAGTAGACGTCACACCTTAGGGACCCAGTGCACAACTTGTTTGTTGATTTTTCACTATACACGGGCAAAAGAGGTGGCAAGGTGCCTGGCCAGACATGGGGCGGCAGTGACTGCCGCCGAATGGCCCTGAAATAGACGGGTCTTGACGCCTGAGCTGGAACCAGAATGAGCAACCTGGCACTCGTGGCAGTGAGCGAACCAGCTGCAAGCTAACCTGAACAACGTGGGGCCACGGAAACTGCTCAGCCCAGGAAAGCAACAGAGTTGAACAGGCTTCCAAATTCTCGAAACCGCCATTGTTCAGCTTGGTGCTGAGGTCTTCAATTTTCGAGGCTTGCAGGCGCGCTCGATTCGCCTGGTGGGCCAAACTCTTGGGCGCCAGTCTGTGGACAGGTGGTCAGCCGGCTTCTCTTTTTCAGACTGCTGGTTGGAGGACCGAATCATTGCGCTGCATTTTCCACTTGCATCTGACCTGCACCCAGTTCTGACCTGCACCCAGACGGCCCTACCCACAACAGATTCCCCACACATGAAACATGTTTTTCCCGAGAAGTTCTACCTCAGCCACACACACACACCAAGCTTCATCCATTGACAATGGCACCCCGTATCCGATCCCCACCCGGACAACCCGTCCGCACGCTGACCAAAGCAGCCCAGCAACTAACCTGAACGAACCTGACCGAGCAAGATAAACAGCTGGTCAAAGCCTTTACTCTGAGTGAGCACGTTATGTGTGGATCCGTGTCCCCATGCAGAACACCATTTTGCGTGTGAAACCACACGAAAAACAAACAAACAAACAAACAAACAAACAAGCTTTTTTTGAAACAGAAAACAGAAGCAAGCAAACAAACAAACAAACAACCAAGCAAATATGCACACGCAAACAAGCAAACAAACAAACAAGCAAACAATCCTTCAAAAAGCAAGCAAACAATCAAACAAACAACCATTAAACCAAACAAACAAACAATCAAACAAAGAAACAAGCAAGCAAGCAACCAAACAATCAATCAGACAAACATAAACAGATAAACACCCACAAACACGCAAGCACACACAAACGTACACGCACAGGCACACACAAACACACGCGCGCGCGCGCGCGTGCACACGCACACGCACACGCACACGCACACACGCACACACGCACACACGCACACACGCACACACGCACACACGCACACACGCACACACGCACACACGCACACACGCACACACACACACACACACCACACACACACACCCACACCACACACCCACACGCACACGCACACGCACACGCACACGCACACGCACACGCACACGCACACACGCACACGCACACGCACACGCACACGCACACGCACACGCACACGCACACGCACACGCACACGCACACGCACACGCACACGCACACGCACACGCACACACACGCACACGCACACGCACACGCACACGCACACACACACCCACACACACCCACACACACCCACACACACACACACACACACCCACACCCACACCCACACCCACACCCACACCCACACCCACACACACACACACACACACTGTAGCAAAGATGAGCAACTTCATCTGCTGATGCGTTTAGCTAGTTTGTCCCTGCTCAAAAATGGCGCAGTTGCTTCGAAATGCAAGCGTGTAGTTCAGCCTATTTCACTGTCAGTGGGGGAAACAATGAATATTGAATGGTTTTGGAGCTCCACATGTTGTTGTTTTGTTTCTTTGAGAATCAAGTGGAAACACTGGGTGCCTCTGAAGCCTGTTGACTATGGCTCACATGGCTCCAGCCCATGTTACATTAAGGAGCCCAGCATCAGATCACCTGAAGTGCACAGGAAGCTCTCCGTTCAGTTCTCACCCACTCAAGCCATTGCCTCAAGTCCTCGATCCGATCCTCCCATGTCAGACCTTAGCAAGTCACTGCGCTCCAAACAGTTGAGTTGAGAACACCCCCGCTGTCCAGCTTGCGTGGCAAGGACTTCTGCACGTGGCCCAGGAGCTTGGCTTGAGAGAGAAGATTTTTACTGTGCCAGGTCCTTTTTGCATGTAGCCCTTGCAACATGGTCAGGGCAGACTGAGTCTGGACCAGAAAGAGTCGAGGCCTGGTTCGGTATGGTGACCGCAGAGAGGAATTCGCAGCATGTTCCAGAAAGCAAAGTCGAGGATGTCAGTACCCCTGCCAGGCTGAGATGCCAGGCGGAAAGTGAAAGACAGAAAGTGAATGAGTCGAGTGGATGGAATGGATGGATCTCGGCCAGGCCCGGCAGGCCCTGTGATCCCTTTTGACTCCAGCGCGTCCGGTGGGTCCGGCGCTCGCGCTTCCTCGCGCGTGCGTGGGGCCATGTGCCAAAGTGGAGCCCGAGGCGCGAGTTCCATCGAATGAACTCGTCGCCATCGCCCTGCAGAGTCGCCCACGTGGGCTTGGCCAGCGCCTTTCCGCACAGCCCTTTGCAGAGCTCGTTTGCGACCAGGCAATGCAAGGTCCCACGTCGCCCAAGGAGGGAAAAGCCGCTCACGTAAGGAGAGTTTCAAACTCGTTTCGAGTTTCACAGGAAGGGCCAATGCTGCAGCTTGTTCCCCAGGCCCTCGGAGTCTAAGAGTCTAATCCAATCTCCAGTGGCGTGACTTGAAATGCCAGGTTTCCTATGGGCGAGGCAGGAAGCCTAGGCCTGGCGCAGGGCGGCATGTCCTTTTTTGGAAGGCCCGGTGCTTGAGCCCCTGCCCCAATCCAGCTGGTCCGTGCGGGATCCTAGCCAAACAAAGTCCTTGAGGGTGCTTTGTACAGTTTTCAACTCTGAGTTACTGAGCCCTTCGGGTCAAGAAGGCCCGGTTTTGTCCTGCTTTTGGGAGCTGAATTTGCTTTTGGCCAGGAGACGCAGGCCAGAGCGCACACCCGACATCAACCAGAAGCGGTCTGAAATCTGCGAAGAATTTCGCCGCAAAGCGAATCTGAAAGTCAGGTGAGACCTCCGCACCTCGATCCGGCGCGATTTCTCCGCCGCGAACCCCCGAGAGGCGGGGTGTAAACGAGAGGCACAGAGGGCAAGTGGTGAAGCGAATGGCTGGCAGCACTGCATAGGGGGCAAAGTAGGATGTGTCAAAGTGTGATGGGTTGAAGTGGATTGTGATGGGATGATAGATGATGTTAGTAAGGCAGTCTAATTCGTCGCGCCGTCTCGCAGTCTCGCAGTCTCGCAGTCTCGCAGTCTTGCAGTCCAGGGCCAGAGAACCACCAGCGCCCGCCTCTCCCATGGCCATGCTCAGCAGCTTCTCTGCGCAGTGTGCGCCAACCCAGGTGCCATCCCCGGATGCCGGGGCCCGATTCCCCGTGGATCCGTGGAGGTTGGACCTGTGAAGCTCACAGGTCAGAAAGCGAGAGCCGCGAGATCTGAAATCTGAGTGCAAGGCACCCAGACAGCCCATCGAACCGCTTCACGCTTGAAGCTTCAATTTGGATGTAAGGTTCAACTCGAGCAACAGATAGATCGCAGGAGTCAACTGCACCCCAGGCTCGACATGTGTGTGTGTGTGTTTCTTGTGTGTTTTTCTGTGCGTGTGATTTGCTCTATGAGTTTGTTCGAAAATCCAATCATGCGGCAGATCCAACACTCGCCCACTGTGCCCTTACCAATGCCAATGGATCTCAGCAGTCCGTACCGACCTCGCTGCGTTGGTCTGCCTTGCGATTGCCAGCCATCAACCCTCCTTCGGTGTGTGGATTGTCTGCTCAGGCAGCTCCACCTTTGGTGGCCTCAAAGATTAGATAGGGCATTGGCTTTCTTACCCCTTGGTGTACAAGTTAGGAGCCATGCGTAAGTAGTGTCTGTGCTCCAAACATCAACCCTTGGTGGTTTCCCAAGCGTTGACGTCGGTTCGGGGTGACCACCAAACAAGCTGGCGCGCCTCAGGGCTCAATCGCCACTGCGAATTGGGATCCAATGCCGAGTGCCGAGTGACCCAAAGGTGCCATGCCAAAGGTACTACCAGGTGCAAGAGGCGTTTTTTGTTCGGCCGTGAGTTCTCCACGACCAAAGTGTCGCTGGGCCATGGCCAACGACCCCGAGCTCCGGTTCTGGCGAGGCGGCCTCACTGGTTGCATGGGCGTGATCCTTGGCGTGATCCTTGGCGTGATCCTTGGTGTGGGATGGTGTGGGATGGTGTGGGGGTGAAGGGGAAAGGTGGAATGTCACAATGTGAGAGGCGCGGGCCGGCCATGCGCCCTGTTTCGCTCGACGCAGGCAAGGACTTGAAAGATGTCCTGAAGAATGCTGAGGGGCCCGTTGGCAGCCACGAGGCCAAGGTCTAGAGCGGAGCATGGACCTCGGGGGAGACAACTCTTAAGCTCTTGTGTTGCCCCTGTACTAAATCTGGTTCTCGCCACAGCCATAAATGCGCGGCTATCCCACGTGAGTCGTGCTGACTCGTTCCATTTCACGATCTCCACAGTTGCCCTATGTCCTGAAGTTCTCCCAGAGTCCCAAACTTAGGGTTTCTGGTCTTAGAAGTCTTTGAGCTATTCTCAAGTCGAAAGCTGTTTGTTACGCTGGCATTTTGCATCGATCGCCAGCTGGGCCGCTGGGCCTCGCTGCTGGCGCTGGGCTTCATCGCGCTGGGGGTGCTGGCGCGACGGGCAGCTCGACCTCGCCTCGCGGGAGTTTCAGGGGAATCGAATTGAAGGGAGCCATGGGAGCCCCAAGAATTCCACGGCCGGAGTCTATGAGAGCCCAACGCAAATCAGAACTCAACGACTCAAAGCCCGAATTGAAGGGGATTATGCTGGTGGGACCCCAGGTGTAACGACAACGAAGGGCACCTTTCTTCCATGCTAAGCCCTCCGGAAGATCGAAGGGATGGTAGTGGGGGCCCCCAACCCCAAACAATTTGAGGGGAAGAGACCGGTAAAACCGGCTTGTTGGTGTAATTCGTGTTTGTGCAGAACTGAGTAGAACTCTGTAGCATTGGTTCAGCGCTCCGTGGTGCTGTGTTCGCCGGCCGCTTCGGTCCTCTTCTTTCCTCGCACCAGAGCCCGGATGTACTTTGAATTCCGGAAGCTAAAGGGGGGTCGTATCCAATCCATTCGTCGCAACCTGGTGACAAGTTAAGCCAAGTTAAGCGGGTAGTTTTGGATCACGGGCACGAAAGCTGAGATGCCGCAAGTGAACTCGCGCAGCGAGCAGATCCGGTACGTGACCTTCAAGGCAAGCCTCGTTTTCTGGCCGTGGCCTTTTTTTTTCGCGGCTGGGCTGGTGCAGGTCCTCTTCCCCTTGTACCTGCTGCGAACGCTGTGGGGAATTAGCTTGAATCTCGGCTTGGTCGCTTGGACGCAGAGAGCTCCGCGTCGTGAGAGAGACTCGAGCGAGAGAGGCCGCCTTGCTGCCCATCAGCTTGAGCTTCCACATGCTGTGGTTCTTCCTGTCCCTTGGACGAGCGGAAACACGTGGCTTCGGAGCCTTTCTCGAATTCCGAATTCAGGAGCCAGCAGTTGGCCAGGTTGACTCCTGAGGCCGGGGTGTTTCGATTGTTTCAGAGAAGATCGAACCTCCGGGTGATCCGACGCATGGGTTTCTTGTTGCCAGGCCCCAGAGGTTCAAGATGCCAGCGGTCGGAGCTTCACTTGCCTCGTGGGCTGGGTGGTGCTCATGTGTCAAGGACAGTAGGGTTCTGTCGCGCAAGCAAACGCTCTCGAAGCTTCGCACACTTGCAAGCCGAGACTCTCCGTAACTTTCCAACTCATTTGAGGCTGTGCGCTTGAAGCGCTTGAGCAATAGAGAGCTTGTTTGGGCATCATGCTTGGTGAGGAGAGAACATGGCATTCACCTACCCGCTCATCGCTGATGTCCCCCGTAAGTTGATTGATTGATCAGTGCACTCTGTCCAGTCAGCTCAGGCTGCCTCATCCCCTGTAGAGAGTCTGGCAAGTGCAATGATGTGGGACCTTGGCGCCAACATTTGGACCTTAAGCTGCAGTGAGAGATGCATGAGTGTAATCACTTCCTCAGGCTGATTCCAAGCACAAGAGGCTTGTGTGTCCAATCGTTTGTGTGCGTGCGTGCGTGTGTGGGTGTGTGCGTGTGGGTGTGTGTGTGTGTGTGTGTCGTTGAACCCAAGCCGAGCAAGCAATGGATGCAATTCTATCTCGCCCGAAAATCTGAGGCTTTGCCAGGGCTTTCTCTGGGGCATTGCTGCTGTTTACTCCCCCAAAGTGCAGGCAGGAAAGGGAGCATGTATCTAATGCCTGCGATCCCGCACCCGAAAAGACACACCAAGCGAGTCCGCCAGGATGGAGCCTATGCTGCAGTAGATTGCAGCGAGGAGCTCGAGAAGTCGCCTCTTGGCCGGCTAAAGACGAAACTCGAGGTCACGTTTGAAAGCGGGAAAAAGCGTTGAGGCATAAGTGGTCTGCCACAGCTCTACCCGCCGGGACAAAGGCAGGGGAATGCCAGTCAGCCACGAGAGTTGTCTCCCTTTCAGGTTTCCTTCAGATTGGTTGGCTAAGGGACAATCGTTCAACCATTCCCAAAAAGCCATCCAGTTTGACGGCATGTTGTGCCCGCTTGTTTTCCGGAATGTGTGGCTCTCAGAGGCTCCATTTGGCCTCGCGTTTTCTTGGAGAACAATCTCTACATGCAAATGATGGCAACCAAAAGGTTCCAACGAAAGATCATATCCACATGTCTTTGCAAAGCTCCTTTTGAACCGGGGCCCTCATATGCTCGTTTTGAATGCTTCAAACGTTTTGGGGCCGTTTGCAGGGGAAATATGGGGAATCCCGTTCTGTCTGATGATCTACCTGTGTCAAAGCGAATGGCATGTCACAGAGAGGAAATCGCGCTGAATGCAGTGGCTTGCTCAATACTGCTTCGGGCCTGCTTGGCGGGGCTTTGCCGCTTGGCTGGTAGCCCTTCTTGTGGGACCCGGGCTGACGGCTCTGGCGTCTCTGAGGCCTGAACTTCCTGAACGTCTCCATGCCTTGGTACCCTCAGAATCAGATGACACACACAGCACCCAGAGCACACGAAGCTGAGGATCGTGGATGCATCGCTGCGGCAAATCGGCAGCCTGTGCAAGGCGACTCCATGAATCAAGCACTTCGATGTGCCTGTGGTCAGAAGATGGCTTCAGGCGCTTTTGTACTTTCTGGTTGGGCTATATGCAGACTTCTCCATTTCTATTGGAGACCTTAGGCGCGGAAATGCATTGCATCAACATATGCTAAGAACCAGTTCTGGCCCCTCACAGGTTTATTGGAGTTGCGCTGTCTCAACGATTGCTCACTCAAATTGCCCTGGCATTGCTTCCAAGCCGCAGCTAGCTCCTTTGGAGTGGGGTGTTCACTTTCCAGCCTGAGGCTGCTAGTGGCCATATTGCCAGTCCAAAGCGTGACCTGCCGAAACGCGGCTTGGATTCACTCCGTTGGAGTCCAACATCGGGTGGCCGGCCAAGGCCATCTTGGTGACCATCTTCTCGCCGGGACCTTCGGTTCTAATGCACATCCTGGTCCGAGCCCTAACCAGCAAGACAGCAAGTCAGCAAGTCAGCCAGTGAGAGATCAATGGATTTGTGTTGCAATGCGCCTTTGACGAGAACGAGAGCCAGGCAGAGACCGGCTATGGCGATCACTTGGTGAAGCTTTGTGCAACTGGCAGCTTGTTCAACACAGTGCTGCCGGGATCTGAGCCTCATGAACAGCGTGGCGGAAAGCGCTCAGCTGTTAACGCCACGCCACGCGCACGTGCGCGCGAACATGCGCTTTGCTTTAAACTCGTTGCGCTCGGATCGCCTTGAGGTCTATGATGATACAAACTGCATTGCTCGAGTTGTTACCAGGCGGGGAGTACTCACAGGCGTACCAATGACACAGTGACGCAACTTTGCCTTGTTCTTGTAGACGTCCTATGAATCACAGCTGGCCTGCCACAGACAATCTCATCATTCAAGCAGCGACAGTGACAACAATAGTAGGACTCAGTCATCTAGTTCAGACCCTGCTTCGATCTACCCAGTATGAAATGTGGAACTAACCCTTCTTTCAGGTGAAGCCACAAGCACGCTTCCAGCAGGCGCGGAGAGAGAGCGGAGAGTCCACACTTTTCGAGGGCCATGAAACTTGAGCCGTTGAACGGGTAGGCTCGGAACGCCAGCAGTGAAAGTCACCAGTTGTGTTAAGCCAGAGGCTCTTGTGCCTTGAAAATGGTTCGTTTTGTTTGCAAGGGCTCAGTTGAGAGCACTCCTGGTTTGCTGCTTTGTCCAAAAATTGGTGCATCAGACGTTGCATTGGAAAATGTGCTAGCCCTGGGCAGCATAGTCAGCACCTTTGCTCTGAAACAGGCATAGACGTCCTGGTTGAGTTCAAACAAAGAGAAGCACGAGCGCTTTCTGTTGGATTTCCAGCTCCTGTTTTTCCCTTGACACCGCGCAAAAGGTGTTTTTCGTACAGCTCATCTTGTGAGGCTGAGAGGATTCCTTGGGTTTTGGGCTCGATAGCGTGAGCTTCGCGGAGTTGGCCTACGTAGAGGGCGTTCGCCCAGCGCAGCGCTGTTTCTCTTCCCGATCTCGGATTTCTTTTGCGCCTCAAATTGTTTATGCAGTTTCGAGCCTCGCCTGCGAAACCGCAGCGCAGAGGCTCGTAAAGGCTGGGCCACGCCCTTCAAAAAAGCTCGCTGATCGGTGTTTTACCGCACAGTTGTATGTTCGAAAGCGCTCCGAGACATATGCCAAGCCTCAGGTCGGCAGCCGTAGAGAGAGGGCCAGGAAGTGCGAAGCAACCCTTCAAGCAGGCATCTTTCATGGAGCGGGGCAGCCAGAGGGAGGCAGGGTGCAGGAAGCGTCAGCCATGATTGAGTGCAATTGGAAAGCTAGCGTTCGTGGGCATTTGCTGTCTTGTTTGAAGATCTTCATTCCAGAGGGCATTACTACCAGTAGAGCCGGCGAAGCCGGTGGACGGAAGTTTCGAAAGCGAGAAGAGTGCCTATAGGAAGAGCTTGGCTTGTTTTTTTGGTTGTGCTCTTTCTTTGTCTCTTTATTTATTATTTCTTTCTTTTCTTTCTTTCTTGCTTGCTTTCTTTATTGTTATTTTCTTTCTTTATCTATCTCTATATTTCTGTGTATTTATCTTTCTTGTTATTTCTTATTTCTTTTCTTTCTCTATTTCTCTCTTTCTTTCTTTCTTTCTTTCTTTCTTTCTTTCTTTCTTTCTTTCTTTCTTTCTTTCTTTCTTTCTTTCTTTCTTTCTTTCTTTCTTTCTTTCTTTCTTTCTTTCTTTCTTTCTTTCTTTCTTTCTTTCTCTTTCTCGTTATTTCTTTGTATTTCTCTTTCTCGTTATTTCTTCTTTATGTCTTTCGTTCTTTATTTGTTTTAATTATGTATTTCTTTATTCCTTTCTTTCTTTATTTTTCTTTCTTTTTATCTTTCTCTTTCTCTATCTCTCTCTCTTTCTGTTTATCTTTCTCTTTCTCTTTCTCGTTCTTTCTTTCTTTCTCTCTCTCTCTCTCGTTCTTTCTTTATCTATTTCTTTATGTATTATTAATTTCTTTCTTTTTTGTTCTTCCTTTATTTCGTTATTTATTGGTTTCTTTCTTTCTTTCTTTCTTTTTTTCTTTCTTTCTTTCTTTCTTTCTTTCTTTCTTTCTTTCTTTCTTTCTATATTTCTCGGTATTTCTCTTTCTCTTTCAATTTGATCTATCTATCTATCTATCTATCTATCTATCTATCTAATCTATCTATCTATCTATCTATCTATCTATCTATCTATCTGCACTTGACCTTGCGAAAGTGCCGCGCCTGCCACGAAATCTGCACTTGACCTTGCAAAAGTGCTGCGCCTGCCACGAAATCTATACTTGACCTTGCAAAAGTGCTGCGCCTGCCACGAAATATGGTACTTGACCTTGCGAAAGTGCTGCGCCTGCCACGAAATCTGTACTCGACCTGACCTTGCGAAAGTGCTGCGCCTCCTTGCGAAAATGCTGCGCCTGCCACGAAATCTGTACTCGTCCTTGCACGGTCACAAAGTGCCGCGCCTGCTACGAAATCTGCTTCTCAGTTGCCAAAGTGCTGCGCCTGCCACGCAAAATAGACCTCCGAACACGTCTGCGCGAGCATGACAGTGGGCAACATTCCGAAACCGTGGCGAGACCGTGGCGAACCCGCACGCAGAGCAGAGGTACCCTTCGCGATTCTCCGTGCTGACTGACAGACTTCACTTCTGAGTGCGTCCGGATCTTGTGGTTCAACTTTTCGTATTACGGAAGTTTTCTTTCTAAACTTCCTTTGACAACGTAGGTTTGCTAGTTGCTTGGGAGGCTCAAGGATTGAGATTGGAAATGCATGGAAATGCGTCCACCAAATGCGGAGCTCAGCAAGCAAACGACACAGGCTCGTCAATTCCTCAGGGCGCAGTGAGCCCATGCTCCGATGCCTGCAAAGTTGCTGCCAGTTGACATGCAATACAAACGCGTGTCCCAGCTTGCACCTGGGCTCATGCCGATCCGCCGCCTGTTGCCGGCGCTGGCGCTTTTCCTGAGCTCTATGTCGATGACGTCCACGTTCCTGATGCCCGAGGCCCCCCGCCTGGGTCTGGGTTTGGCCGCCCTGGGCCGGCCGGGCTACATCAACCTGGACCGGGCCGAGCTCGGAGAGGCCGAGGAGAGGAAACCGGAGGCGATGCAGGCGAGGGCCTGGCGAGTCTTGGACCGCGCCTGGGACCTGGGCGTCCGCTACTTCGACTGCGCCCGGAGCTACGGCCGCAGCGAGGAGTTCCTCTCCAACTGGCTGCAGCACAAGCAGCTGCGCCCGGAGGAGATCGCGGTGGGCTCGAAGTGGGGCTACCGCTACACCGCAGACTGGCGGATCAACACGAAAGGCGAGCCACACGAGGTCAAGGATCACTCGTTGAGCCACTTGGACAAGCAGGAGCAGGAGACCAAAGCTTTCTTGGGCCCACACTTGCGGCTGTACCAGATTCACTCAGCCACTCTTGAGAGCGGCGTGTTGGACAATGCGGAGGTGTTGGCGAGGCTTCGGAGCCTGCGGGAGGAAAACGGCTGGCGCATAGGGCTGAGCCTCTCTGGGGTGGGCCAAGCAGCCACGCTGAAGAAGGCTTTGGCCACCGAAGTCTTCGATGCCGTGCAGGCGACCTGGAACTTGGCTGAGCAGTCCTGTGGCTCTGCGCTGGAAGAAGCTCGAAGATTGGGCTTGGAGGCATAGAACAGGCAAAATCTTACAAGCCTTGTTTGCTTTGGGCGTTTTTCCTTTGGCCTCTTGTTTGCCTCTGTCTCCACCCGTCAGATGGGTTTGTCAGATTTTTCGGAGATCCGCTTGAAAGGCGTGCAGAAGCCAAGATAGAGAAGGAACATTGAGCGATAGTTGCTGTCATGTCCGACACGCTCTAAGGCAATGGGTTTCAGCCACAGCATGGGCATATCCTGCCATTGCCACCCGGTCAAAGCAGCAAAACCCTCTGGAAAACCGGCGGGGACGGTTCAAAGTGATTGGTCTCGCATTTGGCCCTCAAATGTGGCAGGTGATCATCAAGGAGGGCATGGCCAATGGCCGGCTGCTTCGGCGCTCGGAGCTGTTGCATGCGGCAGAGGCCTTGGGTGCGCCCGAGGACGCGTTGGCGCTGGCTGCTGCGATGGTCCAGCCCTTTCGGCCGCTGGTGCTCTCGGGAGCCATCACGGAGGCGCAGCTTGAGAGCAACATGCAGGCGGTGCCGCTGTGCAAGCGGCTCCTGGAAGATCCCTCGGTGTTGGCAAAGCTGATGACACTCTTGCAGATGGACCCGGCGGAATATTGGAACGAACGCTCCAACCTTGACTGGAACTAAGAAACGAGCACGTTTTGGCCCCTTGGCCCTTCAGGTTTTCCTCAGCCACAGCGCAGAGCCCAGAGAAATATTTGCGAACAGGTCGTTCTGCTCGCCTGCCAATGCTGTTTTCCATCTTTTGAGAGGGGTGTTGAGGCATTGTTCTGAGCCGCTGGTGCTTTGAGTGGTTGCCTTCGCAAAAAGACGAAGGCGGAAGCTGATTTCATGATGAGGCACTCCAAGATGGTGCCTCAGAACTTGATCCTCCCAGTCACAATCAAAATCAACGCGTTCTTGTGCACGAGGTCTCAGCCCCTGATAGGGCACGTCCGGAGCTTTCTTTAGCATAGCCTGATGGCCTCGACACGGCATTGACACGGCATTGACACGGCATTGACACGGCATTGACACGGCATCACGGCATCGACATAGGCCCCAGAAAGTTCGAAGGTGCTGTGTGCCCGGAATGGCTTTTCGAAGTCAGTCGGAGCGTCACAGGTTCTGGTGCCAGGTCTTGGGCACCTCGCTCGAAGGGGACGAGTTCGGTGCCGCTGACCAACGGCTTCAAAGGCGTTGCACGTTGCACGTTCCTGAGCTGGGCGTAAGTCTCGGGATTTGGGGCTTGCGCAACCTGGATGGTCAGCTTGAGCTTGAAAGCTCGATTTGTGCTCGAAGCCGCGCAGGCAAGCCTCGTGGTGGCCCCAGTTTGATTGCTTCCCGGGAACTCGGAGCTCGGAGGAGCTCGGGTTTCTCCCGAAAGCCGAAGGAGCGGCCGAAATTCCGAAAGCCGAACGCTAGGCGCCCGCACGTACCACTCCCTGGAGAGCCGAGCGCTTAGAACGAACTCGGAGAACAGCAACGCCAAGTGAGACATAGTGAGACCCAAAGACCCAAGGCCCCCCGGTGGAGTACGTCCATGCCGATGCGCTGCCAAGACTGCCTGGAGGGAAGGTGAGGAAGGTGGGCGTGTGGGAGTGCATTGGGAGTGGAACCGCCTTCCGTGGAGACGAGCCAAGAGAGACAAACAAATGCTCAAGTGTGCCGTGGTGACATACCACTATACCACTGTGACCGAACCACGCGCCACACTGTGCTTTGCAAGGCATCTCCACCGAGCTGGCTGTCGCCAATCTGACACTTTCTTTGCGTCGCAGATGCGTGAGGGTCACCAGCCAAGTTGGTGATCCAGTTAATGAGCTCCGGCAATTGCCGTTTGCCCTTTGGGGCGTGCTCTTCAGGGCATGTCGCGAAGTGACGTGCCCCAGAAATGGATCAGCAGTGAAACGAAGATGCCCTCAGGTGTACAATAGCTGGCAAGCCCAGCAGCGGCTCAAACCGACCCAAGTGCAATGGTGCAATGGCTTCAATGCCTGAAGCATGAAGCACTTGCTTCCTTGGGCAGTCTCACCGAAAGATAGCACCGCACGTGCAGAAAAGCTGCCCAGAACAAGAGCCTTTCTTGCCAAAGTGTTTGCGCCTGCAAGCGCCGAAGCACCTTTAAACCAAACCGACCGTTTGAGCGAGAGAACAATCCGCATTTGGCGCTCCGAACGCATCGGAGATGTGCGCATTCTGCTCGCTGAAGCTTGGACCCCAACGAAAACAACGCTGTGTAAATTGAATATGCGCGTGCAATTGCATTTGGACAGCTCGAGCCTCCAAAAGCAAGGGCTGAGGCGGCCAAAGCATGGAAAGGACTTCTTAGAGCTTTGGGTAAGCGAACTGACAAACCAAACACTCGCGAGCTGTGAAGTGAATGAAGGCTTGGCTACTAGGCCTGCTGTTCTGCCTAGCGAGCATCTAGCAGGGAACAGATTGCTAGCGCGAACCCTCCCTGACGAACGTGGGCGTTTTGCATCGCTTTGCATCGCTTTGCGTGGAACGCTTCCACTTGCTACGCAACTCGCCGTGTGAGCTCCCTCAAGTCCCTCGGCACAATCGGCCCGATTCGAACCGCCCCTGCTCTACTTACCGAACTTTGCTGCATTGTACACGTGCAAAAAGCGCTGCTTGCACATAGTTTAGAATATTGGTCAGGTCATGCAATCATGTTCAATGGCATGCAAGTTTAAAGTGTTGTAGTAAAGAATTGCATGCACGTGCACAAAATCCTGCATTCTACAGCCTGGGCTCAAGATCAACGATTATCCCAAGAGCCTGGTTCTTGCACTTTACACGCTGCGTGATGCCCAAAAGTGCAGAGGACAAGGCTGCCGATGCACAGCGCATGGCCAAATTGATCGACGACCTGGCGATCGAGAGTGGGCACTACAAGAACTTTACGGCTTTGCAAAAAGAAGTGGTGCATCGGGTCCAGGAAGAGATCTTCCAAGATGAGTCGGCCAAAATGCAGTACCAGAGTCGCGAAGACTCAGTCTTTGACTATGTGGAGCAGCACAAACTCAATGAAGAGAATGGGCTCAATCTCTTTGCCGAGCAGTTTCAGAAAGTGCATGGCCAGGATCATTTGCGCTTCACGGAAAGATGGTTTCTGGAGGAAGCTGGTTGGGAGATTCAATTAGAGGGGATGCTTGAACATCCCACCTTTGCGGATTTTGCTGGTGTGATTGACATGGTTCCCATGGAAAACTACGGCTTTTCCAAGATGGTAATCGATGAGGCCGACTTCATGGGCATTTTTGATCTGGGCAACGAGCGAAGCCAGGCCAAGGCCAAGTCCACCTATGCTGGCGTCGAAAGCCATCAGTTCACGGAAGCCGAGGTGCGCGAAGTGGAAGCGTTCGAGGTCGAAAAGGCGCGCGGACACCCGCACGGCCCGCACGAAGACAAGGAGTCTTGTTGCGGCGCGACCAAAATCCACCCACACAAGTTGGGTCAGGGAGAGTATTTGCAATTCAAGGTTCGCAGAGAGAACGTGGAGCCGTACGCAAACAACTGGCTCACCACCCAGAGGCTTCTCAGTTTGGCCCCGGCAGATCCAAAGACGACGTTCTACATCTTCACGGCGTCGGCCAATGGCGTCATGCGCTTTCATCCCCAGGCGTCGGACTGGCGCATGTTGCTGTGGTTGGCATATTTGGACAGCTCTGATTTGGCCGGCCTCGCCCAGAACATGGCGCATGCGCACAAATACGGGTGTTTCTGTTTCGGCGTCGTCTACAAGGAGAAGACGAACTACGTCACGAGCTCGGGGCAGCGGAAAAAAGGTGGCCGCACGATCATCATGCGCTACAATCGCTGGGCCACTGACAATGTGCCCTTGGTTGCCTTTGTGGTGCAGCACCATGACAATCAGGACCCGTCGGTGCCAACGCAGCCATCGTGTTGCTGCTCCTTGCAATGATGGCCGCTGTCCCGCTGTCCCCCCCGTCAACGTGATACATGCTGCTCATGACTCAATGATGCCTGTGAGCAACAAGCGAGAGAGAGAAAGGCATAAATGTCTATAGAAGGAAAGGGCCGGGGCTCGAAGTAGCCATCCTCGGATCCTTTAGTCTTGCAAAAGAGAGCACTGCACGTGCAGAAAAGGGCCGGCCTGACAGCCTTCGGGTTGGGATCTCACTCGCAAAACTGCTGATAGTCTGTTAGTCTGTTGAGGACATGGGGCTCTGATTGGCACTCATTTGCAGCTTGGCTCCAAAGGGAGTCTATCACTCAACCAAGACATGGACTCACGCACGCCGAAACACTACGTTTAGGGATGCTCACAGGGAGAACAAGGGCACGTGTAGGTTGAACTCTGGATGGGCGCGGCCGAGCGGCTGGTCCCATTGGTGAGGGACAGGGCCTTAATTGGAATGGCCTGAAACTGGAGTCCTTGGGTTTCCTGACCCAGCCCTGTGGATTTTTTGTTCCCGCGCAAAGCCGGGGCAACTCCAAAGCGATTTTCCGGACCTTGAGCTCAGGATCGCTTCGCCGAGTTTCAGAGGCTTGCTCAGGCCAGAGGAGCCCTGAGCGCGCAGGGGCCACGCGCCCAGGCCATGTCCATGGCGGCCATGGGCAGAAACTTTCGGAGAAGGGCAAGTGCTGCAAACGCGTCGGCTGAGGCCTGCGGGAAGTCGCGGGTTGTCAGGCGGAAACGCAGTGACTTGTGAGATCTGAGCAAGAGACATGGAGGCAGCAGCTTTGTGGGCGATGGCACCAAGTCCAGTCCTTTTGGCCCTCACCTCAGCCGATCAGTCCTTCAGTCTTTCTCAAAATGTGCGCATGGTCCTAGGCTCGCAAGCTGCCCAGCCCAGCGTGCCTGAGCCGCGCTGAGCAGAAATTCAGTTGGACATGTGACGAACATGGAAATCGCCATGGGACTCGGAGCGACTCGCCCAGGAGGCCAACAGCTTCATGAGGGAGTCTGCGCCCTGTGAAAAGCCGCGCCTATGGCCCACGTCGTCCGCATGTGTTCTGAGGTTCTTCGGCTGTGTGCGTGAACTCCAAGGCTGCAAACCTGGGTTTGGACTTGTTTTGGTATTGAAGTCTGAGGATTGCTGGACAAGGGCAGAGAAAATGTGAAGGACATGGGAGTGATCCTTGGTGAAGCTCTCCAGGCCATGCGACTCGCGTGTACATGAACGCGGTAACACGGTTGCCTGGCCGAGGCAACGACTCAGGAACGGGAGGCAGAGGTCTCAGAGAAGCTTAACAAGCTGGTTGAGGCACGCGTCACTTCTCCTCAAGCTGTTGGTCAACGGCTTGCGCCTTTTGCCATCTTTTGCCCTTTGCGCTTCTCGAAGGAGACAAGCCAAGAGGTGGCTGACGTCAAGCGAGGCCTGGAAGTCCTGAAAATCCGCTCGGAGGCTCGACCGTCGAATGAGTCATAAGTGTCATGTGATTCTGTGCATGAAAGTCGTTGAGTGCCTGGCACGAAAATGTCTGGAAAGCGTGAGGAGGAGGCCGCCAAGCAGCCCAACACCGCGCAGATTAAGATCAGGAGACTTGATCGGGATACGAATGTTGGCGACTGAGCCGCGAGTTCAGGACGAACATGCAGCAGGCCATGGCCAAGAAGTGGGGAGCCGCAGGGACATTTTGACGTCCGGAGAGGGAAGAGAAAAGAAAAGAGCTTGAAACAGTTCGCTACCGTGAGGCATCAGCAACTTTTGATGGACTTCCAGAAGGCGAGCATGAGCAGCGTTCCTTTCCCGTGAGACGTGTTTCGGCTTGCCAATGCCAGGCCCAGATGGACTTTAAGCGGACCTTAGAGCAGCGGCAGCTGCGGGAGATGCAAATCCTCATGCCAGAGGCAGTCCGAGCAAACATGAATCTGAATGAGAAATTCAGAAATCCCAGTGTAAAGGATGGCCAAAGGGTCCCAACAAATTTTGATTCATGCCCATCTCTGTTTCCCTCGTTGTACTCTCGCTCTCTCCCTCTCTCTGGTTCCACATGGCCGTTGCATAACCTTATCTTGCAACCTGTTCCTTTTTGATTCATCGTCTCTGTTTGCCGCTTTCCTCTCGTCTTTCCCATTGAGAAGTTTGAGGCCACAGAGGAGCAGCGGCAGGAGATGGTGTCGGAGGGGCAAACCGTGGCGCTCATGGTCGCTCAGAAGCCTCGAGCTCAGAAGGCGGCCTCGACGACAGATAGAGACACTTCCGATGAGGATGGCCGGCACTCACGCGCTGCTTTTGGACGAGGTGTGAGAGGAAAGGCGAAGCGAGGCCCTTCTTCTCTGTGTCTTGAGGTACGCCGAATCCAGGATAAGCACAAGGCTGGCCGAGTTTAAAGTCGGGTCGGTCTTGCATGTGGATTGAGGACATCCTGCGCTTGGAGCAGAGCATCGCAGACTTGGACGGGTCCTCAGACGAACGGCCTATGGCTTTTACGAATTTTCGGCAAGGCGCAGATGTTCGAAGAGATGGCCGTTCTGGTGGATGCGCAGGGCGAGGTGCTGGATGCCATCGAGGTGCACGTGAACAACACCAAGGGCTACACGGCCAAAGCAGAGAAGGCTCGATCCAATTGGGTCAGAAGTAAACCAGAAAGGACCCAGGAAACAAGTCCTGCCATTTACCAGGGCCCTTGGTACCCGTTTTTGACCTGTCGATCAAGTGCATGGCCGAGCATGGCAGCCTTCCAGGAATTGCACAAGACCCGGAAGTTGATGCTTCAGGCAGGCTTCGATCAGTTACGCACTGTGTGCCCCGGCATGGGCCATACGCAGCCTCTCGGACCTTCCCACAGGGTCGCAAGTGGATGTGCTGCCTGTCAATATTCCTGCTTATCGCCAGATGCTGAGGTTCACACGTTGCACATCACCACTTGCAAACGTTTGGATAAGTGGTTCCTTCAAGGTACTACTTGTCATTCTCGGCCCGATTCTCATTAGATGAGTGCCATCAAGCTTGGCCCGCAGCTTAGAACCGGCGGAATTGCATGGCCGGTCGTCCCGACAAAGTTTTTGCATTTCCGTGCGCAACTGCAAATGTTGACACATTCGGCATGAGTCTGCCCGCTTTCATTGAATGACCAAAATGGTACCATCATTTTCAGGCCACGTCTGGAGCGCAGGCACAGCCACTCACGCAGTGTGTACAGTGTGCCTTGGTAAGCTTCTGGAAACCCAGAAGCCAGAGTTTGGACGAGATGTTCCTGAGAGGCATTTTGAAGTCGACCACTTTCTATTCTGATCCGAATTTTGTTTGGCTGGCGCATTTCGTGTTCACTTTTGGCCTCTCGGCTTCAAGATCCACGCGCCAAGCTCCAAATGACACCGGCAAAATGGGCTTTTTCTGGCTGACGATCGCCATTGCCAAAAGTTTATTGCACGCTGGAGTTGCACGCGATGGTTTGTCCAATTCACTGTTTTGAATCTGCGCGGACCTGTGTGGAGGGGCCTCATCCCAGCAAGCCCACACACCCTTTGCCCCATGCAAGGTGTCGATTCAATTGAGGCTGCACTGCTAACTTATCCTACACCAGCAGTTCGGGGGATTGAGATGCGTTGAAGGTGAGTTTCAGGGTTGCTTGGAGTGGGTTTAGGATTTGCCTCGTTGGTTTCGGGTTGGTTTTAGGTGTATTTGGGGAGGGTGTGGCTTAGGGTTGGTTAAGAGTGCGTACAGTATGTGATCAACTGCCTGGAAATTCCATTCTCAAAACCCACCAAAAACAGAAGCCGTAATCCATCCGACCCCCAAAACAAGCCGCCTTCAGACTGCAGACGCTCCAACAGCTTTCTGGTGCTGGCCGTGTTACTTGTGCTAGGGCGGAGTACCGGTGCTTTGGAATCACCAACCATTGTGACAGAGTTTTTCCTCAAGAAAACAAAGTAGCAATCAATGCAATGAAGCAGAACGCATCCATAGTGCATGCGAAGCAACCTAGGCGCACTCTGCCATAGGGCAGATTGCAGATGAGAGTTCCGCCAGTGCGACGCACACCAGAACGAACCTTCTTGACCTTCGCAGGTTTGGGTGTGGCCTTGCGCCAGCTTGAATGACTTTCACCTGATTTGCTTTTGCGCAGTGCAGAGGCGCAGGTGCTGTTCAATCCTGGGTCGGAGCTGGATGTTGCACTTCGTCATGGTGGCTACAATAGTCGATCATGCTACTTGCTGTGGTATGAGTTACGTGCGTTGCCTCCGCCCGCGCTTGGAGTTCCGGAAATCGATGCACTGCTGCGCGCTCGGCTCGCAATGGTGGAAGTTTCATGTGTATTGAATAACTAGTTTGGAAATGGCTGCGCAGGTCAAACATGTCTCACTTTACCAGAGACATGGCGACACAATGACAAGCTGAGCACGCAACACTTTTCACTTTAGGAACTTGCCATAGTTTTGTGCTGTTTTTTCAGACACCGTAGCAGGTAGGTCGGCCATGGCGCCATGCGTGCGCTAGATGGCCACATCCAAATGAACGGGCAGGAACTCGAATGATGCTGCTCCTGCTGTTGCATGTGGTCGAAGTCTTGGCTTTCTCCATAGTTCACCTGTGAATCATGTGTCTCGTGCCAAGGTGCTGTCATGGGCTCAGGAGACGCCGCCTCCTGTTACCTTCGAGGGCAGGACAAGAATACACTTGACGGTTCGGCACACCTGTCCGAAGTCAAGCCCAGCAGACAGAGTTGCACAGGATGAGCGACGACACCAAAGACGCATTCGCCGCATTGTTCGACGAGGCTTTTATGCAGATGATGGTGCGGCACACAGAGAGAGAGAGAGAGAGTGTACACAGGGACTTTGGGACTTTGGCAACGCGTCAAGGTTGATTGCCAGCAGCTGGCTGGGGACACATGCGATGTGACTGGCTTGGCTGAGTCCATGATACAGGCGGGAGTGGAAAAGAAGTGTGTAGCTGATTGGTCAGTGATGATGCGTCACGTCCTGTGCAGGTCGGAAACACGCTGAAGAACTCCTTCGAAGCATGCCCTATGGGTTGTACCCATCCTCCAGCCAATTGCAAGGAGCACAGTTTTCTGTAGGCTGATTGTTTGGAGATCCCCGTGTTTTGTCGAAAGAGAGCCTCCTTATCGCCTAATTCATAGTTGGACATGTCACCTCAGCTGAGGGAGGTCGCATAGCTGGCCACTCGACACACGTGACTCTTGCAGGATTTCTGGATGGCTTTCGAATCGGCTCTTGCCTCATTTCTGACTGACCCCAGTGCGAGACGACTGCCTAAGAACCCGGTTGCACTTCGCAACAAATGCGCCCTGACGAACAATTGGTGACCCGGCTGCATTTGTAGATTTGACAAGTCGGCCCTGAGCCGCTCTGTCGCTTACGCTGAACTGAGGCCAGGCGTGTGTACAGTGTTTCTGCGTGAGTATTCCGGGCATGTTTGTACTTCGGTTTGCAGTTTGCGTTGACATTGCAGACATGGCCAGGCTGCAAGTCAGAGTGGCAGATGACACTTGGGAGCTGCCAGCCGCTTGCCGCACATTTCCCCTGGCGACGAGCTGCACTCAAGCCGCGCATGCGTGAGGTGATGTGCCGCTTGATTGATCCGGGGCTCAACTTGGAGCGCATGCCGGGCATCCCAATAGAACATGCCAGAACTCTAGAGATAACTCTAGAAATAAGTCTCAAAATCTGAAGAAGAAAAAAAATCGGAAGGCCCGAAGGCCCTGCCTCATTTTTGATCCCAGGCCACGGTGCAAGGTGCTGGCACAGATGACTGCAGTGAACCGACTCACACTGCACGACGGCGGTGAAGGACTCAGGTTTTTTTTCTTCAGCCAAATCCGACGAACACCGACGCGTGTAGGCTGTGCTTTCTCCACCAGGGATGAGTGCATGCTCGGAGCATATGACCGACATGTGGTCTTCCAATCTGCGTGGTTCGCTCAGTTCCAACCTTTGCGACGTGTACAGCCAGTTCACATGGCGAATGCAACCACGGAACCTGATCCCAGAGCGTGTGACGGCCTTACAACAGGAGCATGGTTTGTCACAAGAATGTGTTCATGCGAGCCAGAATGCGTGTCCTTCTCAACACGGCTTATGGTTTCAGTTGGCTTCTCACATGAGCACCCTGCCATTTGCCATTTGACGAGTTGTGTTCGGCCAAGTTCAAAATGCCGTTTGATGACAGCTACGTCATCCAGGGCTGCGAGGCCTCTCCGTGTCACGACAGGTGGCTCCCAAAATACAGACTCCACAAGGAATATCCGGGCACAGGCAGTCGCGAGAGGCACTTTTTTAAAGCTCGTACGGGTGAAGAGCACGAGAGTTCGGTGGTTGCAAGAAGGCGACCTGCCATTTGGGAGCCTCACTTTAGAGGCTCCACTTAGTATCCACTTGACGCAGGGCCTGGTGCCTCTTGACATGTACAACCGCCGGGACGAATGCCCGAAACGACTGGACGCCTCGGACTCAGTGCACGGACACAGTCCCCTCCATCGCTTCGTGTCGGCATTTGGATTGCTCGCGCACTGAAGCCAGATCTGATTCGGTCGCCCCATACTGCAGATCCTCGGCTTTTGCGACTGCTTGTGCCCAGCCGCTTCCTCGGAAGGCGCCAGGTGTTGCCTTTGAGAGACAGCGAATGGAGGCCATGCCGGACGTAGTTATGCTCGGAGTCACAGACTGCCCGACCATCGTCGATGAATACCTCATGTTTGGCAGGCAGTGAGCATTCGCACTCAGCAGTGGCCAAGTTCAGACTTGAGGCTCGGCGTCTCCAACATGACGTTCGACTCCGCAAGGGCCACAATGCACGCTTCAGCACACCCTTTTGCATGGGCTGCTTTGAGTTGTCCACTTGCGCTCCTCCCGCTCGCGCTGAGTTGTGTGAGACGGAGCTTTGCGACGCCTTTAACACTCAGCGGCTCAAGCCAGCCTGCCGGTCAGCCACTCAGTCCGGCAGCCTCGCGTATCGCATGCGCGAGCACGGCGTAGGGACACCAAGCTGCCTGGCACCATGGAGTGCCGCTGCCTTGGTCTTTTTTCGGCTCGTGGCTTAAAGCTCTGGGCGTGGCGTAGCAAAAAAAATTAAGAGTTGAGGCATTGGGATGCAGATTCCCAAGGCTGGGAAGAATGCCAAGGGTTCCAGCCTTTTTGCTGCCGGCAGGTCATGCCAGAGATGTCACCTTGTCCCTGGAGGATGCTGAGCTGCATAGCAAGCACGATCTCCCAAGCGGCATAGCTTTGAGGAATCATTCGGGCGAAGAAAACATCATGGAATGCCCAGGGCCCAGTGTTTCCGGGCCACAGAGCTCCATGTTTGCAGATGTCAAGCCAGACATTTTTGGGAGCATCCAACAGATGCACGCACCAGAGGCCTGAATGGTCATCGCTGCGACATCGTCAAAGAAGGGACGCTGGGCTGAACAAATGCATTGCACCGCATGCGAGGCGAGGCAAAAACATGGCACTGGTTGGGTCTGCGAAAGAGCAGCACAACGTGACACCAGCGCACAAAGAAGAGACAATTCCGTTTGACCCTCAACGTGCCATGCGTTCATCAAGGTGGTACTGTTGTGAGCGTCACCGTGGACGAGCCAAGTGCCCTTTAGAGCTGCCGGTGATGCAACTTGGCAGAGAATCAGACATTGTGCAATGCAAGAGATGCAAGAGATGCCAGAGATCGGAGATGGGGAGGGAGCTAGACAGGACCCTTGAGTTCGGTTTCAAAAAGCTTGGAACGCATAGGTGCGACACGCTGTGCTCCGGTATCACTGAGTACTGCTGCAGAACGGTGGGGGCTCGGGGTTGTTCTTTTTTGCCATGGAAGGATAATATGTAATCCAATTTCATATAATTTCATGTTGAGTCGCACTGATTTGTTCACATTCGATATGGGTTGGTGCTTGGGTTGCAGATGGCGGGTTGAGTTTGCCGTTCGATGTCAAGTTCGTTGAGTTTAAACCCGATTGCAGGAAGGTGAATGCACTCCGCGAGTGCTTCGCTCGGCGATATTTTTGAAGACTCAGCCGCAGCTGCCTCCAAGCATTCAAGGCTTGCCCAGTCATCCTTCAGAGGGACCTTGTCTACAAACAGGATACAACCACTTCAACAACCACGACACCAGAAGGAGCGTTGGCTCATGGAATTGCAATCATAAGGGGCCCCTAGTGACCTTTAGGGCCGTGGTTCAAGCCGGGGAGTTCATAGACAAATGTTAGCCGAATCAGGACGTGATGGCAATCTGGGAGATCAAGGCTTGGTCCTCCGCCTTCCGCAAGGAGCGACGGCAACCCGAGAGGGATCACGTATCAATTCACCTTCATGCTATCTCTTGGATCCAGTACCTAATCCTTACATTCCTTATTCCCGTCCGTGACGGTGTGTCCGAAAGGGGCATCTGGGAAGCACCCCAGGGACCAGTTTGAACAACATGCAGCAGGCTTGCGCGACAGGAAGCTGGGCATGGCTCTTGGTGCTGGTCCCTCTCACGGGCGGCCGGCGCCCAAGATCAGGGGCGGTCAAAATATTGAGGGACTCGATGGGACTCCGTATGACTCCGTATGACTCCGTATTCTTCAGAAAGCACTCGCTTTGCCCGGTTCTTTGCGGCATTTCATGATCACCGCTCACATGGGTCGCACCGGAGAACACCCTAGCATCATTTAGCATCTAAATCAGATTGGACGGGTTCCCAATTTTGCGCCGCGCGTGTTTGCGGGAGGCCTGGTGTTGTGCTGCTACGTTCGACGCGCTCCCGGCGTTGGTTTCTAAAGCCGAGTGAATCACCAACCGATGTCGTGATTTCGGATAGGCAGGAACCACAAGGTGGACATGGAGCAGGAGAACGGCGATGTGTCCATGGCGGTCCCGGCATGGCTTGACGAGACTCGGCACCTCAGTATCCCAGCACGATGAGGGCCTGCAGTTGGACACCTTCGGCTTCTTCCATGCCTACAAAGCAGAGAATCGTGCAAGAGAAGAGACCAGGTCCGGTCCCCAGTTGCCTGAGTTGCTGTTGTCTGTGCACCAGCAGGCCAGCAACACCTTGCAATCGTATGCTGGATGTGTTGCGCTACTTGGTGGGCATGTGCGTGCTTGACGCTCTTCGTGAGGCCTCGAATTTGCATAGTCATGAGCGTCTTACTCTCAGCCGGGAAGTTCGGACAGTGCCTGGAATTCACCGTGCCCTAGGAGCTGCCAGACACACGGCCGCTGGGCCTCGAGCTAGTGGAGCTGCGGGTGGTGAGGGCGCGCTCCCTTGTCCGATCGGGGCGTGGAGGTTCGTACGGAGAACCCCGCGTTGCAACCCTTCCTATTGTCCCTTTCGTCCCTTTGAAACGGCGGTCCGAGTTTGTATGTCTGTGCCGATGTTTGGCTGGCATGCCAGACCCCAAAATGGGTTGTGCCCAAGACCATGGTCCTTGCCTCGAAACCTTTGTACCTTTGGAGCTCTGGACCTTTCGAAGATTTATTGTTGACACGTGAAACTTGTGGTCTGAAGTTGGGCGGGAAAAGGGTTGGGTCCCTTTGCTGTGTAAATCTGAGCATGCCTTTGCGCGCACGATGCAAGTACGACCACTGAGCAGTCTTACGACTGGAGAATCAGCAGCATTTCCGCGCGAGGCGTTTTGATTGCTGAATCCTCCGTTCGGGAAACGATTTGAGGGACGCCCTTTCCGCGGGCAAACCGAGAGAGGCCTTCAGGCGGCCAGGACAAGCTTTAGGACAAGGATAGAGTTAATGACAAAGCTCAGTCGCACGCAAAGCTCCGGGAGCCAGGTTCACCCCTGGGGCAAGAAGCATGGCTGGCAGGCCATGGGCCGCAATGGGACTGGGCCAGTGTCAGACGTGCAGGTTGGCGACATCATTGTTGATATCGCCGGCCAGAAGGTGCGCTCATGCTCAATATTCTGAGGGTTTTTGTATGGGGGTGGGTCAAAATTAAACCAACAGGGGACCGCAGATTTTGGTCTATGTTTCCACCTGCCAGGGTTTCATGTTGGGTACCTTTTTTTGACCCACAGCCGATTACACCCTGGGATTACACCCTTGGGAAATGACCCAGAATGGTTCAAAATAACACGGTTTTTATCCGGACATGTGCCTAAAGGGGTCAATACCCAGTGGGTGTATTCCCAGGGTGTAATACAAAAACCCTGAGACATATGCCATGTTGCGAGACAGGTGACAACATTCGAAGAGCTCTGGGAGCGTATCCAGGATCGAACTGCCAAGCCTTGAGCCGTGCAGCCATGCGAGCCATCGATTGCCTTTGCGATTCGCAGATGGAACGGAACCGACCCCCAGTTCGCTTCACAGTGGAGAGATGGAACATCGCCACCACGGCGGAGGAGCCGATTTCGCCATCGGGTGCGGTCAAACGCACGTGTCACATGCAGGAGGAAAGGGCAGCAGACCTCAGGGATGAGAATGTTGCGCTCCAAAGAAAGAAAAGGCAGCTGGAAGAGGACTGCATATCCGATCCATTGGATGCAGGTGCTTGCTGTTTTCTCATACCTCGCATTTCAAAACTCGTGATGGCCCGATTTGAGGACCGGGAGCAGAGGCCGCTGCCTCTTTGGCCTAAAGCCGACAAAGGGTGCTCTGTCGCTTAGGTCCAAGTCGCGCGTGGCCAGCAAGACCATGATGGCCTCCACGTGCTGCCAACATGTTTCCGTGTTTCAAGATCAGCTACGTGTACATGTATCAGCTTGGGTACGTGTCCCATTTCTGTATTTCGCCCTGGGATCAGGTGCCCGCTAGTCCGCTTTGTGTTTCAGCCAACATAACTTCTTGTGGGTGTTTGTTGGGCGTGCTTTGTGCGCCGGAATGCGCGTGTTATTTTCCGTGTCTATCGGATGCAAACTCCCTATGTCAGTGCTTCCCTCACTCTGACCCGCTCCATTGCTTGCCTTCTTTCTTTCCTTGCTTCGGGTGGAACCTATGAGGAAAAAAAGAAAGTAGCTCGCCGTGATTTATGTCCGGCGAGAGCTTGTGCAACAGGCCGTGTCAAGTAGGAATCCTAAGTGCGCCATGAAAGCATCGTGTTCAAGCCTATCGGCCTATCGGATCAGAAGCGCACTGCATGTCCTGAAACTGAAGCTTAAGTTTAAAGAGAGGAGTTTCGGGAAGCAAAGATGCCGTCGGATGATCAGATCGGATTCGTCGGGAAGGTAGCTGTTTCTTGCCAGGGAGCCATCCGGTCCGCGCACATTGGGTCCGAATGCGTGATTCCCGGAACAGAAGCGTCAGTCATGCTGGAGGGTGCCAGTTGCCCGAGGCTCTGCCTGGTATGGCGCATGGCCACGCTCGTTGTTGCCTCCCGCCAGTCTAGTCGTTCTTGGCCTGAGGCTGGGATGACGAGTATGAGGACTGTGCGAGGGGCAATCTGAGAAATTTCAAACAGTTCACAGATTCAGGAGGATGATGACTTTTCCTACTACTCCGACGATGATTCCCGCGGCTCGTAAGGCAAAGGTCCGGAAAAAAAAGAGGCAACTCTGCTTGAGGTCTGCAGACGTTTCAGTCAACCTCGAGCTTCCCCACCGGGAATTTCAAGTCCGCCTCCCGGATGCTCTCCTCGATTTGGCCTCCGTGCGTATCGTAGAGTGGCAGGTCTCGCTTCACCACGGCCTTCCAGGCCCTGTGACGCACGGAGTGGTTTTGCCCCTGCTGCCCTGCTCAGCTGCTCAGGTGCTGGTCAAGGAAGATCCCAAGGAAGATCCGTTTCTTGTGAGCAGCGTGTGTTTTTTGGTTTCCTTTTTCACGGCGCAAGGAGAAGACTCCTGAGAAGCCGGATTCGGAGAAGCCTGAGCCTGTCTTCCCCCAAGACTTGGAGCGCGCCGCCCTAAGCAGCGCGCACTTGCCTATGGAAATGGGGTTGGCATCCCTTGTCAAAGACCTGAGGTAGGACTTTCCACAAAGACAAGGTTGTTTTCACCAGAGATGTTGAGGACTTAGCACAGAGCGTCAGCAAGCTGCTAAGCTGAGAGATCAGAGAGAGACTGAGGTCTGGGGACGATCTGTTGTGAAGGTCATGAACCCAACAAAGCGAAGCCCTGACTGAACCCGATGGTTTCACCGCGTCCAAGTTGCTTCAATTTGCCGTCAGGCGAATGGGCAATTGTCCGATTGGGCATGCGGAGGTATGGTTTTCTCCTGTCATTCATGTCCAACAATGGTGCGTATGATATATATATATATAGCCATTGTTCTGGGAAGAAATCGCCTGAGCGCAACGGCATGTCAAAGACAGTGCCAGTGCATGTCCGGAATTCCATGCGGGAGCCTTTGATTCCTGGTTTTGGTTCTAAGTTGAGGTCTAAATGTTGAATATTGAGAAGCTTCACAAGCTCCCGCTGCATAAAAGTTGTCCAGTGCAATACGGCAATTTGAGACTGCAAGCTTTGTTGCCTGCGTGTGCATGTTGAGGGAGGATGCCGGATTGAGGGGCCGGAGCTGGATTCATGTTGAATCTCGGCACAGCGCGCACGCGCTCAACTTGGCTCGAAAGTCTGGGAAGTGTGCCATTGCTTGTGCACAGATTTGAGCGCCAGCTGCTGCATTGTGGCAGACTCCTGGCGGCGTTGTGCTTTTGCATAGCTTGCTGCATGCATTTTCACGATGGTTGACAAGTTGACTGCCAAGGAGGGCAGAATGGCAAGCACAGATGAAGAGGCAGTTGAAAGCCAAGCTTCGCATCATGTTGCCGTTGCAGCCTTTCAGACTGGATTCATCAAAGCTCTCGAGAAGCCGGGGCAAGAGGCACCGAGTGACGGCATGAATAGAACGAACGAGACCGCGCACAGGAGGACTTGGATCCAGAAAAAGACCCTGAGTTGGTGCCTGGCCTGCACACTCGTGAAACTTGCAAAAGCAGAGGGCGTCAGCAATCTGCCATGCTACAAACTTGATTCGCCATTGCTAGGTGCAGAACGGTGGCAGGCCTGACTGAAGAAGACCTGCAAATTGATGTGGAGTTGCAGCCTTGCGCCCCGCTGCTCAGGTTCAAGAAGAAGGTGGCCATCCTCCAAGTGACATGGAGGCCTTAGGAGCATGGCGGTGCCACTTCTGTGTTCGCTTCCGGGAGGTTCCCGGTAGACTTCAAAGATCCTCTCAACATCATCGCGCTCATCTATGGGTACTCCCTGCATGGATTGCCAGAAGTGGTGACTAATGGTTTGAGACGTGGCAAGAGCGAGGGAGAGATGGAGCGAGAGAGGGAGAGGGAGGGAGAGAGAGAGAGAGAGAAGGCTGTGGTTTGAAAAAGAATCAGGTACTTGCCCTTCATCGTGCCACTTGTGTCCAGCACTTGGTCAAGACTCCAACTCACAAGTCAAGGACTTGGTTGAGCATGCACTGTCACAAGGCTTGTGATCGACATGTTCATCGAGAAGCGCTTCATTGCTTTCTACGGGGTTGTCGATGCCCAAGTTTGCATTCTGAGTTTGCATTCGGGCTCAAAGTGCCACTGGTCGCAGAGCATGAAAGGCAATGTCAGCAGTCGTCACTCTTCTAAACGAGGCCGCTTGTTGAGATTAAAGACTTCTATGAAGCTTCTATGCGAGCATGGCAGGCATTCCTGAAGCCCATTGTCAAGGACCCACGTCCTAGGGGCTCTGCAAACAGAAAGTGGCTCGGCGCATGGTGTCGCAGTCAGCCCAGCCTTGCCAGTGAGCTTGAGGTTCAATGAGAAGACAAAGAAATGGGAGATGAAGCCAGGTATGCCTTCAGGGCACGTCATGAATGCGTCCAGCACAATGGTGACTAAGCTGTGAAGGAACAGACTTTTGAGTACAGCAGAAGTTTGAGCCAAGGCGTGGTGCGTTCTGGAGGCTGTGGTGTGTGCGCTTCGACAGTGTCAAGCTGGGAGCTTACGCCATGTGTCACCTGCCCATGGCAGGTGGCCTTGCGAGGCTCGTTGCTCGGACGTCCAAATCCATATTGTAGAACTCGGGTCTTGGCAGGGCCTGGTTTTGATGTGCAGCCATTCCTGACCTCCAACATTCTGCTCCTGATCTTGGTGTGCACAGCACCTGCGGGGGCCTTGGTTTTTTGCTCCGGCTGACTGACAGCTGTGGCGCCAGGTGCCCTGGGCAAGGATATACAATCAGGATCACAGCCAGCATCTTCGACTAGAGACAGAGCGGGCAGAAGATGTTGACAGCTTAGGCTTATCTCAATGCACCGTCGCCGGCGTTGTGGGTGTCATTTTCGGCCGGAGCATGCATGCCGAGCCTTGCTTCCAACGCCTCATGCAGGCATTGTGGCATACTTCATCCGAGCACATTTCTTCCCACTGAGTGCTCACAAGGCCCATGGCTAAACGGCTCCGAGGCTCAGCCTAAACGATTCCTTCCGACTGAGGAATGGTGTGTTTCTAGCTGGTGCCTGTCCAGCGGGACTGGCTCTGTCGCTCTGGATTCACTTCGATGTCCTTTGCTTTCCCTTCAGGAAGCCGTGGGATCCATTCCTGCCCGACACCAGCAGCGATCCTATAGTGGTTGCAGCCGCCAGCCTCACAACCATGAAGGACACGAATCAGAAGCCAGCCCCGCCTGCAACCAACAATATGATGTATATTTGTTTATGTCGAACAGCTGTCCACAGGAGGCAGTTGCTTCGGCAGCCATCGCCCTAACGACCGTCAGCAGCGGCCTAAGTGCGCAATTTGCTGTGGGATCAGTTCTGAGTCCATTTACACGATGTGCGCACAGCTTTTTCGGACTTGAATTGGAGGTCCCGGAGTCCTGACGGGCGAGGGCGACGGCGAGCAGGAGCGTGACGGGGTATTGGTTTGAGCGATGCATTGCGCGTGGGGCCTTCCAGGGTTGCGAGAGCGGCTCTCGCTTTCATTCGATTAGCCCAGCTTGCAGCTTGCCTTCAGGCCGTTGCGAAAGAGGAGATCGAAGAGGAGGAGCTCCCGGCAAAGGAAGCGGACGCGGACAAGACCTCGTCAAAGCTTGAAGAGGCGAGATCTTCAAAGCAAACATTCTGCATTCACATTCTGATTGTGCTGGGGCAAGACCATGGCCTCGCCGAGTTGCTCAATGCTCTGCGGTCGTGTTGGCAATAGCTGACTCAGTCAGCATGATTCGACGAGCACGAGCAAAACCTGTTGTGAGTTGAATTCACACAGCATAGTGATCTCGCAAACAGCTCCCTGGATTAGATTCAACGTCCGAAGCTCCTGTTGCAGTCCACTGGACCGGAGCAACAAAAATGTCAAGGGAGAAAGTCGCGAGTTGCTTGGAAAGCCCTGGAGAGACAGCAACACCACATGCTGGATTGAGTCCATACATAGTAAGGATTGACAAATCGATATCTCTTTCTCGACTGTGTGAGTGGTGCGTAAGTGTCAGTTTCCGGAAGCTATCGAAGACGCATCTCCAAGTGCTTGCAGGCCGAAGCTGGGAAGACCAGGCGTTTGCGCAGCTCTAGGCTTCATGTCTCGCCACTTGGACCTACAACAAGCGCCTTTTTGAGTCACGGCACTTTCGTTGCCGGTTGAGGTAATTCCACGATGCCCTTTTCGCTTTCTGCCTTTCCCCACAAGCGGGCGATGTGTCCGGTTTCACACAGCTGGCAAGTTGCCCGATTCAGCCCTGAGCTTGACATGCAGCGGCTTCGTAGGGTACACTTGCCGGCATCAAATCAGCGCATTCAGAAGGTCAACAAAGGCCGTGTGGACGATTTTCTCAGATGGTTGGAGGCATGTCGAGTGGGACAGCTTTTTTGGGGGTTGGCCTACGAATTCATACACGTTCCAGATCCAAAGGGAACTCTGGATTCTGTGCTCTCAGCTCGAGGCTGAAAGACGTGTGCCCAGGTTCCCCGAACCATCACACCACGCAAGATCGCTTCCTGAGAATATGCGTAACTGCAGGCGTTTGCACTCTCTGCATGGATAAAAGTGAATATGAATCAGAACATGTTGCAAAGGCGATTGAATGGTGAAACTCAGAAGTGAAAGCAAAGATGCCCTCACTGCATTGCTCCAGTCAATCAAGTTCCGAAGTCAATGCCTGAACGTTCAAAGATAGGGCTATGAGTTGGAATGTCCGCTGCGGTCTCAGTCCAGGACTTGCCGTTATCGACGGGGGTGACGGCATTCCCCGGCATTTTGGCTCGGGCATTAGGCTGTAACATGTTACTGGAAGAGGCGCCCATTGCTGTGGACTCCTTCGACCACCCGGATCCAGGTCTGATCTTTTTCTGCAGCCATGCACATGAGGATCACCTCAAAGGCCTGCACAACTCTTGGAGGAGAGGCCCGCTCTTCACATCGCCGGTGACCGCGCAACTTCTGCGTTTGAAGTGGCCGTCCTTGAATTGCGTAGCATTGGAGATCGGGCAGGTGCATCGCATTGCGGAAGGCTTGGAGGTGGAGGTGTCGTTAATTGATGCGAACCACATTCCTGGCTCGGTGATGTTCCTGTTCTCCGGGTACTTCGGCACCTTGCTGTACACCGGGGACTTCCGGCTGAGCGCGAGCCACGCCAGCTTGGCCTCGGAGCCGCTGCTGCGCCGCCTCACGCGGATCTTCCTGGACAACACCTTCTGCCACCCCCGGTTTCGGCAGGCGGAGCGCCGCGAGGTGCAGGAGTCCATCGCGCGGCTGCTGATCTCCAAGTGGCCCTGCGTGGCTTTCGTGGCCGTGTACCGGCTCGGCAAGGAGCCGCTGCTGGCGCACCTGGCTCAGCGCCTCAAGACCAAGGCGGGCTAGAAAGATAGATAGACACGTGCGTCACACATGTTTCATGCCAGGCACTTCTCAATCCTTCAATCCTTCAATCCTTCAAGCCTTCTCACTGGATGATGTCTTTCTCGGAGCGAGGGAGTTGTGGAGTCGCTTTCGGGACCGAGGTGTTGGTCACCAAGGAGCGCGCAGCTTGGCTCACCGCCGCCAACATCCCCAGCGAGCACTTTCAGGTGCAGCCCTGTGAGCCGCACAAAGCCAGCACCGATCAGCTGAGTCAATACAGCATGAGGGGCTGTATTTGGACCGTCTCCCGCAAGGGTCTCCGGAAGAGCCTTGGTTTGCGCTGAGACATTTGACCATTGCAATGTCCGGACAAAACAAGAGGCGGAGTTTCACGGAGTTTGTGGCTTTGAGTTGTTGACTTGAGGAGCTTGTGGCACGCCAGCGCCTGTGGCATCGCGGCGCACGGCATCCTGCCCACGGGCTGGGCGGAGCAGACTCGGGGCCCCTTCGTGCCGGGCGAGAGTGAGGCGAGCGAGGCGAGCGAGGCGAAGTCGAATGGAAGCGGCCATGGCCACCATGGCCTGGTTTCAGTGAGCGATGACGGCGTGTGCCACTTCGCGTACTCGGACCACTGCTCCTTCCTGGAGTTGGTGCAGTTCCTGTCGTTTCTGCCACGGGCGCCGGTGACCTTCATCAGCCCCGTGCCCGACCAGGACGCGCCCTTCAGCTACGAAGGCCGGCCTGGCCTCAAAGAGCTGCAGCACCAAGCCGAAGTGCCCTCGATCCGATACCTCTTTCAGCAAAAGGCCGGGCCTATGGGAAACCAGCATACAAATTTATATGCTATGTTTTATACATGTATATATGCATGCTATTTGTTTTGTTGTACAAGTTGGATTCCCCAAATAGTGTCTTGCGGAAAGTCAAGACTTAGATCGTAGAAACAATGCCTCCGATGCGACGGGCTCGCCCTCGCTGTGGTGCCATGCCACGTTTGCGAGTTAACAAGAGCTAAATGCATGATGGCGAGGCCGTGGCGTCCAAGCTCTAAATCCGAAGCTCCAGGAAAGGTGGTCTTGAGTGCGACAGTCTGACGCGAAACGCGCTTGGCTTCAAAACTGGGCTCTCGCCGCGGCGCTGTGTTTTCGGAAATGTGTGATGGATTTGCCACGGCCAGTGCAGCATGTGTGAGATTGGCACTCAGTTTTTGTGGAGGACTCCGTGTGTTATACGCTGACGAAAAAGATTTCGCTGCAGTTTAGATGAACAGATGCTGTGAATAACGTGGAAGGCGCAGCGTTTCATGAATTTGCGAGTGTTGCAAGACGAAAGGGATTCCTTGACCGACTCAGGGTCGGTGGAGTCGCAGTGGCTGTGGCGCGGCGCATGAGGATTTGGAAAGATGAAAGCGAACCCGTTGAATCGCTGTGGCTGTGGCGGTTGGTCAAGTCGCAGCTGCGGTTTCGGAAGATCGCGCTGCAAGTTCGCAAATGAACGTTCAGTGGAGCTCGAAAGATGTCACGAACCATGGAAGACCCGCCGTAAAGGTCGCAATCGCAGACGAGAGTACGCAGTCCACCAGCCTTCGCAGAGAAGCAAGCCGAATGTTGGCGGCTTGCTCGCGGCGCACGAAAGTTCCATCTCAGGAGCCCGCGACGAAAAAGACGAGCAGACGCGCAGAACAGCGCACGGCGCAAGGCATGCACTGCGCGCGCTTCAGCCCGGCCCCTGGGAAGCCTTCGGCCTAAACCCGAAACGCTGTGAGCTTGGACGTTCAACCTGGAAAGTCTCCCGCTGCTCTCGTGCCTTTAAACAGTTTTTTCTCCCCAGATAGCTGAAAGCAAGAGGGGTTTTAAATTCTAATAAAGCGGGGAAAGTGATCTACGAGATTGACGGCTGAGTGCTAGGAGGCGCGCAGATGGCTTGCTGATGCAGATGCTGTCAGGATTTGTGTTTGGGGAGCTGTGGTGCTGGTGGCGGCGCAGACGCATTGTTTGCGAGATAGACGGCCGGGTGCTAGGAGGCATGCAGGTGACGCCGCGGGTGCAGTTTTGCAAGATTGACCGTAGGGTGCTATGGGGCATGAAGTTTGGGGCGCTGATAGAATATAGGATCTCCTCGAAATATTGGATCAAAGAAAAGTGTATTAGAATGAAGATCACCCAACACTGAAAGAAGTGTACCAGATAAGATAGGTAATGTTAATAAAAGCATGAAAGCAGCAATCAAGAAAGAGAAAGGAAGTAATGGGATAGTCTTTAATATAAGATAATAGGATCTCAGATTTAGAATTGTTGTCCGGGCTATTTTAGAATTCTGTTTGGGGCTGTTTGAGGTGCTGGTGACGGCGCTGGCCCATTTGTACGAGATTGACGGCAGGGTGCAGGGGGGGTATTGTTTGGGGGTGCTGTTCGGGGTGACGCCGCGGGGGCATTTGTGGCGAGCTTGGCGGCCGTGTGCTGTCGGGGGTGCTTGTTGCTGCGCTTTGCGCGGGGAATCATCCGCCTGTTTTTTGCTATCTGGGGTCTATGCTGGTGTAATTTGTTTCTGTTTGCAACTTAACAGCTGCAATCAGGCGGAGACGCAGGAGCTGCAGCGGCCGCAGAAGCGCCCTCTCAGCTTGACTGAACCTTGGACGGAGCACAATGGTGCATGCCGTCTTGTGTGGTGTTGTAACGCATCAATCATAGTGCTCTTGAGCTGCTTCTACCCGTCAGCCACATCAGGCCAGTCAGTTGCGTCGTTCCTTTGCATTTGGCTGTGGCTCAAAAATAGGCACCCAAAATGGAACCCTGGTAAATGAAACCAAAGACTGAAACCTGCGGTCACCTGATGCCTAAATTTTGACTCATGCTCTTTTGCACAAGCGGGATTTCGGGATGTGCGACTTGGATGCAATCGCTGAATTTTTCATGTGCACCGAGGCCACCTCGTGAGTAGCATGCGGCCTGAATTGGATGCTGCACTTTGGGGGGAAAAAGGCGTTCTGCATGCCGCTCTGGCAATCACTGAAGGAATTGCGCAACTGGTATGTGCCAAGGTGCATATTTGGCGCTTGCCGCATGTGCCTATGCCTGCCGCTGAGAACCGCACTCCTGGAATGGAGTGCGTTGCGGCGCGTGTGTCAATGTGTGTTGCCGTGTTCACGGAAAACAAAGTGGACAAGGAAGGAAACAAAGGATCTGCTGAAATGTTCAATTCCCCCAGAAAAGCATGCCCCCCGTGAACACTGAGGTGGCGTCGCTGCCGTTTCTGCACGCAGGCCAAGCAGGACGGGTGGTTTGCGCAGAGCAAACCTGCACAAAAGCCCGGGTCGGCTAGGCCCGAGACGCCTGCCGCTCCGAGCCTTGCAGAAAGGCCGGTCAAAATCTGAAAAGCCGACTGTCTTGAGAAGCTCGAAGGAAAGAAACTGGAGTCACCCGTACGCATTGAGACTGAAACTCAGGCGACTTCACCCTCACGCGCCCAGCTCGGCTCCAAGAATGTTGCATCGGACAGGACCATTTTGTGACTGGGTGCTAAGAATCGGGTCGGAGGAACCCTTTGAGTTATTGCACTTGCATCTCTAAAGCTCTCAAGCAGCGAGACGCTCTGTTTGTCTGAATTGTTGAGAAACGTTCTGAGCGGTATGTGTGGTCGTTTTCAAGCAGAGCTTTGCCGCAAAGCACCGCCCTGGAGCTACTGGAGAACCATCTAAGCAGATCCACATGTAGCACGGGTCCTTCGTCACTGTTGGCCACGCTTGTCACGGGGCGGTGAACTGGCCACAGTGATCAGATGCAAGGGCTCTCAGTGTGCTCTGAAGTTGAATGGCCTGTTCGAAGAGCGTTCAAGCATCTTCAAGCATGAGTTTGCCACTTCAAAGAGGCCACGAGCAAACAAGCGGAAACAAGCGGAAAACAAGCACAACACGGGTCGACTGGCGACTGCGCTCAAAAGCTAAGGGTGGCAAAACATGTTGGGTCAACTTCGCTGATCGCCGAGAAATCAGCAGCTTCTCAACAATGCGTATTGAACTTGTCCCTTGACGCAATAAGTCTTCTTTGTTTGGGCTTCCTGGGGTCAGGAAGCGATGCTTCTGGATTGATGCATTTGTGGCCCAATTTGATTTGTCTGAAATACAATTGCTTGCAGGAAGTGTACGCATCCGAACTGAAGCTTCAAGTGATCAAAAAGCACGCCAATCGTCACTATAAGGTTATAGTTTTTGAGCCATGTGGAGGAGACTGGTGTAAGCCACACGAAGGTTCATTTGCAAATACCATGCGTCGCAGTTTCTTGCTGCAACGATGCGTTGGAGCGTGAATCATCAGGTTATCATCGGCTTGTGATTTGCCCGGTCAGATGTCCACCTCGACAGAGGGTTGTATGCAAAGCGGTGAGCTGGCGGCGGTTTTGGCTCGATCCTGCGGGTTGGTTCTCACGCACTGCTGAGCTGTTGCCATTGTGTCTCAGGCTTTTGATGGGCTGGACGATTTGGAGGAGGCCTTTGTCCATGGGCTGAAGGGCGAAAGCGGCTTGAGAGTGTCAGGAGGAAGAGGACGATCAGCCCGATCCAAGCACTGTGCCAAAGGACCGCACAAGCAACTACAAGCCCGTGGCCTGCCTCAGACGCATTCGACTTATCAATTAAACATATGAAGAGATCAACCAAGAATCAACAAGAGTTGAGCAGTTTGATCGAGATCAAATTAAGATCAAGAGATCATTTTGTCTCTGTGAAGAGTAAGCTGCAGCCCTTGCGAGGAGCGCGCCATGGTGGCGCGGCCAATGGGCGCTGGCCTGCAGCTCTTAGAGGACCTCTACACCCAGCACAGGCCGATGCAACGGGATGCGTGAATTGAACCGAATTGTTTTCTCGTTTCGGTGATGTAAGTCGGAAGGACGAGGAGCAGGGACGAATATGGACGAATGAAACTAAAAGACCAAAAGGCCCTAGGCCAGGACTCAGGTTTCACAGTGCGCAGGGGCAGCCAAGATCCCCCTGAGATCAGCGAGGAGGCATTCGGGACTTGTCCGGTGCCGTCCAACGGGCTGAATGGGATGTTCAAGCGCGCAATGAAGTAACTTCGATGCGAGTGATGCGACGCAACTGTGACGCGCCGATCGAGCACGCCACGCCTCAGGAGCTGGCCGATCTGCACGCGCTGAGCTCAGGGCATCTCGAGATGAGTCTTCCAGACATACTCTGAGGCCATGCTCAAGGATGAGCTGCCAAGGTGGACTGAGATAGTTTCCCGTAGCCGATCACATCTTGATTTGTGATCAATGATCTAAGGCAGCGAGTTGACTTGCCAGGTGTCCTTCAATCTCTTCTGTAGCCTACGCTGCAAAAGTGCTGGAGGATTTAGAGCTGGAGGAGACGTACTTGATCGCGCATGGCACTCATGGCACTCACACTCTTCGCTGTTAGGACGATGATGTCTTTGAGGTGATAGCTGCACAGATCAAGGATCGTGCCGATGAGCTGGAACCCCAGGAGATGAGAATTTGAGACCGAGGGAGAGGGGGGGGGGGTGCACACGGCCAGGAGACGCTGGACGTGGTGCTGAGGACGGCGAAACGCGAAAAGCGAGTGCGTTCTTGAGCTCTGAAGTCTTGTCTCGTGCAAGTGACACGTTGCCGGCAGCTTCGGCGCGATCTACTTCAACGATGACGAGCCGTTCCGCCGTTCTTGTGTCGAGTTGCGTCACGTCCGGATCTTCTTTGGAGGCGATGCTTGGCAGGTTGCTGGAAGCCTTGGTGGGCGCAGTGCGGCGGCAGCTCCACTTCTTCACCAATGCAGAGGCGTCAACTGAGACGGCTTCACGCGAGTGAGTCATCGCTTGAATCCCAAGACAAGGTACAGTGGTAAGAGTGGTAAGAGTGGTAAGACGACAGAGAGTGTCGCAAGAGTGTGGTGCAGAACTGGCAATGGTCAAGAGATCAGGTTGTGCGCCTGGCCAATGCCGTGTCCCGGCTTGGCGGGCTTGATGACACCAAGCACGTAGGCGTGGGTAGAATTGCCACGTTGATTTCGGCACGGGCCCAGAGGCATGTTCTTCGAGATGCGCAAGCGTGTCAACATGCCGTTGATTGACAAAGCGATCAGGCGCGCAGTGCAGAGACCTGCCTGTGGAATTGGACATGGAATAGCTGTGTTGGCATTGAAATATGGTGGGTGTGGTGTGCTGAAGCCTGTCAATTGCTTGGATGAAGCAAGGTCGTGGATGAGCCACAGATTTGTAGCAGGATGCAATAACGAACAGGTACACGCTTCTCAGTTCAGTGATGCTGTTTCATGGCTTCATGGCGAAAGCAATCACGCCTTAGGGCATTTGCTTACATTCTGATTGCCAAATCACACGGAGAAGATAACTTGTTTGGTGTCAGGGGCCTTGCCAATTGCCGGCTTATATGATAATATCAGCTCAAGCTACATCAGCACTCCACCTATATCCATGTCCGTGTTTGGGTTTCGGCATTTGATTGTGCAGCTGGAGTTCTTATTCAGCAGACTCCGACACATACATGGCACAACATCAACAGGACAAGAGCCAGTTCACTCAGAAGCACGCATTGTGCACATTCGCAAGACATACAGTGCATAATGCACGCGAAAGATGACTGCGCTGAGTGCGAGCAGCATGGTCGAGGCGCGTGCTGATTAAAGCTGATACTACATCACATTGACGTGAGGAAAGTTAAGCCTAGGAGGATTCTAGTGTCACGCTTGCCTGTTTGCATGAAGAATGGAGCTTTATCGATACATGTTGCAATGTACGCATGCTGGATGATGGCTGCCACAGCAAGCTGCAGGGCTGCGGGCGGGCGAATGTGCAAGAGCTTCTGAGGTTCGTGTGTTTGTGGGTGTCCGGAAACATGGCTCGCATGTCGCTTGTGTGGGTGTCAAGTCCGACATGCGGCCGCGGATTTCCTGTACAGGCTTTTGCAGCATACCGAGTCCGAGACGCTGAGAGTGGGTTGCCCAAGAGTCGCATGGTCACTCACGTGTCGGGCTTTGTCTCAGAGCGACTCTTGGCGGAAGTCTACGTTGCACAATCTTTGTGCAAGAATGGACCATCCTTGAGGCAAACGTCATCATGCACCATGCTGCAAGAGGCCCTCTGATTGAGGAGCCAGATGCGTTAGCTCGCAGACAGCACTTCCCGGCAAATCAGGACAGCGATTTCCACGGCCTTGATGCCGATGCAGCAGAGCGCTTGCGAGCTTTGCAAGTTCTGCAGAGCGCTTGGGCTGCATTCTAGGGGCATGGATGTGTGCTATCTTGCTGCATCTCTGGGTATGGGCCGCCCTGGCCACCAAGAGGTCATGAAGGTGTTTTGCCTTGAGAAAGTAATAAAAAACGCGTTCTTGGTGCCTCGCTGGAAGGCGTCTTGGGTGCTGGCGCGACTCTCAGACTGCAAGGTCTCCCTCACACTTTTCACGCCCGGGCGTGCTCAAGTCACAGCTATAGCTCATGCTGGCTCTGGCGATCCTTCTTGGCCATGGCCTCAGCTTGGAGACGGGCGTCCATGGCGTCCACGGCGTCCATGGCGTCCATGTCAACAGCGTCCATGGCGTCGATGGCGTCGGCGGGCTGAGCTTGAGGGGCTTGCGCTTCGTGGTGTTCCGCGGCACGGAGGGCTTCGGGGACCGGCTGCAGCAGCTGCTCATGGCCATGCGCTACGCACGGGCCACCAACCGGGCACTGGTGGTGGACTGGCGCGACACCAAGTTCGCCCGGCAGAGCGGCTTTGACTTCGCGGACTTTTTCCGGGTGGTCTCCGGCATCAAAGTCTTCCGAGTGGAGGAGTTCCTCTACATTTGGCGGGCGTTGCAGGACCAGCTGCGCGTGTTGCCGGCCATGTTCCGGTACCATTTGGAGGCCAGGGCCGATGCTCACTGGAGCAACCTGAAGTTCCCCGATGAGAACAAGCGAATGGAGGCGCTGGCAAATGGCGAGGCCGAGGATTATGACGAAGAGGTCATTGTCATTGCTGGAGATCAGCACAGGTATTTCTTCTACGATGAGATCCGATTTCTGAGGCTGCAGCGATGGATGGCCGACAGAGTTCGCTAGAGACTTAGAGATGTGTGGAATCAGTTGTGCGTTGGAGTCCCGGAATGGAGGCAGATACCTGCAAAAGGAGGGCTTGGAGGAGGGCAAGTATGTGGTGGTCCACTTGCGTGGCGGAGACAAGCCTTGGAAGTGCGAGGAGGGTCGGATGGGTTCGCATGGGTCGGATGGGTAGGGCCCGGGTAGGGAAGAGCCGAAGAGCCGAAGAGCCGAAGCGAAGTGCAAGCCCTGAGGAAGCTGTGACCTGGTACTACCAGCCGCATCAGGACCGGTTCCAGGAGGCGGCGGACAAATGGCCTACGCTGCCGAACTACCTGAGCTACATGCGAAACGAGACGGCGCGACTGAACCCCGAGAATCTGCGGGAGGTCATCATCACGGACACGCCTTGCCTGACTCTCAGCCTGACTCCACATTGGCTTCTCTGGGCATGCGATGAGGCCTGAAGCAGAGATGGTACGGAGAACTGTGCCAGCTTCAAGGCATGGCGTGACGGCATGCAAGTAGCATAGGTAGCCTTTTGGCAGGTGAGCACTGCAGCGCTGACACTGCAACACCGGTTTACCTCCGTCATCGACGTGTGATTGCAGCTGGGCAAGCATGGATGGGAACTTGATGTCTGGCAGATGATCAGAGTTGAACGTGAGCTTCAGGAGCAGACGCTGTTGGATTTCACATTGATGAGCTGCTCGCCTTGAATCATTGGCAGATGCAAGGTGTGGCTCTTGTTGGCATTTTGTGCACGCTGCGTAGGCCTAGCACACCGTGGCCTGACTGCAGCACGTGCACCGATACAACCGATATCAAAGCTTGCATGTTTGCCACAGGTGTTGTTGCGGATGGGCACTCGCTTTTTGCTGCCTGGCTTGAGTTAATTATCTTTCCGTTTGTCGATGCGCTGATGCTATGAGGCCCTAATGGCAGAAAGGTGCCGTACAACAGGCAGGACAGATTGCACGGGGAGATCTGACGCTGACGAACCCGAGGGATGCAAAATGTGCAATGCAACTTTGCTCAATGCCTTCGGGAGGTGCCATGGATCTACTTGGCATTCGTGACACTGATGGTCCTTTCCAAGGCTGGAGAGATGATTTAAACGGCCCGTGCCTGAGTGACCTGTGCGCAGGATGGGATCCGGACGAGTGGGTGGACTAGCCTACCAGCTCCTCGAAGTGGACCTCGACGGCAAGCGGAAACGGCTCGCACTCGTGTCCCTCTCGATGGCCAAATGCGCAGCGCAAAACGCACAGGCAGCGAGGAGAAGTGTCGAAAACGGTGCCTGAATGGTGTGATGAGCCACATGCATTCCTATGGTTCGTATCCTTGAATCTTGAGGCGTTGTCCCAGAAAAAGCTCCCACACCTCCTCCTCCGGCTGCAACGCTACCATCTCCAAGGCCGTCGGCATCCAGAGCTCCGCAGTGTTTGATTCTCTCTGCAGGCGAGGCGACGAAATTGCAGTCCACGAGCTCTCAGTTCGCGTGCCCAGGCCCGAGCCGAGCCCTTTGCATCTTGCTTGTAGCGGAATGCAGGCTGGCGCCCATACGCCTGCTAGAAGCAGCTGATAGTGACCAGGCAAGATATATGTGGCATGCGCGGGTCACCCGCTTTTGCTGTAGGCCACCCAAATCTTCAAAGAGAACGGTCAGAAAGATCCCTTCGGCTCAAAGGCAGGGAAGCACGGTGGCTTCGCACGGCCTGAAAACCCATCCTGAGGCATGGCCGTCAGCATACTTGGTGGCTGAAAGGCTGGAACGACGTGAGAAGTTTTGAAGCTGAGCTCGCCGGAGGCTGCTGGGTGAAGATCTGACTGGCTGCTCGGCCCTCACCCTGGATTCGGGATTGGCCAATGCAGCCGAGGGTCCAATCTGCGGACGCGGACGGGAGAACAGGGGACGACTAGATTGGGTTTCGGTTTCATGGAAAGACCCAAATGTTTGAGCCGCAGGTCATACCATTTGTTGATCATGAGTGGCCGGGTCCACTGAATCAACCCGCACCAAGCGAGTTCTGTTCCCTTAGGCTTTTGGTTGATGCTTCAGGCGAGAGCAACACATCGGACCAAGCAACCTCATTGAACCAAGACTGGTCAAGTTGGAATTCTTAGTGTCTCCAGTCCAGAACTGCATAGCCATCAATCAAAGTGTCAAGCATTGCGTCATTTGAGAGTGTCAATTGGAAGTCAATTGGAGATCCGCATGAATTCAATCAAACAGTTTTAGGTCTTGGAGCTGGGGTGTGGCACTGGCTTGGTCTCCATCGCGGCTGCTTTGCGTCAGCTCGGGCGCGCTTGGCTCAACTCCGCTTGGCTCCGCTCTCGGTCGAATCGGCGAGGTGGCGCGAGCCAAGTGCTGGCAACGGACCGCGCAGAGCAGCGGCCGCGCCTCGCTTTGGACTCGCTGGACCAGCGACAGCGTAGATCGGAGTGCGAGCAATCGAACATGAGCCAGGAACCTCGACTGCGTCCGCAAGTCTGCCAGGCTAAATGGTGCTGAGCTAAAGACGCAGGCCAGAGGGCAAGGCTGACTATTGGCAATGTGCCAATGTAGCTGGCCTGCTTCAGGTGTTCGACGTCATGTCAAAGGATCACCTGCCGCCATCGTCCCAGGGAGCACGCTGCTTCCATGAGATCCTTGCGCAGACAGGTGCCCGCAAAGAGCAAAGTTCTTCGACTTTGTGGCGGGCGGTTTAGCTTATGAAAGGCGTTCCACATGCCTTTGGAGAGGTGTTCTCTGATGTGCTCTACTGGCCAGAAGAGGCCTCCGCACTTCAAGGAAGTGGAAAAGGCGTAAAGGCTTTATTTGCACAGGCGATTGCCTTTGGCCGGCGAGCAGCGGAGGCATATAGTTCAGGGTCGTCTTCTTAGGTCGTCTTAGGGTCGCCTTTCCGTGGGCCTTTGACGGAGGTCCACTGTCATTGTGGCCGATCCTGGGCGGCGACGAGATGATTTCTTAGGCCCCGCTTTGCAGTTCTTGCAGTGTCAAATCAAAATCAGAGCATCCAACAAGTTTATCGCAGTCGCAGCTAGTCAAAGGACGCACGAGAAAAAATGTGTGCGCACGTGGCAGGGGAATAGAAATGTCCCAAAAGTGCAACCTTCTGCGGGTTTCAGTTGCTTCGGATGCTCGCAAGCTAGTGGGTGCCGCGACGCCTGGTCAGAGCGCATGCGGAGCGCGTTCGGAGCCGGGCACATTGGCATGGACACTCCACTTCCCGCGAGTTTGCACGGCAGGTGCAGCACTTTCGCATAATCAGGCACGCCCATGTCGTGGCCGCCGCGCTTTCACAGGGAAATTTGCAGATTACGTTGCAGGCGCAGCACTTTCTGGAAGGGAAAGAGAAAGAGAGACAGAGAAATGACAAGAAAGACAAAGGAAAAGAGAGCTATAAGTTATATAAGCGTTCTATTGTCAAAGCTTCTGTCCACCGGCTTCGCCGGCTCTACTCGTAAGGGAGCAATCATTGCTTCTGAAATGGGGCGTCAAGCCTGTGAAGCGAGATGGGCGCACTCCAAAGGCAAGGCCCCAATACTGTCTGTTGCGCTTGAACGTTGCAACTTTGGAGGCAGAGCTGGCTATTTGACTTCGCGTGCTTGAAAGCTGCGATTTTCAAGCCGGAGCTGCCAAAGTGCACTTCGCGAACTTGTAACCGTGTAAAGCAAGACGGTCGAGCCCAAAAGCGGGACCCCCACCAGTGACCGTAAGCCAGACAAACATCGCCAGCTCTTGTCACGCTCCGTCTTGCGAGGCGGTTTGCGCGGCGAGTTGGGGCTAAGACTGGTGCGCCTCAACAGAGATGGCTAATTTGTGAGTTGCATTGTTCGAGGCTGGAAAGCCTTGGCCAAATCTCGATCTCAAGCCAGTGAGCTTCCCGGCTCACGCGTTCGCCTCAGGTTTGAGAGTTATGTCAACAGTTCGATGCCAATGCCAGTGACATTTGACTTTCGGTCCGAGGTCTTCGATTGGGTGTCTGCTGAGGCCGTCACCCTTCCGACTCTTCCGACTCCGACTCGCTGCTCTGACGGCCCAGGTGCAGACAGCATCACGCTTGTTCTGCGAGGAACCCTTCATGCTGGTCTTGAGACCTGAGGAAAAGGCGCACACGTGTAACAGTACTGTAACACCCCATCCAACTGAAATCCAATTTTGGTGCGCCTTGCTCGAAGTGTGTGTTTGTGTTTGTGTGTTTGTGGGATCATTTGCAGCACATCCTTTGCACTGCATTCAAAGAAGCCGCCAGGTCGCTCAGAAACAGATTCATTTTGAGATTGTGGACTAGAGACAACGGAGCGTCGCAGCCCTCGGCAGTCGACTGAGTGCGCATGCGAGCGAGCACCTGGGCAAAAGGGAGCGAGAGCATTTTGCATGCATCCACAAGTTTGGCACGTGTCCGATGGGACCGTTGCCATGTGTCCCAAGCAACCATCCAAGTTTTTGCTTTGCCACTTTTTGAGTATCACATTGAAACCGAATGGAAGATGCCAGGGACCGGCTCGGGGCTGAAGCCACCTACTCAGAGCCCACCGAGGCGAGGAAAGGGTCTTTTCATATTTACCTGTCGGCATTTGGCATTCGCAACGGGAGAGCACCAAAACATTGAAGGCCAGATAGGAGAGTCGGGTGTTTGATTAGAAACAAGCCTCGCAAACTCTTATGGGTCACGACTCAAATGGCTCAGTTTGGGGAAGACCCGTCAGGAGAGCAAGCGACTGGCATCCAAAGTGCGACTGCCAGAGCACAGCAAAGTCAAGGACAAGGCTTGGGCCGCACACTGATTCGCAACCTAAGTGCCCGTTTTCCCAGTTCAAGACGAAGATGGCAAAGGAGCTCACACTCCTAAAGTACAGAGTAGACAAAGAGGCGGGTGATTCATATTGAATGTGATGTCCCTCAGATGCTGTGTACGTGTGTGTGCGTGTTAGTTTGTTTGTTTCTTTGCTTGCTTTTTGCGTGTAAAACGGTATATACATATTTATATATATATATATATATTGTGATTAGCCATGGTTTATTTCATCACCAGGGATGTCGCGATAGTGACTGACCTGTGGTGTTTGGCTCAAGTTTGCGGGTCCGTCGCGCCTCGGATGAGCGTCGCCGGGTCCCCGCGTCGATCACCTTCGTGTCGGTGGAGAAAGAGACATCGGCCCGGGGCAGATTGGTGGGGTCCGCCCGTGCGGTTCATCGTCGATCAAGGTTGCGGGTACTTGTTTACTTGTTTTGGATTTTCCCTTTTGGTTGTTGTTCTCTGGTGTGTGGGAAACCCTGATCTTTGGGACCGGGGATTGGCTTGCTTTTGGGGAACCTTTCTTTGTGGCTTGTTTACCCCAACTAACCCATTGCCTGGGCACAGGTTCGTGCCCGAATCACAGGTTATCAGCTGTAGGACTTTCCTACGCGCTTGACCATCAACTACAAGCTCAATGACGTCGACCCCACGCTCTCGCAGGAGTGTCGTGGATGAGGAGGCTATCCTAGGTGGTCTCCGTTCAGGTGAGGACTTGCCGGACTACGACTACGAGGAATTCAAGGCAGGTTCAGCAGGTCAGGATCGCAGGGCTGATGATCCCGGTAGGGACACACCCCAAAGCCGTGGCAGGTACACTGACGATGGAGACGACCGCATTTTCCGTCAAGCCACCGATGATGAGCAAGGACGAGGAGCTCGCCCCGATAGGAGCGGCTCCGATTCGGACCAGGACACTTCGACTTCATCAGTATGGCGATCATACGGACGACCTGGAGGCTATGCCTACTCGACCTCCAAGGCCTCTTGTTCCAGGTGAATCACAGGCCTCGGATGAGTTCGAGGACAGGCCGCGAGGGCCGGGAACCATGGTTTTGGCTCCGAGACATATCTCGGGTCGATCAACCGGTTCTCAAAATCCAGGTCAGTTTGACGAGCGCGAGGAGAGGGCGTTTGCGGGCATCGGATACGATGCCCTGTTATCGTCGACCGCAGGATGGGGCGGCGGCGTGAAGCATGAGTCTGATACTGATAGGCCCAACCCGGTATCGGCGACTCCATTTGAGTTCGATAATGATGAAGATTCTGCCGCGTTCGCGGATGCTCGTGAACGAGAAGAGAGTTTGTCGTACCAAAGTGCAAGGAGCCGTGACGCTGCGAGGGCCAGGAGCCTCACTCGTGGAGCTGCGAGGGACATTCATGCGGACAGGGGCACCCGGAGTGAGAGAGAACAAATCCGGGCAATTTTAGGGGGCCGAGGTCCTCCCGTGATTGAGCCCATCCCGAATGTTCCCCCTTTTCCCAATATCACGTTTGGAGGATCACTGCATCAAAGAGTTGAGGACACGAACCGGAATACTGGTTCGTCCAGAAGTACTGAGCGGGCCGCCAACGTGGTTGAAGCAGGCGCAGGGGACGGAAGACTTGCGAGCGCATTGGAGATCGAGGATCGTCCGTCGATCGCAAGCCCGTTAGGGCGAGATCTCAGCGACCTCGAGCCACTAAGGTCAAGTAATGAATTCACTCCCCAATGGGGATCAGCCAGCAAGGGAACGCACTGCTTCTGCAAAGAGGCCGTCACCTTTAGCCGGAGGGACCGATAGGTCAAAGGCGAGGAAGGCTAGCCCTGAACCGATAGGTTCAGCGCCGCAGGACGAGGACATGCTTGATCCTGCTGATGTTCATATTCACTCCACACCTGAATCTCGTGGTTCGAATGTTAATCCCAGATCTGGCGATAGCCGGGGAAGGGGCGCCAGTCCGAACAGGCTGCTCAGGATCACTGATGATCCTGCTTCCGACCCGAGAGGGCGCGCCAGAGTTGAAAGGGTTCCTGAGAGGATCGAGATATCGACCCCTCCGGCCCTCAGATCTCATTCTTCTGGGGAATCCGGTGATACTAGAATTAAGGAAGTATTTGATTTGCACATCCAGGAGATGTTCGAGAGAGGCGAGGCCTCTAGCTCTGTTGTGAATACTCTCAATGCTTTTGCTAATCAGATCAGGTTACTGAACGGTCAGGTGAGTTCCATGCGCAGGGAATGGCATGATTGCAACCCAGGCGGATGCGACTGATAGTTCAAATGTTTGCCGGTGAGATCATTCGTGATAGCAGAGCAGTCGTTAGACATGCTATCGATGAGCAGAGCGAGGTTGTGGATCAGAGGATCAACTCACTCTCCAACGAAGCCCGGGAATCCGTTAGGGAAGTAGAGGGTGGCATGAGTCAGCTTCATCAGGTTATTCAGGATAAGCATCGTGCTATCTTCAGGAGCCAAGCTGCCTTTGAGGACCAGACCAAGACAGAAGGTGAGAAATTAGAAAAGCGAATCTTTTCGGACCACATCTTCTGATGCTCCGGCTGCATCGGGGCCCGATAGGGCCACTGGCAGCGGTACTGACGTGAGTTTTTCAGGGACTTAACCGCAAGAGTCGATAGACTCCAAGGTGAGAGCGATCGACATGCAGAGTGGGCTACTGGAGCAATTGACGAGCTCCAGGCTGAGTACAGGTCATTCGCTGATCGCATGCTGCAATCGCGGGGCGACAGGGGATCCATCGTTGCCGATAGGCCTAGGAACCCTGATGACCCTCAGGATTGGCGCGCAGCAGTCGAGGAGAATAACTGGAGGGTTCAGGATCTCACTCGCCGAGTCTATCGCCAAGCTCGGGATTATGATACTGTCGTCGAGGACGTTGGGGCCGTGAACGCTCAGATTGCTGTGTTCAACGAGAGTACTCAAAGGCTTCAGCAGGCTGTACAAGCTATAAGAACTCAGCTTGCCAATCTTCCCTCAAGCACGGAGCAGACACAACCATCGTTAGACGGGAGCTTGTCTTCTATCGCAACATGTTAGATGCGACCATGCGAGGGACTGGCGTCGTCGAAAACAACATCCGCGTCCTGAATGAACTGAAGAATACCCGAGTTATGGGGCAGCTTGCCGATCTCGAGGGACATGCCGATGACTCGGGCGACATGATTCAGGTAGCTCAACAGAATCCTCGCTCACGGCAGACCAAACGTCGGATACGACGCTTTCGCTGGACACGGACACAGGATTAGGTCTCCGACGCCTAACCCTGGAGATAGAAATGCTCAGAATCCTGTCCCGCCGGCCCGACCGGGTGTAGCATAACCGATCATGCCTTCGGGGACAGTAGGAGAGCCAATGCGGGTGATCAACCCCAGGTCAACAGGGGTTCGAGCTTGCCGAGCGTGCCCGGTAGGGCTGAGGCTGATCCTCAAGCCAACAGGCGTCCTATCTCTCCCGCTACAAAGAGGGAGGATAGCCGAAGCAGAAGGGCTCTGCAGATGCAGGATAGGTCTTACTCTCCGCCGAGGCGTATGAGGGATAATCCACGGGCGCGTGCCAGGGCCGATAGTTTCAATTTCCCCGAACAGGGATGAAGGTAGGAACAGGAGTCCAAGGGCTGCCGATAGGGAGCCTGAGGTCAGGTCGAGAAACGAGAGACCAATCCGAAATAGCGGTAGTGCCCCTCGAAACCCCAATCGCCAAAAGGGATAATGAAGGCAACAGGGCCCGAGGTGACGTCCCGAGTCCTTGCGATGGCCGAAGGAACCCAGCTACTGGCAGTGATGGACCTGATCTCTTGAGAGTATGTGCTCAGGACAACCCAAATGATCGAAGACACCCAAATGCGAGCTTCACTTGTGCGACGTGCAAACGTGAGTTCTGCCAACTGTGTAAGGGTGACGAGAGAACTTGCGCGCTGCTCCAGGGACACCTCAGGCGGCTCAGGCGGACGGCGGAATGCTCTTCGCTAGGATTGTGCCGAAGTCGAACATGAGCGAAGCAATCCAAGGCGAGACGTTTGACATCACCTTGACAAAAGGGTACTTCACCGAGGCCGGAGAGGAGTCGAAAGTCGTTGGTAAGGGAGCGATAGTTCCAAGCGAGTTGGACTGCTTCGAGCAGCCCAGGAAGATATTGCGCCTGATGAGAAACAAGAAAGTTGTTCCTCATTCCATGGATCTGCCAAGGGGAGGATTCTCCCGGGTGGCTGTTGATCCCACTCAAATGGAAAGGCTTTGGGATGCATGGGCAACTGCCATGTTAATGGACATGATGCTTCCCATCTACCCCTCCATTGTGCTGAACGAGATGAGCCGTGGCACCGACAAGCTGATAATCTTGCTCAGGTGCCTTGCGGCCAGTGGGACAGGCGCCGCGTTGAGAATAGTGGCAGCTGTGTCTGCCGGGTACGGTCCTCCAGTGTACAAGGAGTCCGCGACTCCGGACGCGACCGTATTCTACTTGCTGGATCAGACGTTCAACACCGTCTCCCAGAAGAGCAAGAAGGGGTTGGATTCGGTTACGCTAGCGGACAGTATCCTCACATGCAGGACCAAGAACGACAGGTTGAGGGCACAACCGACCGTTCAAGAACTATGAGGTCCATTACGTGACCAGTACTCGTCATAGCGAGGAAACGTCACTTAGGATGATGATCGACAAGGCATACGAGCTGATGGACAAACGGGCAGAGGAATGCGTCCAGAAGCATGGGAACGCGAATGCGGCAAAGTCCGACCTGTACGTTTTCGGCTTTCGTGGCTCCTACCTGTACCGGTGGGAGAAGAATGCGTGGAGGGTGAGGAGTGACGCTGCGACCGTCTGGAACAAGGACCTTCAGGCGCTGATGTCGCTCAGCAACAAAGTGAAGGTCATGGGTTAGATCGCGAAGGTGACCTAGGGGTTCACATGCAGAAAGAGATCCAGTCGAAGGTGAACACGATACGCATGAACCTGATCTCGGTGGCCTCCGCCGACGCTGTGTCGTGGGGGAGTGAGGTGGACAACTATGGCCGGACAAGCCAGTCCAGAGGGCATGGATAGTGGTGCCTGCATACCTCGCGGCAGTCCCAGAC